GAATGAAGGGATGGACAAAGGGTAAGAGACTATAGAATGAACAAAGAATGAAGGGGTGGTCAAAGGAATGGAATGATGAAGTAAGGAAGGGTAGTAGTAAGAGTCAGTATACATATAGTTTATAGACAGCACCCCTGAGGGACAGAAGTCCCAAGTTCTAGTACAGAAGGGTACAGAACCCTCAGAACTGAAGGTACAAGAGTAGAGAACTGTAACATAGGTAATAGTACTGAAGCCTTAAATAAAGCATTAGTAGTAGTTCACAAACTTAAGGAATGCTTGGACCTGTTTCAGGTTCTAAGGTTGTAACCAGTTCTGAACTATAGTCACCTTTGCTGGATCCATACAGACCTCTCCTCTACTAATCATAAAGCTCAGATAATCTACTGACTCCTGTACAAAAGAGTACTTTACTTCTTAGAGAAACAGTTTATTATTTTGGAGCTGTTGTAGAACTGCTTGGATTAGTTAGTAATAGTACTCAACTGTCTGGGTGAAGATCAGAATGTTGTCCAGATACACACTAACATACTCTAAGTCAATCAGATCTGTAAGGATGTAATTCATAAATGACTAGAATGTTGTAAGTAAGTTAGTTAGTCTAAAGAACATTATGGTTGGTTTGTACAATCTGTGATTGGTTTGGAACACAGCCTTCTACTCATCTCTGTCTTGAATCTAAATATTATTGTATCCTTATCAAACATCCAACTTAGTAAAAACCCTAAATGTATGTGTCTTATTAATGAGCTCCTGAATTAGAGGGAGCAGGTACTTGTTTTTGACAGTACTCTCATTAAGACAACAATAATCCTAGACTGGGTAGAGCTTCTCATCTTTCTTTTTGACAAAGAAGAAAGGGGAGACTATAAGGGACTTTGAGGGTTAGATCTGGCTGTTCCAAAGATTTTCCTGAAGGAACTTGTCAAGCACCTCCTACTTGTCTCTGTTGAGTAGGTAGACCTTACAATCCTTAGGTTCAAAACCCTTAGTCAATTCAATTGTATAGTTCTAAGAACAGTGTTTAGGAAGCTGGTTAAATTCCTCTTCACTAAAGACTTTAAGGAACTCTCAGACAAAATCTAGCAGGCTGGGTCTGTATGTGTTCTAGAGTAGAGTTGTTCTGAGAGGGTTCTAGACTGGTTCTGTCTTAGACATCCTTCAGATCAACTCTATTCTATCTTGACTAGAATATATATCCACATATCTATCCTAGTTGAAGAAGAACAACTGGTCACCTTCATTAGAACTGTTAGTAACATTGAAAGCATCTGTATCTACTTAGAACAGTAGTGTAAGGTAGCTGTAAGACTCAGAACACTGATTGAACACAAGTGTTTACTCTAACTAGTCAATAGTAGGGTTGTAAGCTTTGAGCCATTTGAATCTAATGAAGACATCTGTCTTTCTAAGGTTAGTGACTCTGAACTCAATACTTTCCTCATAATCCTAAATAGTCATCTATAGTTAGACAAACTTGGTGATCTGACCATTCTAGTTTAGGGTTCTGTTTACATTGTATACTAGGATCAGAAGTAGAATACATTGAGTAGGAAGGTAGTGTTCCTACACAAAGGCCTTATTAATGTATGAACTAGTATATCTACTGTCTACTAGAACTGTTGTTTGGATCTGGAGGGATCCTGAGAAGGGAGCTAAGAGGATAAGGACCTAGAGCTAGTACTTAGAATGTTCTTAGATAAACTGCTACTTGTTCTGAAAGGAATGTACAGCTTGTACAGTCTTGTTGTCTGAGAGAGTAAGTATATGTACTAACATTTCCTCATTAACCTCTCTCTTTCAACAAGGACAGACTCATGTTCTCAGCTGTGAACTCAACTAAGGTTATCCCTACTTAATACTATGGACAAACTACTGAGTAGTAAACAGGGCTAGGTAATGTTCTGAATGTTCTAAGATCTTAGAACATAGAAGTGGTAGGTTGGATTGTGTGGATTTAGACTTGGATAAAGTGTAAAGAGAAGAATCAAAAGAATCAGAAGAAATAGGAGAACTATCTACTTTTGTTTTTAACTTTTTTCTTTCTAATAAATAATTTTGTTGATTTATTTTTTCTACTTTTTCTACTTTTCTTACTTTATTTACTTCTAATCCTACAGTGTCCATTGAATCAAAAGTGGCCATTAAAAAATCCAAGTCATAGCTCTTTAGTACTACATTCACTGTTAGGCCTCTACAAAATCCTAAAGTATGTAGTTAGGGTTTAGGAGTTCTAAGGTGACTTCTGGATTTGTAGAAAAGGCTTCTTACCACAAATCCTGCTTGTCACTCATTATTACTCTAATGACCTGACAGATATACTGTCACTTCTACAAGTAGTCCTTAATTTAGTGCTCTGACTTTCTGTAAGCAAAGTATACTCCTTACTTTTAGGCTTCTCTAATGTTTATTAGAATAGATTGATTACAAATTACAGGCAGATCAATCTGAGGGCTTAGAACTGTTAGAGCCAGATGTATGTACAAGCATTCTGTACAGACTTAACACATCTAAGCTGTAGCTTGGTTGAAGGAGATAGTGTGTGTCTTCCACTCAGTGTAAGTGACTAGTTCTAGCATTATTCTGAGAATCTTATTAACCAGTTCTGGGTGAAGAGCTTTTTCAAGCATTCTGATGAGAACATTATTGAACCCAAGTATGAATCCTACCTTCCAGGCCAGGATATTGAACTCCTGAAAGAAGGTATTAGTAGAATGTTTGCCCTGTCACAGAGACACAAGCTTGTTCTGTACATTGTGCTTCTCATTCAGATTGATAAAGGAAGTACAGAGCTACCTTATGAATTCTGAGTATGACTCATTGTTCTAAAGTTGGATCAGGCTTCTAATCTGATAACCTTTGATCCAGTTCTAGGCCCAGGTAGCTGTGTTGCCTTCCTTCATGAAGGAGAGGACAAATAGGACACAATCAAGATCTAAGGATAGATCAGTTAAAGTAGCAGCCACATATAGTTTGACTTAGTGTTAGAAGTCCTTAAAGTGCTACCTATTAAAGTTCAAAGGGTGGGTTACATACACTTTCTTTCTAGAACAGGTTACAACTTCTAGAACAATTAGAATGGGTTCTGAAGGGGTTAGGGGCATGTGGTTGGTAAAGGCCTTTTAGATAGAGGTCTACATGTATTAAGCTAGTTCTGCTCATAACTACTGATCTGGCAGGACAGTAGGGGTGGCAGTCAGTGTAGTAGGGTTCATGTCTACACTACAAAGGGATCAGCACTAAACTAAAAGGGGTAATGAATAGAAGAAGGGTGGCAAAAGTTTAAAAGGGTTTAGAAAGTTTAAAATTTAAAAATGTAAAAGGGTCAGGACAAAGGAAAGAGATTGACACAATAGTAAGTACTAATGCCTGAAACATAGGAGAGTTGTAGAGTGGTAATGAGTAGTCTTAATCTAATGTCAGTAACAGTGTAGAGGGGACCCAAAGGCTCAGCAAGGGGACCCAGGCTACAACTATCCTATACAACAGAAATACAGAATGTAAGTACTAGAATGTAGTTGGAACTTGCAGAACAGGCAGAGAGAGAGAGTGAGACAAGAGTAGAGTATATAGAGTGAGCCTAAGAGTACAGGACTACCTGGAGTAGACAAGATCAAGACTACTAGACTAGTCTGATCTTGTATGCCTATATATACTAAACTACACAAGAGCACTCAGGGAGCATGAGCCACTAAGAATGATGAGCCACAAAGAATGAAAGAAAGGAATGTCAAAGATAAAGGTACAAAGAATGAAGGGATGGATAAAGGGTAAGAGACTATAGAATGGTACAAAGAATGAAGGGGTGGTCAAAGGAATGGAATGATAAAGTAAGGAAGGGTAGTAGCAAGAGTCAGCATGCATATAGTTCATAGACAGTACCTCTAAGAGACAGAAGTCCCAAGTTCTGGTACAGAAGGGTGCAGAACCCTTGGAACTGAAGGTATGAGAGCAGAGAACTGTAACATTCTCCTTCTTACATAGAGCATTCCAGAGCCTAGCATTAAGAAGGGAGGCCAGAACAAGCTGTACTGACCATAGAATAGGACTGTTAAGAGATGAGGAACAAAAAGAGAGAAAAAATTATTTATTTAGCAAATGTTACAGACTAATACTCTCAACCAATGTGTCATTAGGACTGTAGGTCAGTGTAGATCAGTGCAGATCAATGTAGATCAATGCCGATCATTTTACTCTCTTGTCACGCTTTTTGAGCATTTTTAACAAATTACACAATATTAATTTAAGGACTGGTTCATTCAATATGATAAAACATACATATTGTAGCTCTGAAGTAGAGGAATACAATAATATAATTTTTATGTTGAACACTGTAGCATAAGTAGTAGTAAAAAATTTGTCAGTAGTCTCATATTTGGAATTCATTCAATTTCAGCAGTATTGAATTTCTATACACTTTTCTACTGAATCAATTTCCTTCAGAATTCATATATATATAGTACATGTATGTATCTACATTTTTCTATTTTTTTGAGTTTATTGGTTGAGTTATGCATGAATTAGAGGGGGGTGTTCAAAGGAACGTCCCTGTTTAAAGGAACGACCAATGCCTGTAGTAAGGAAGACGATCGGCGCGATCGGCGTTCACCACAAAGATGCACTCTGGCAACGTTCTTATTGGCCAGGTCTTTGGTCTTCTACCTACTTTGTTAGCCGAGCACTACCAGTCCTACTCAGCGTCTCTGCGGTCACTTAGTTGTCGTCAAGCGGCACACGGTCGTGATGACCGTCCCGCCTGCTACCTCAGAAACAGACTCCGCGCAGCCTACCTCCCGTAAACCGATATTTGAGGGGAGCACGCAGTTCAGACATTGGCGATACTCTGCCGAACAGCTCCGAGACATCCGCACTTCACTGAACAAGGCGGCGGTGAACGCAATTAAGAATGCGTTTGAACTTGATTTGGTACGTTTCCGCTTTGAGGAGCAATAATAATACTGTAGAAAGATTTATCTGAAACGCTTAGCCTGGCTCTTCAGATAATGTGTCGTTCTTGACCGCAGAAGAGGAATACCTTTTGGTCAAATTGTATGTTAGCAAGGTTGGTCAACTCTGTGGCCACTTTCGCTTTCCGGAAGAGGTGGAAGCCACTGCCATTTCGTACCTCAAGCGGTTTTACTTGAAGAACACAGTCATGGACTGGCATCCGAAAAACGTGATGTAAGATTTATCTGCCATAACTTCATGCGGCATCCTAACAAATAAATGCTGGAACACGGAAAGGCTGACGGCATTATTCCTGGCTACGAAAACCACTAACAATCCTATCTCACTTGAGCACTATACTGCTACCATTCCGAAGACATCACCATCAGATGTCCTCGATCTTGAATTTCTCGTTGCACAGAGCTTGAATTTCGAATTCAAAATATGGCATGCTTATAGAGCTCTTTGGGGCATCTATCTTGATATTCAGGTCAGTCAAGAAGACGCTGTAGACGTTCTCGAATCGGTACTGATTTCATTGATCCAGAATCTTCCGGACATTCCACTTGATCGACTACAGGAAACATATCACACAGCTATGAAGCATGTTCGTACCTCAAGACTTACAGATGCAGAGCTTGTATACGCGCCTTCTCAGATCGCGTTGGCAGCATTTTCGATGGCATCGCCGGATCTAGCCACCGCCTGGGCTCAGTCGAAGGGGGCGGAGTCTGTTTTATCAGTTGTCAAAGATATCGAACAGATGATTAAGCGGGACGGATCAGGACCCGACGTAGAGAAGGTGAGGGACGTTGATAAACGACTCCGGCTGTGCAAAAATCCAGAGAAGGTTGTTGGGAGCAAGGCGTACCTCGCAAAGAAAGCAGAACAAGAGGCGAAAGAAAAGGAAAAACGGACGAAGAAAGCGGACGATACGAGGCGGACGATAGAGTCCGGTGATCCTTTCGGCGAAGAACTCGGAGCTCAGAACGGGCGAGATCCCAACCTTGATGACGATGACTATGATTAAACACAGAAGACTACCGGGAGAGCATCTTGAACCCTGGCGGTAGCATCGGGCTTCTATCTTGAGGGCGAGCTTTTTCCTTGGGAATAATCATGTGTATTGTAGAATCAGAGAGCAATTTGACCTCCCTCTCCTTTTGCCACTGATGAGTAGCAGCCTACTCGGCACTGCAGCCTTGTTTTTCTGTCAAATTGTTTTGATGCCAGTGATGAATTGCATGTTCCCTCTCGCGTAAGCCGGTCCGATGCAGTGTCAGGGCGCCGTGGGAAAGCAGTAGCCCATCAACTCGCGGTCGGTCAATAGCCCGCCTAGGTTGGCTCTTCTTGTCTTGTCCTCTCCTCAGTAGTGTCTTCCCGTTCTTCTTCTCCTGCCTCTTCTGTCCGTCCGAGTCTCCTCCCGTTCTTATGGACAATGAAGCTCATTCATCGACTGCTGAAACCTCCGGACAACACCAGCCCAGCGAGCCGTCCGCACCGGGTCCGACAGACCCGCCCGTGTCGCCTGTGAGAAGTACGATCTCAAACGATGACACTGGTAGTATGGCGACAATTCTGGAAGATGTAGATGAGATATGGAGTGATGCACAGGAGATCACAGAGGCTGCGGAGGTAGATGCAGTGCAACAGGAAATTGCTGAATCCGTCAATGCAGACAATATTGGCAGCACTAACGTACCGAGCTCCCGTTTGGGGTTGGATCCCGACTTGGTTCAGCTCAAGGTCGTGACTGGGGAAAATAATAAAGGCGAATCGGAGGTCATGACTGTTGAGGAACCTCCGTCGGCCATTAGCACTCCTTCTGATCCTGCCCCAGCACAAGCTGAACTCGCCACCGCCCGTCCGCCGACCTTGGAAGTGCCTTCCATGCCAACATCCCCGACGCCATCGGCCTCCACCCACGCTGGAACGTCGCTCGAAGCTCCTTCTTCTACTTCGAGCACGCGACCCGTGTCTCCTTCGCCAACCCAGTCAAGCCATGGACTAAGTCGCAGACAAAGCAGAAGACGATCGGCAATCGACGTATGTCTGCTCGCCTCCTCTGTGTTTTTCCTCTACCTCCTGGCTAACATTTGGCTACCTATTCGATTTCTTTCCCCCTTTTATTTGTCTAGGGCCGCTCTACGAATCGATTTTCAAGTCTCTTGTCAAATCTCATACACCGTCGGCCCGAACGTGACCATGCGCCAGGATCGTCAGGCAGACCTTCTGCTCGCGAAGACGGAGAACCGGCTCATTCTAAAGGCGATGAATCTTCAAGGGCATCGTCCCCTCTACGTGCAGCTCGGCCTATTACACCACCACCAGCTTTACCAGCTCCTTCTTTGCAGGAGCTTGGTCTTTCTTTGACTGCTGTAACTTCCATTCTCACTCCTTCACACTTCAGCACACCACCAACCAGTGGGACCTTTATGAAGCCACATTATCTTCTATTATGCCATACTCAAGGTTTAGATGTTCTTCCTCTCGTCGCGCCACCTGCGCCACAGCCATATGCTTTGGTGCGCCGGGTCAGCTTCAAGAGTGTCGTGGTGATGGAGGAGAAGGGTGTCCTCGTGGCTATTGCCGGGAGAAGGGACGGTGTAAGAGTCTACGCCTTGGAAGAGGTTAAGAAAGCTGTCGAGTGGCGAGTCGACGTGGAGATTAGACGCGAGAAAGAAAGGTTGAAGCGAGAGGAGGCAAAGAGGGGAACATCGAATGTCGACAAGGTCTTTGGCGAACTAAAATCCGGCACACCTCTGCATGAAAAGCCCAACAAATCGAGCTTGGCGGAATCGCCTACCACTCCGACTCCAGCTACACCGAAGAACAAAAGGCGGAAATCTTCCGTTGGAACAGCTACGACTACCGGTTCCGCTCCTCCTCGGCCCCGACCTCCGGTTACGGGCCGGAAGTTAAGGAGAGCATCTTCGAGAGATACATCGAGTGCTCATCGGATCAGTGATCCTCCTCCTTATCAGGCTCCAACTTCTCGACCTGGTTTGGAAAACCAGTCTTCCGTTATCTCAGTTACCCAGACTCGATCCCGTTCCGGTTCTGTGCAAAATGTATTAGCTGGTACTTCAGCACGTCGACGTAGTGTAGTCTCTGTTCCTCGCGATGATGAAAAGGGCGACTGGGAGCATCATTCGAGCGACGATGAAGCTATCAACATGGCAACCGCGGGTCCCAGTGGAAGTGCGGCTCTTGATGAACGGACAAGTTCTATGGCATCTGGAGGGCCTTCAGTCACCCACCCTTCGCCTGTGGAGGGAGGCCAAGCTGTAACGCCTTTGGACATACCGAACTTAGCTGAATCGCGACGACTCTCCCAAACATCTGCGTCACCGACGATGACTCGACGGTCGAGTAGACCGGCGCAGCTGGACCTTACATTGTCCCGAACGCCGACCGTCACTGGGAATGCATCACGACCACCACCGTCGCCCACTCCGTCTGTTTGGACTCTACGTCAAGCATTAGCAGCTGCACCATCCGAAGAGGACCGCTCGAGGACCATTACGTCCGATGTAGACGGAGAGGACGACGATGACGATGGTGATGGTGATGGTGAACCCATCAGTTTTGCTCAGGCTCTCATGGAGAGTCGACTGCCTGATCTTCCTCCACCTGGCTCGCAGCGACCACAAGAACCGATACTCATCAATTCACGCGATGCTACGGAGCCTCAGAGTCCGGTTGAGAGTGCATCGACAGAAAATGTTGATATCAATCCTGCATCGCGGCGCGCACGGCGGCGATGGTCGGTTCTGGATGGCATGTTCTCACAATCCGGCAGCACGGAATCGATTCGACCCGATAATTCATCAAATCGGTCTCGGGCAATCAGAGAATCGCTTAGTGAACGACCATCAACTGGTCTTATCCGCATGAACTCTGCTGATGCAAATACCACTGTAAGGCGACTTTCACGTGGACATGCATCTGCTACTTCCCTCTCGCGTCCAAGTACAGCCAGATCAATGCCAGCTGCTCCTTCGCCTTCCCCGTCTGCACCTTCTACTCCATCACAACGACGATTTCTTCCGCGAATAATAACTAACGCCCTGCATTCGCGGCGCTCGGATGATCAACCCAGTCCCGGAGCAAAATCTTTACCGGGTGAATCAACAAAATCAAGTAATGCTGGTGCGCCGTTGCCACCTGCTCCGAAACTTGAGTATGTCAAGTTACCAGGAACCAAAGGGGCGGTCATGATCAAGGCGGTTGAAACTGCCAAGAAAAGGTGTGGCTCCTCTGAGACAAATCATGCGTAAATGCACTCATCACGATTTACAGTTTCCTGGCTATTCTCTGCGGAGAGAATGGCGAGAAGGTGGAACTATTTGCAGGGACCTACAGAACAACACTTGGCCTTTCCCGTACCTTCATCCTACCCGACTCACCTCGTTCTCTTGAGCTCCAGTTACAAGGAGACGATTTGGTCGAAGTATTCCTTGTTTTTGCTCAGAATGTTTTTGGATTGGAGCCTGCAACCGTGAGAGTCCGTGAAGTCAGAGTCGGTCGAGCTGAGAGACGTGCCGCGCGTCGTCGTGCCCGAGAAAATAGGGCGGAAGAACTTGCTAGTACGGAAGTGAATGGTCCCTCTCTTGGAGACGGAGATGCGACGGACGCTAACGTCAGCGTTGGAGTGACATTAACGACGTCGACAACATCACAAACTTTCGACGAAAGTGTTTCTACTCCTCCGCCTATGAGCAGACAAGCGTCGGAATCGAATCTCAACGCTTCCGAGTCGACGCAACCACCGCCCAATACGACGCAATCGGAGGAGTTGGCCGCCCTTGCAACTGCGCATGTAGCACCTTACACGACCTTCCAACAGTTATCATTCGCGCCGCAGTTTCCACTTGCGACAATAGCTGACGAATGTGTTATCCCTCCCACATATCAAACATTCCTGGAATACCGGGCTCAGTACGAGCCTGAGCCAGATGGTGCCAATAATCTTGATCTGGCAAATGTGCAATTCAGTCCTCCAGGTCTCCCGATACCACTAGCCCTTCCTCCTTCTAAGTGGTATTATCGGGATCCTAAAGGCGTCGTACAAGGTATGTTTACTCAACAATTATTGTAAAGCTTCTGCTAAATACTATTCTAGGTCCCTGGAAAGCCTCTCTCATGCAAACTTGGTATAAGGATGGTCTCCTACCTCCTGACCTGCCGGTTCGACGTGAAGAGGATGAGGATTATATTCTTTTGAAGGATTTGAGAGCGCAAAGTGTTGACCCGGCCCATCCGTTCCGTCCTCCCCCGCCTCCTTTGAAGAACTTCAGTCTCCCATCTGAACCAGTCAGACCGTTATTAGATCCTATTTCTTTGTTGACTCAACAGCGTCGTTACGGACCACCGGCTTTGTTTTTCACGAGTCGAGGTGGTCATAGCACAACGGTAGTCGACGCCCGTGGACGATCTGTCCTACGAGGTCGCTTACATTGGAGTATTGATGAAGAAGAGGATTTCTCTGTTTACGGAAACAGGCTTGGAGATGTGAAACGATTGGAGGCATTTGACATTGGAGACACCGCAGTCATTGCTGCTGTCCGGCAAGGCGGCCTAGAGGTGACAAACGTTGCAGATGCCTTAATGGGTCCGGGAGATATGTCGCGACCCGCTCTTCCTAACTTCAAACCGCATCAATCGACCGTCAGTAGACGCGGTCCTTTTGTCTGGAGAGTCGGCGCTCCTCTTGCGGCATTTGCTGCTGGTCCTGTTTCGTCCGACAAGGTCTTGCTAAGTACCCCGTCAGGGAAGAAACAAGGCGGCCTTGGGATCGGAAAATCCACTGGCAAGAATGAGTTAGCACTTGGCAATGCTGACGACTACGAAGGCCGTCAACACGAAGAACTTCTGTTTTTGGGACGTATAAGCGAGACTGTATATTTCTGCGAACGAAGTAATGGTTCATTCCGCATCCTACGACTTTGTCCGAACACAGCATCAACTACATCATTATTATGATATCCAAAGTTTCTACATGTACACCCCCGCCCCGCACATTCAATCAATCAATCTATCTTCCATCCATCTTGTCGGCATTTATACCCTCACTCGTAATTTTAGTAGACATCATATGTAGCCCCTACAAATTTTTATATGCCTCGAATCCTCGACGTCACATTTATATAATAATAGTTATAGTCGGGCAACGATGCCGCGCAAGGCTGTTTTCATGATCTTACCCGTTGAATTTTTCTGCACAAAGTGGGATTGTCAATTTGTTATGTAGTGAGTGAAAATGTACCAATTTCAGGGCTTACAGGAAGTTCATCTACGACTCGCACCCATTCGGGACATGCGAATCCAGGTAGACGAGACCTTGCGAATTTCTTGAGTTCTACCTCGAAATCATGATGCCTGCCAGCATATTCCTTTTCGGCAGCTGGAGTGAGAATGACAAAGGCCATTGGACGTTCGCCCCATTTAGGATGTGGTCTAGCTACGACTGCGACTTCGTGCACTGCGTGGTGCTCCGCCAGTTCTGCGAACGGAGAGTCATGAACATGAGCCGAAACTCATCATGTTACACGAAGCATGACATCTAGCTGACCTTGCTCAATTGCTAGACTTGAAGCGTTCTGTAATCCAGTAAGTATAGGCTCTTTATGAAAATAATTATCAAGAGTGTAAGGAAATCACCTCGCCACCCGAAATGATAATATCTTTACTCCGATCCTGGATAGCTATACTCCCGTCTTCATGCATAACCGCAAGATCTCCGGAAGCGAAATATCCACCTCGGAAGGCCTTCTTGGTTGCTTCCGGATCGCGAAAGTACTGCCGAGGGATATCCGTTAGTCGAGATAAATCGTACAGTCATAAATGATCCGAGAAGGAAATTAGGATTTAGGAATTTACCTCCTTCATGACGATGTTGCCACGAGTCACGACCTCTCCGACGGTCTTTCCGTCAGCCGGTACGTCCGTGAGTTCATCGCTGTCGTCTTGATAGACTACCCGAACTTCTTGCGCTGTGGCGAAGGCGTGACCTTGTCGGGCTAGAAACTTGGCGCGCTCTTCAAGGGATAGGTCTTTCCAGAATGGCTGAGCGTAGCCACGCGTAAATGGACCATACGTCTATAGTAGTTTGTTAGGTCTCGAAATCACTTATAATGGTGCCTGTCATACCTCTCTGAAAATAGACGTTAACTATGGTTTATACATTATACGAAGCAGAACGTACGTTAGTCCGTATACATGAACAACATGTATATTCTTCTTTTCTAGTTCACCGATCAGGTGTGCGGTAGGAGCAGAACCGGCTATGATCGTAGCCACAGGCTTTTCCAATCTTATCGCGTCTGGGTGTGTGATGATACCAAGCTATGTTAAATAGTTGATGGTAAGTCTAGTACAATGATTTATATAATTAGAGCCTCATACCTGAACAGTCGGTGCCCCGCAGTAATGAGTAACACCTGAGTTCAGAAAATGTCGCCAAATATGGGTATTTGACACGTTCCGTTGAGTGATCTAAAAAGAAATGTTTAAAGTAGCTCAGTATGCAAAGAAATCGTTTGAGCAATCTGACGTATACACCTGTGCAGCAAAGGAAAAGGTGATTGACCACGGAAAGGTCCATCCAGCAGCATGGAACATCGGTAAGACCCTATAGTTATTTGGTATTTTATAAAACCGTATTAATTGAGAAATCGCCGCAGGTACCCACCACAGATATACCGAGTCAGGAGTCATTCTGTCGAGATACTTCGTCAAGAAGCACACAGAGTTCGCAGATTGTCTAACGTACCTTGCTTCATATGCATTACCAACAGCACCCAAATATGACCCTACGTGCAGCTAGTGTAAATTTTTTGTATACCAGCTTATTAATTGGAGTTCAGCTTCACCTCTTAGAGTTGTAAGAACGCCTTTCGGTCTTCCGGTAGTGCCAGAACTAGCCAAATACAACGGTTAAGCGGGCATACACTCAAGTTTGTGTTTGAGAGGCCTACGTGTAGCAAAGTACGGCACCTGCATCCTCATCAAGCTCCATTTCGAGACCAGGCCAGCCTCTCTCGTTACTATGTTGCCTTCCTTTAGACAAGAACTCCTCATATGGACACCCAAACCTTCCAGTGTCTCTGCTGACTATAACAGGAACTTTAGCATCCTTAGTAAAATGCGTGTATTCGTGATCGACAAGTATAAGCTTTGATCCGGAGTGTTGCAATATGTAATCAACCTCGGACTTCGTCAGTCTGGTATTTATCAGTGTAATTATAGCTCGAGCGGCGAGTACTCCGTGCATTGCCTCTGGGAAGGGATAATTATTTCGCTTCATCTGTGAATTGTGGCCTCATACCTGCAATCATTGGTCTACATGCAGCAGTTAGCAGTATAATTTCATCTTAAGAAAGTGAAGCTCACGTGTTAGGCGATATGACAGCGACTCTATCCCCTGGTTTTATTCCGGACCAAATCAAAGCATATGCAAGATTCTGTATCCTTTGTGCCCTGAATGACCATGGTCCACGATAGTATTATTTAAGCCCTGTCATATTCAATATAGAGGATTAACTTACCATACCGAATATGTATAGGCTACAGGGTTCTCAACGTCTGGGTGAGCAATTGCAAGTTTATGAGGATAAATAGTTGCGCCTCGGAGGACAAATGCCAATGGATTCTGTTGGTTTCATTATTTTCATGCTACACACAGAAATACTGTCTACCAAATATTCACCAGAGGGTGTAAATGGACCGGCAGTCGTGACCCTTCAGGAAGTTTCATTCGGAAGCAACAATGTTCCGGAGGAATACTTGCGGGTGTTGGTCGAAAATCTATTAAGACTCTATAGCGACGTGAAGCACTGGAAATCTCCTGCGGGCTTACCATGCGGATCCAATAGGGACATATTGTTAGCACTTCGAAGGACAAGAAATGGATGCGCGGAAGATGACGGGAGGGAAAGAAGAACCTGCGTGTACGTTCAAGTGACCCGCCAAACCTTATGAATGAATATGAAATCGGTTTAGTGGCTGTGCAATGCTGAGGACGGTCGCGCTCACGTGCGACGCGTCTCCCCTCCACACCACGACAACATCTTGTGGTCCGCGATCTCGTTCTATCCAATGTCGCAAACGGAGTCCGACTCTGAAGCTAGTGTCTCCGTCCAAGACTGCGACAATACCTCAGACTTCTGTCTAGGCGCTCGGTTTGACTCTTTCCTTCCTGACCCTGTCGCCTCGAACATCGAAAGCGTGCAATCGTTCGAATGTATTAACAAGGCAGCGACCGCACTTGAAGCGCTCAAACATATCGTAATCAATGTACACGGGATTATGCGCGTTGGGTTCCTCCTGTAGGCTAAGACTCTTACTTAGGACGAAATTGACATCAACGCACTGGAGCAACACTTGGGCGACATTCTGGTGTTCGCTGAAGCCGTATCTCGTGGAAGATTACATGTAAATGACGACGAGCAATATATCCATCTCCTGGTCTCACTCTGTGAGCATATACACAACTGTGCTGTATAGGCTAATCTGGACGCACACGGACTTGGTACAGTTGATCCTGCCTTCCTTTGCATTCTGCTGAACATACGAAAGCTCATCCGCAAAATTGCCTCTGAACCCGACCACTATCAGTCTGACGGGACAACCGTGTGTTTGATCGACTACTTCTTCGCTTCCTGTATGAATCTCGTCACGAGTGTTGTGAGCAGTCGTCAGGGGTCAGGAGTACACCAAAGTACCACTCCTTCTGGTTTCGGAACTCAGAATGAAGAGGACAACGTTCTCATTGCTTGCCAGCTTCCACGTAAGAAATCGCCACTTCTAGAGGGATGAGGCTAACAATTGGCATAGAATCATGGGGGCATTTTCCTGGACTACTTCAATGTGGCCACGCTTCCCCTGCATCAAAACGACTAGCCTTGTCAATTTTATTTTTTGCGTTAGTGATCAGGCCAGACATTGGACTTTGTGATCCATGGAATGAGGCAGAGTAAAGAGGCTTGTTCTCTTGCGTTTCAAGAATTTTAAACATAAACGTATAGAATTGAACCAGGGCTCATGATAGAATGCTTGCAAGGACTCCTGACCGAATTCATGGCACAGATACAGAAACTGGATTTATCTGGAAGTGATTCTTTAGCCCACTCCCTTCGGACTGCATACGCCATGACAATTGTATTCTTTGCCGTGAGTAGTATTTCTCGCCAAAACATACCAATTACTTACTCCCGAAAAGTCTGCAGAGACCGAAATCCGACGTCGAGAAGGCGAAAGTCCTGTGATGCACTTCAGGCCGCACACTTCGGCGTCCCTACTTGAGCTTGTCAACTTCGTATTGTTGCCGTCGTCTCAGCAACGTTCGGACTTTTTCATAATTGCGGAACTGGATATTGCGCAAGCCATTCTTCTGCAATGGGGAAATGCAATTCCGTGGGCGTGGCAGAAATGGGACGATCCTCGAACGATCAACTTTGACGCCGCAGTGAGACTGGTAATTGGTTCCTCTAGACTTTCCAGTAGCGGAGTGCCCATCATACAAACTCATATTAGACAGGTAACTGGTTTTGTCACCTTGACAAGTCGTTGCTCTCGGCTATCTGGGAGGAAATTTTGCTTCCTCACAAGGATACGTCGTACTCTCAATCCACTGAACTAGCATGGTTTCTGCGACAAACTGTGAAATCCGATCCTCGCGCAACTTTGATCGCATTATTTGTATGTAACCCCTGAATGGTCCGAATTATACCTGACGACAGCCTGTCTAGCATCAAATACGCGACAATCCTGACTCAGAGAGATCATTCGACATCGCCGATGAATCTAATGCGTCGCGCTTGCATCTAGCTGTGTTGTGTCTCGCCGAGGTTATCGAAGGTTACAGCGGTCTATTGAACTCAGCGGATTTAGCACTTGTTGCAGAGCAACTAGTAATGCTCTTTGTACATCTGAACGGTCGTACCGACGGGAAAGGATCAGGAAGTAAGTTATCGGAGCAGAATAAACAGAACTTATGCTAAGTGGGTTCTCGAAGTTAAAATAGGAATAATTCGTTGCCTCGATGCACTGGAACCCAGCATTACAGAAGGAGCCCTTGCGTCCTTGCACAAAAATATAACTTTCTTCTCCAAGCTTGCCGGAGGTTTGTCATTCCTAAACATGCTGCACCGTATCGGTTAATCCAATATCAATTTGACAACGATGCAGTGATTGCTGATGCTTCAAAGTGCGTGTCATTATTTATAATGGCCGATTTGCGCTACTCAGACTACAACAAAAGCATACTTGATAATGACGCTACCGAAAGCTTTCTTCATAATCCGGAGGTCCTACTGTCTGTCATAATACTGCTCCATTTCATCTCCTTGTTCTGCAAAAATGGCGCGGTCAATTGCTTTCCCGAGACGGCGTTTAATCTACTCTCCGATCTCGTCAAATTTCTTTGCTCGTATACCGGCACACCAGAGTTAAGCATAGCGCTGCTGAACTGTCTCGTTCATACTTCTGGCCAATGTCGTCCGAGTCGAGGTGATACAACAGTCGAGAAGGCCATGGTGGGTACCGGATCCGACAATCCTCCCGTTATACCTATTGCAAGACCTCTCAAGACATGGGATGATGAAGATGCATATAATTTGGCGCTCAGTATGGTCGGGACTAACTTGGATCTCGCTGGTTTGTTACCGTCTGACCGGATCACTCGAAGAGAAGCTGATATAATTATCATTGCTTGGTCCTTGATGATTTGTTCGTCTTGTTCTGAACAGCTGCATTTGCCTCCTACGTCAACCTTACGATCAAGAAGAATACCGATCCGCTGCTCGTGTTAGAAACATGGGATTACTTGCGCGATGTATTATTGATCATCGCCACTGGGCGCCTAAACGACTGCGTCGGCCTTTGTTCTTTTCCGAGAGTTGACCTCACTCTAGATGATGAGCCCTCGGTAATGGAAGGTAGAGCACTTGAGATTGTCAACGCAACGGAGAAGATATGCAATGCTTTAGAAACGATTCTAAAACGCAGTGATATCAGTTTAGGTTCGTAACTTCAGTTGTTTTGCTCTTTGACTCTTTGATATCAAGTTCTCTCGATCCAGTCCGCCTATTAATTGACTCTCCGTGGATTATCACTCTTCGCGATTCGTTAACGAAACCCACGGCAACAGCCGCGTCGACCGGAGAGGCTAGTGTCATTCCTGACGAGCCATCAGCATGTCCGTCTTCCGACTTCGGAATTGAGGACCGTGCTCATCTCGACCCGCGAATTATTCCCATATGCAAGAGGTTCCTGGAGAAGGTACGTCTTCCGTTCCGTTTTCTTTCTCGTACATTCTTGCTTATTGGTTCATACATTTTTCACTATTTGAATTTCGCAGTTAGAACAGGTTGAGTCCGACTTGTCGAATGAATCCTGATCAAATCCTTATTGTCGTCTAAGAATGTATTTTCACGTTTTACTTCTGCTGAGACATTGCTCGAAGAACGCCACTCATGTTTCGTGTTGTTTTCCCTAACACTGCATCAGATAGGCATAAATAACTGTCTTTTCTGTGTTTACTACAGAATGCTCAGCAACCGTACTCATATATAGAATAACAAAAATAGTGGTGAATCGACAGAAATTGACAAAAACTGCGAACTGCGGAGCGAAATGCTATACAAAAATTATCGGTATACATTTGTTAACCTCACGATAATATAAAGTTTCATGGCGGGGATCGGTCCCAAAACAAACTTAAATCACCGACCTACTGCACCCCCGTTCAATTGTTTTTATTTATTACAACAATTCAAAAGGAGATGCATGCGCAGACAGAACTCCGTCACCACCTTCTCTGAATCTCTACATCCCGGAATCTTGGTAAAGATGACGTAAAGAAAGTAAAGTGCAGGATTCCGTGTTTTTAGGGTTTTGTTAAAAAAGAAATATTACTGCATAATATTAAGTATTTCAGTACGTCGTAGACCTCGGAGTGGCGTAGGAGATCGCCGTATTCGCTATACAAGACTAAAGAAAGATTCACCATTTGGATAGACCGTTGATCTCCGACTCTAAGGGTAGGCATGCAGTACATTCATAATTCATCGCGGGAACCGACTGTGGGGACCAAACTTCTGGACTGGTATGCATACAAGGCTAGGAAAAGAACAAACGTCTGGCGAGTACACTCAACATGCATATTGATAAGAGCAAGTTGGAGCATGGAGCCGAGGAAGACTGATGAGAGCGAGTGTTATGACCTTGTTTCATTCGGCCGAGCGAGGCTAGTGTGTGCGTGCGTTGAGACAACTAGCTTTGATAGTGCATCGATCCAAGTTGATAGTTGCCGTGAATGTACAAGTAGAAGAAAGAGAAGCACTAGCTTGTATCAATTGTTCTCACCCCAGAGTGCTCTGTTAACTGCAGTGCTTATCCGAAGACAGAGTATCTTGAGTTGCGTTATTAAGGAAGGCCGTCCACAGAGCTTTGTAAGGCTGATTTTTAGAAAAGACGGAGATGAAAGTGGCACGCCATATTCCGAAACTAGCTGATCTGCAATCACTTTTGATTTTCATCTAGCCCCAGCCAGGGCAGAAGCAGTAGAGTCAAAGAACACGGATCCGGAGAAGGTATACTAGCAGGCTCTTATGCAATGATCTCCGGAACGTCTTAGGACCGGATGAATCATTCAGAGGCGGGAGAAAGTCAAAAGAATTGGAATGCGGTCCGAGGTCGAAAAGTATGCAGGAAGTAATGGGGGTGTTCGCGGTCCTTGTACTGTGTGAGGTCACGCTTGTTCACAGTAATTGATGGACAGGCTACAAAGTCTCGGTCCTTGGGGAATGAATTGGACGCGAGAACGTGCCGAACGGAAGCAAAGTGAGCGATGACGTTATAAGCAACTTAGTACGAGGCTAGGAACTGAGTTGGAAGTGCATCCCGAGTCTTTGGCATTTATTCGCGCTTTCCTTGGGTTCCGAGAACGGGGCGGCTAGAGGCGCAGACAGCAGACAGGTGGAGCCGGAAAAGCCTCGTGACAAGTAAGGGTGGTAATCGGTGAGGAGCGCCACTACGATATGGAGTCAGAGAAATTGAAAGAAACGTTTGAGCCGGGAACTAGCCTGTGGTGACTCGTGAGACTGAGCACCTGATAGACGTGGAGATAGACATGCACAGGGAATGACATCAGTACAGAAACAGACTCGATCCTCTCAAGCACTTCGTTTCACAGGCTCATGTGCACTGTGAATTTACTGATTACGGGCTACAGTAAACGAGAGTAACGGTCCAACACCAGTTGGCATTGTGCCAAGGGGGCGACGGTGGCAAGATGAGCAAAGCGGGGGTGTTGCAACGGAAAGAAACGAGGAATGAACCATTTGACTGGCAAAGCAGCAGGGGGATGTTTCAAACTAGGGAATAGCAGACCCCCGGACACCACGTGCTTATAGGACTGGTAGTTAGCAAGCACCCGTCGACACCTGCACATCATCACCTCGCCGCTCATCTCACCCACTCTCGATACTTTACCTTTACATTCCTTGCTCTCAGACGCTGCGTCCCTCTCCTCCGGTCGCTGTCGTCTGCCGCACTCTTCGCCGCCGCTGTCGCCTCGTCCTCCTCCTGTTCCCTGCCTGCCACCCATCGTTCGATCGATGTTCATGTCCTCTCCGTTTCGTGGTTCCCACCGCCGCTCCAGATCACACACGTCGCTTTCCTCTCCCTCATCCTCTCCTGTCGCTAGATCCGACAAACACCGCCCTCATGCAGTCTACTCTCGGCTGCTGAATGACAAACTCTCAGGCTGTGCCGATTCCACCACTGCTGACTCGCCGTTCTCCGCTGCACCCGCATTTACCGCCCAGCCACCCGAGAAATGGGATGTTGAGGCATGGAGGCGTGGCAAAAGAGCCAGACGCGATCAAGAGGTCCGTTCCGTTTCATCTCTCCGTTTCTCGGCGTCTCTGACTCTCCCTTTAATATCCTGTATTTGCCCGCGATTATTTATTTAGAGTCCTTCGGAAGACGCAGACATGGAATCTTGTGATGAACCCATGCCAGGCTCACCAATTGCTGAATTGCAAGCCAACTCTCTGTCCATGTCTGTTCCCTCTACCCCACTCCCTCGCTTCCCAGCGACGTCAGATGCGTTCCAATTCTTCCCGCCCAAATCGTCATCTGCCGCAAGGCAGGCATCGACGACATCTGACGGTCATTCATCGTTCTTTGGTTCGGGCAATCGGAACAAGCATGAGGACAGACTCGAACAAATGCATACAGATGCCTTCAGTGATTTGCGCAAGACTGTGTCGGAGGCAGGTGAGGGCTTTGTGCGTCGTATGCGCGAATTCGAAGCACATCGCCGAGCAAGATCCTCACGTGTAATCGCAGTGGTGTCGCGCTCCGACGGCTCGCCCGGCTGTCAGATGCCGCCGTACAAACGAGGCAGGAAACGGCCATCGCCATTATCTGTTCGACAGTCCAACGTGCAGCATGCGAACGTGGGACAGAACCGTGGGAATGGAAGCGGCTCCGAGGCAGACGACTCGGATATTGAGATCCGTTCCAGTTGTGCGTCAGGCTCGGACGATTTCCGAGGCTGGTCGCCCTCCAAGAAACGAGCCGTGTCGCTCAGTGCTCTCGGCTACCAGGACACCGTTGCAGTCGAGAATCCACGTTCATTTCCTTGTCCTATCCCTCTTCTCAACCGTGACAGGAGCTCGTCGCCATCGCCATCGACATACTCCAATTCTTCGTCAGACGAGGACGAGGACATCACAAGCTCCAGCGGCAGTGTCGTTGACCGCTCACGTCATCGGCATGCTTTGCGTTTCCGCCCCAAAGTGCCTTCTTTGGTCAAATGCAGCCCGCCGTCTCTGGCCTTTTCCTTTACGGCCTCTAATAATTCATCCAGAATGTCAATCGACACGGGTGTACCGTCTCCCGTATCTCTGCCGAGCGCCGTGACGAATCCGCTTTCGTCATCTCCCGACCAATTCAAAAGTATGGACACCTCCAATTACGGACCCGCCATGGCGACTAGTCCGCCGGCACAGCGGACATCAAAATGCTCTGACAAGACCGTTGCAGCTCTAAGTCTTGCCCTTGCCAATGGTGCCGGAAGTGTGAACGATTATAATGCCTTGCGGGAAGCGCAAGGTGTGCTATCCATGGAGAGCAGCGAAGTTGGCAGTTTATTTGATTAATCTCCATTTCGTCGAATGCGCTCCAGAATTCGAAGACGGACGGCTCAACCCGAACCATCGTACCGCATATCAGTATGCGTTTAATTTCGGACGGACTCATTTTGAAGGAAGAAATCGAAGAAGCTTCTTGTCCTTTTCTAACCGGACCGGATTGTTCGCTTTATGCGTCCTAATTTTGATGGGCAGTCCTCTCTTTTCTCCTATCCCTTTTCTTTATTTCGCTTGCTTGGAGCTATCATACACTTTCATCGGAGCACTTGAAAAACCTCTACGGAAATATACATAGTTAACGTTATTCTTTCCTTTTCCCCTTCCACTTGCTTTCCTTGACTCAGGGGCACATACGAATCATCACAACATTTACTTCCATTCCAAAAGCATAACGAATTATATCTTTTGTAACTTAAAACTCTGCAAATGCATGTATTGGTGTAGGTAAAAAGTCGGAGATAATGGAGGAACGCAAGGAAACGCGGGTGTATTAGAAGCTTGCTTGTATAGATTGGTTGCTTGGTATACTACAGAACTTTGGTGACATAATCCCACCCCAGACAACTAGGTAATGTAGAGAATACATGAAAGGTGAAAGATACACGACAAGAAAATGGAAGAAGAGAGTACTAAATCAGTAAAAGGACGTCAGATGTTCGACGCTGCTGTTCCTAAGATCTTCGCAGCAAGACCTCGCAAAATCTAGAAAGAAAATAAAGTCACGGCGAAACCGGACGGTGGTGTCAGTCAATTCATCAATCAATCAAAAACAGGTATGCAAAGTAAAGTTCAGTGCAGACGAATGACAGTATAATATAAACTTTTTTTTTGACTGACCTCGGCTTTCTGATTTCCACCGAGTTGAGAGAAGACAGCAGCGACGCTCTTGCCTTTGGCGTCGCGAATCGCGCCGAGGCGGTTACCTGCGACCGCACCGACGAGAAGCCCGGGCAGGTTGGCGATGATAAACCCCAGGCCTGCGCCGCATATGGCGCCCAGCCATGTCCAGAGTGGAAGGGTGCGCTCAACTTCTGGACGCAGAAGCTTCATACGATAATAATTAGCTATACCAAAACGCAAATTAAAGTGACTAATAAAACTATTCACCTCTTCGAATACATCCCCGAAAACGCCCTCAGCATCCGGACGCCGAGTGTTCCCGGAGGTCGTACCCTGTGCACCGGTGAACATACTGGCGAAGTTGGCGAAGAAGTTGGCAGAGGCGTTCGGGTCTGTTGTACGTTCGGCGAATCCACGCGCTGAGCGTAGAGTATCGTATTCACGTCGGCGCTCCGCGTCGGATAGGACGTAATACGCGTCTGCTACTGTCTAGATACGATACAATTCGATAGGTAGAAAATTAGTTGCGTGTAAGACTCATTATAACATACGACAATGCAAAGCAGCGTATGCATACCTGGAACCTCTCTGTAGCACGTTTCACCTGATCTGGAGATGCATTGACAAGCTTATCAGGATGTGATTTGAGACTTTCCCTCTTGTACGCTTGACGAATCTCATCCTGCGATGCACCCTGCTGCACCTCTAGAATCTCATAGTAGTCGGGGAACGAGGAGGCCATGGCTGTCGACGTGTGAGTGAGGAGTCACTTCATTTGCGATGACCAGTAAGTACAGTGAGGCGCAGCAAGTGACGTCATGAGATCGACGCTGCAGTATGTTGACAACCAAACATTGAAACAAACACCCGCGCCAAGGACACATACATTTTTACCCGTGTAGATCTAGGAACTTGACTTGAAAATCAAATACCGTGAGATGAGGACATGAGAAACAGTGTCAATGGTAAGAATTCCATAGGGTTCGCTAATTCTACACAATACTAACTATCATATCCATGGACACAGTCCATCTAATAATGAATAAGTTTACTACTACAGACTTTCCAAAAAATGCTCCAAAGCAATTCAAAGTAGGCAATTTGTTAGATCCACAAGAAAACAACGCAATCTGCAAAAGGACAGGACTAGGTCTTCCTTCCCGAAAGAAAGCGCTAGGGGCGAAAGAAACATCCAATTTCAGAAAATTGCCCAATCTTCCGGAGAAAGAAGCCCGAGAGGAAACGAAGGTTAAGACGAATGAGCGGGGAAAAAAGCAAGGAAAAAAACAAAAGGAAAATGATGGCGACAAAGAATTTAATAAACGAGAACGTTGCGAAGCTGGGGATTGCGGACGCTAGAAGTATCCACCGTTTCGAGGCTGCTCCGGGACCGCCGGCCGAGCGTCGTTGGCTTCTTGCAGCAGCACAAGAGGAGCCGGTCGTGGTCTCTGGAAAGTATTTTGCTCAGCTAAGATGCTCGAAGTTCTTCGAATAGGATTGCTGATCTCCAATCGACCCCGAGGTCCTGTAGGTAGACCTCGACCTCGACCCCGGCCAAGCGGCTTGCCACTTGGCAGCAATAGAGGCCGAATCCCTTGGGGTTGACTTAGCTGACCCTGCGATTCTGCCTGGGGTTGGTCCTGTGGTTCAGGTGGTGACACGGTTGGGACAGGCGGAACAAATAGTGGGACCCTATTCGAAGTGTCACCCCCTATTCCGCTATCTGCAATACTTTCTTCGGAGGGGCGGCTGGCGTCGACAACCTGAACATGAGTTGCATCAGCAATGGTTGCTGGGACGTTGCTACCCGAATCGGAACCCGATGATCGGTCGCGTTCTGATATGTTCGTTAGTGGAGGAGACATCCTCTGAGCTGCGGGTGTCGTTAAACCTGCAGAATCACATAATCAGCTATTGAGTCGTAAAACAGTCTCGAATCACTGTTTACTCACCACCGATGAATGAAGTCACGTCGTACTGTGTGCCCTGAGAACCAAGGCGAACGGTACGCCCAGGATTTGAATCGTCGAGAACAGAGTCCAAGCTTTCGCGCGAGATCGTGGGCACGGATTGATTCTGAGATCTCTCACCCAGTTCAGCAATTACAGCCGGCATTCGCGGAGGCACAAGCTGGAAGGCAACGTCATCCACGATCATACTGTTATCACTGATCGCGCTGATAGCCATGGACTTTCCTCGGTCTACTTCTGTTTCGAAGACAGATCTTCTGTCTTCCTCAATCGCACGCAGTCCGCCTTGTGCCACGGACGTCGGGCTGTCCAGAAGTGATGACTTGGGGAAAAACGGTGGCTCTGGGAAGTTTGATAACGATATGTCGCTTTGTATAGATTCTGAGTTAGTTCGCGGAAGAGGTATGCGATTCGTTGAAGTAGTGGAAAATCTGCGAAGTCCAGCGATACTCCTGTCGAGTTCTTGTTGTTGACGTAGAAGACTCTCGATACCAGATGAGCGATTCGAATTGACGTTCGTATCTGGAAGTGCCTCAGTGCTGCTGCTGGTACCGCCTTTCTGAAGGTTCCGGATTATTCCATCAAGTCCATAGATGGGTGAATCAGTCTCGTTGCGAGAATAAGAAAATGTTGATGGTATAGCGGGTGTTGAGTAGCGGTCGGTCGTGTACTGTGATGCATCGTCCGGTACAACAATCTGTGGGACAGATGAGCCCAAATCCTTACCCTTCGGAGCTACTGGCGCTAGATAAGAAGGTTCCGCGCGCAGGTCTGGCATCACCGACGTCAAGACAGGATCCTTCCAGCCAGGAGCATCCCGCGTTGCTGCAGTGGGCGTCTGCTCAGGTGTCTGCTCCAGCGATCCACGAAAGCTCCTTTGCCCGCCAGGGCTCGGACCAGGTTCAGGGTCATCTCTATTCCAAAGTCGGCGCTGGTCTCCCTCCTCATTGCCCACTTCGTTTCCAAGCCCACGAATCTGTCCTGATCCGCCGCGCCTAGCCATAATCCGTGTACCGAAAAACGAGCTCGATGAGATGCGCTGAGTGAAACTAGGTCGGTCTGACGGCGCCCTCTGGCGGTTGCTACCATTGTCGCGCGACGCTCCCATACCGGTTGGCATTGAGTAAGGCGCTTGTACCATAGACAACTGCGACTGCCGATTGTCGCCGGCCGCAGAAGCTTCGACATCTCTAAAGCCTGCAGCCGTGAGTCTGCGTCGCACAAGCTCGGCAACGACACTTGAACGGACGGGCATCTTGTAGAATGCAGATACGAGAACAAACAAAATGAGCATGTAAAGCTCGACGGCCTGGAGAAAACGTCCGAGAGTCGACTCTGTGAACTTGACTGTAGTGTTTTCGAAATAGTTCGGTTGAGTAATTTCACTACAGACAACGCACAACCGAAAGACACTCACAGCACAACAGGTTGCCGATGGCCACTCCCATACCAATCGAAATAGCCAGAATCACAGGCGAATAGTCCCGAAGCGTGTGCCAACGCGGTAACAGAGGGCAAATGTATGTATTGATTAACAGCTTCACAATGAATACGGCCGAGAGTCCAATTTCGATGCCCGCCTCTGTGATATAGACCGGCCCAAATATTTCGAACGCGTGTACCAGCCTCCAGAGAATTTGGAGCACAAGTACCGACACGATTAGCAACAACAACACCCATTTGAGAATGATACCTGGCAACCTCCAGCGAGCCCAATCACCACTGTGTATAACCGTCTCAGAGCTGAGCGAGATGAAGTTCGGCCTACGGTCATCCTGCATTGGAACAAAGGGCAGTTCACCTCTGGGAGGTTCCGCGACAAATGACCAGAAGAAAAGATAACGCAGTGCGAAGGATAGTGCTTGACTTATTTCTCGCAGGATCACGAGAGCCTGAACCGATGAAATGTTGAGGTTATAAGTTGTATCCCAATAGCCTCTCCGGATTATTTGGCTAAGGTCAAAAATCGCTGCAAGAAAGGCAAGTAGGACAGAAATATGGATGAAGGTTGTGACTCTGCAGAAGCGCATAAATAGGGATTTTGCATGACATATTTTTTTGACACGCACCGGTTCAATCTTCTCATGACAAAAAAGAACGTGTAGACGGCAAAGCCAACCAAGCCCACCGAGAACAGGGGAATGTCAGCAAGAATATCTGAAAGCTATTTGAAACGGAAGATCAACAGATCAGCGTTTCTGCACGTCAAAGCCAAATACACTTTTGAAATGGACATAGAAGCACTCACGGCGACATCGGATGTAAGTTGCACAGAGGATGGATATGCTGCGTGTACGCGTATTGGAAGGAGGAAAAGAATGCAGAAGAGGGACTGTGAGCGACGGTTGGACATGAACATGACAAAGAACGGAAATGAGAGGTTTGGGAGCGTCAGTATAGACAGCAGAAAAACTAGCAGGTCAACTGGGTGGAATGCTTGGCGCAGAGCGTCGCGAAAGTGAAGAACGGTATGAACAGCGTCCAGCGACGAAAATCCTTGCAAAGGAATACAAAACAAAAGTCCGGAGGCAGCTGGCAAGGCACTGCCCTCCAGGCCTGGAGAAGAGGGATCCGGATCACTGAGCAACCAGCGTTAAACGGGAGGGGGTACTGCGATTCTGGTGACTAGAGGGTTGATGTTAACGGGATCTGGTCCAAATACTCATCCAAGCTGTGACGAAGCCGCTTGCTGCCCAACCAGCGCGACTCTTGAGAATGGACGCGGATGCAACTGCACGCGAAACAATGACGAAAAGACGCAAGAGGAGGGATAAAAAGGCAAGGGAGTGCAACGGATGTTATGGCTGATGGCGCTGTGAGAGCCGCCGCGCCCGTAGTTGGATCGAAACGGTGACCGTCTGATTTATATTATAGCATAGTAATAGTATATTTCGCATCTATTAGCTCTTCTCAATCCGGCGCGCGTTTTGCCTTGGTGACGATCGTTATGTCCCCAAATGGATAATCAAACCTTCCGATATAATTTACCCTCGATACAGGCACCAATCAGACCTCGACCTCTTGCTTTGCACCAAAGGCCACACGTATACGAAGCAGTACTCTTGCATTCGAGATCGACTACACAAAGAGAACAAGTTTAAAAAGAAAAAAAATATCAGGTCGTTGAGAAACGGAAGAAATTTGATAGTCCATACTCATCATCACCAGCTCGATTACTCAATAGGTCGCAAGTGCAACGGATTCTTCACTGTGGGATACATCTTACAGCACTCGACGATCAACATTTCACACCAATCAGTCTATACCCGCTTCAAGAAACAAACGGATTTCATCGCCGTGGTTCTCCTCCGCTTCCTGTCAGCTGACGAACCAAGAACATACCTCTTCCCTCATCCACACTCTTTCCGCGGATTCCCCCCACGCTTTTAGGGCGCGGGAATGGAATCCGTCGTACCCTCTCGCTTGGGTTGCTCAGCATGAGTCCCTTTGTTGGACTAGGAGATCGATTGTAATCTCGTGGTAGCTGTCGAGTTGGACTAAGTCCACCACCCGTGAGTTGGTTCGTCAATGCGCTCATGCCTGTAAATTGCCGCGCAATCGTAGTTGTACCCGTTAGTTGCGGTGCTACGCCGTCGATTTTACGAGAGGCTGTAGCAGGAAATCGATAGAAAGTATTTCCTCCTGTGAAAGATGGTTCGAGAGGCGTTACAGGAGAGACTTGCTTCGTTGGTGAACCAACAAGGAGCTAGAAAAAGAAAGAAAACGAGTTCAGGGGTTAATAGAAAATTCGTAGATAGCTGAGTCATTGAAGAATGGAAGTCGAGCATACCAGACATTCGCGACACCATACTCCGCCCTCCCCGTCGGTCTTCGCGGCGCTATCTAGGCGCTTACCACATCCCGGCGTATTCGGATCGCGTCGCAACTCGATCCGCAATCCTTTTCCTCCACATACAAGACAGGAAGCATGCCACCGACTTCCTTGTGGCCCTGGTACGACGCCTCGTTCCATGGGCGACACGGAAATATGACAACCAGGACAGGTGACGCCACCACCAAATCTCGGAAAGGATCCAATCACGGGCGGCGCTGTAGTCGGGTGCAGAGTCTGCTTGGTAGGCGAAGAAGCCAGCGTAAGTGAGTGTGAGGGTGATTTGGTCTTAATAGGTCGAATGACAATCCGCTCTGGTGTTGCGCACTAAGAAACATGTTAAAATTAGAGTCCAGTATTTCAAATTCATGCTACTTACACTAACGTGGCAGCAACCAGTGGAACTGCGAACAAACACAGCTTGTCCGTTCTTCGTCTCTTCAAAAGGGTCGTCACAGACGGCACATCGGAAACATTCAACATGATAGCTCTTTGGCGGGAGACGTTTTGATGATTCCTCAGGAACAGTGACAAACCTTCCACCGGCTCGTGTTCTTAAAAGGGGCTTCGAACAACTCGAGCATGGAGTAGAAGGTGGACTTGAAGTTATCTTAGAGGGGGACATGTCTGCCAGAGGAGTGAACGGCTTGGTAGGTGTCTTCTCAGCGAACGATTCGTATTGTTCAGGAGGGCTGTTGGACGGTGTTGAGGGTGGAGAAAATGCGGTGTTGCAATCAGAGCCATCCGTAAGATCGGGTGTAGAAGGAGCACCGCTGAATGAATCGCGAGATGCTATAGTCGTTGGTGACATGGACCGTACATTTGGGGAACTGGTGAGCATTTGACGTTGCAATCGACGCTCCATCTCTTCAACGGCGTTGGTTTCCGCCCGCGGAGAAGGGCTGAGAATTTTTGGGCCCCTTGCTGGTGATTTAGAAGGAGTGAGCCGGAATTTCTCGTATCGGCCTCTCGAGCTAGCATCTGACGGCCTGAGAGGTGAACTCTCAGAAAGGCTGTTCTTTAGTGACGTAGTTCTTGTAGATAAATCAGAAATACGCCGGTTGAAATCCGAAGGGATGGGACTGGAATTGCAGTCAGGCTTGTTTACGTTCGTACGATCTACTAGCGGGGAGGACTCCCTGCTCTTTATTCCAAGTCGCTGCTGCAGCTCTTCAATTGCTGGGCTGCCTTCGCGGCTTGTACCCCTCTTCATTCCTCCTGGATTGCTCCGTTCTTCTTGTTTATCAGGTGTGGAGAAATTACGCCTTGATCCCATGCTGTCAGAACGAGGACGCTTCAGACATGTGTCAAAGCAGTCCTCGCATGATGGTCTACCCAGAAGGTCAACCATCGGGTTGTCGCCAATGTCCTTGAAGCATCCGTCGCAACGAAAACAGCGCCTGTGCCAGATACGGCCAGCATTCTCAATAAACCCTCCTTCTGCAGAGAGAATAAGCACTGGCTTTGAACATGCCGTGCAATCTCCTTTCGCGCCACCATTAGTCGAGAAGCAACCCTTGCAAAGGAACCGAGCAGTAGTTGATGGGTCACTTGGATCCGGGTATATCGTGGCATCAGGAGGGAAAGGGGTCGAGCAAATCGCGCATGAAAAAATGGACAGCGTATCCTTTGGCTGAAGGACAGAGCCATAGGCCTTGGAAAGGACGGCCGTGTTGGGATCAGAGAGAATATCATCAGGAGGTGAAGGGGGCTCGCTTGAATTGTCTTTCTGAGGACCGGTTCTTGTTGGCGTAAGAGCTGGATGTGATGAGGCCGAATCTATATGGGAGAGGATTGGATCTCCCAGAGTTGAACGGGAGAAATGAGTGCTCTGAGGACGAGGAAACTTCTGAGAATCCGAAAAGGGGCGAGGGGCTGAGGAGGGCAGAGTAGTCGAACGTTCCCTGATTGGAGAGGGAGTATTACTCGTTGAGCGAACATATGTGCGAGACCAACTATCCGGCTTTGAGCAGCTTGACGCTGTCTGCGAGAAGTCAACGGAGGCCCTGACCGCTAGACCACCACCTATTAAAGAGTAAGAATACCGAGTACTTAATAAGTATGCCCAGACTCACATTTACAGCGGGTTCCAGATACAATGTCGCCGCATCTCCTACAGAATCCCATTCTATTCGCCTTGATTATTGCTTGAGGTTGCTGACTTGGCGGGCAAAGACATGTCGAGCGAGCCAGCACTCGGGACATGAGCTGCATACAGTGCACGCGCCTGACACGATCATGTGACGTGTTCAACTTGGAAAGTTGAAGTGACGCGTCCGATTCGGGCAAGCCACTCTTACCCGCCGTCTTTTTACTACACCACGACGTACAGTCTTTAGCGACCCGTCCTTTCTGCTCAATACCTCATTTCTTCCCTCACCATGCCCTCGGCGGGCCAACACTTTACTCGCGAGGACCTCGTCTCCCTCAAACGATCGGATATCCAGAAATTGTGCAAGGTATTGACATGTTTCATCACACCCGAATTTGTTCAGCTTAGCCATCAATAGGAATATGGAGTCCGTGCAAACATGAAAACAGAAGCTCTTATTGAGCTATTGCTCGATTCCCTCCAGTGCGTGTTTCTGTCTAATCTCACTTTACATACTCTCTCACTGTTATTCAAAGGTCAAATATGTCCCCGCTTGTCGGTCTGCGCAGACCACAACAGGCACCAGCACCACGACGAGTATCAACCCGCTCATCCACAAGAGTCTCTTCACTGCGCTCGAGGGGTACTTCTGGCTCGAGCTCATCGACGTCTTTTGTTGCGTCTAGCAGTCACACTGTCTCAACCTCGTCACCTCGCACGAGCAAATCAAAGCTTACACAATATAAGCTCGGCGTAGGGAGACCCTCCGCACCTGGTGCCGCATCTCTCAGAAACGCGTCACGCTCGTCTAGCTCATCCAGGCTTGGCCGTACGAAAAGCAGTCGCTCCTTCAAGCCACCCGAGGCAACTATTCACGAAGGTGAAGTCTGTATTTGGTTGGAAACCCGGGCTTCGACTGATAAATTATTACCTCCATCCGCAGAATCCGAAACTTCTCAGCCTACCGTTGCAGTAGAGCAGCATGCGGGTCCGAGTACATCACGCGCTCAGGAATGGCCGAATGCACCAACTATTGACAACAATGACCTTACGAGTCGTTTGACGAGGCTTGAGAATGCTTTCAGAGAGGCGGATGTCAAGCGCCAGCTTGACTCTCTTAGAGATATACCATCTCAAATCGCGTATCTGAAAGCGTCTATGCAACATCGCGAAGCCGAAATAACTGGCCTTCGTGGGGAACTCAATGTTTGCAAAGCAGAGGTCTTAGCTCTTCGAGGCGAGGTCTCGAAAATTCCCTATCTAGAGGGTCAATTGAGAGCAATGAAAGATACTCTCGACTACCTTACCGCAGGTTCAAGCGCTGTTACAAAAGGCAAAATGACTAGGTGAGTAAAGGGTTCATCCAGGTATTCCATGGCCAACCAATCTTTCAGACGTGTTTCTACTCCTCTTGGTGAAAGTGACGTTAATTCCAATACTAACAGCAAGGGAACCTTGCTCAATCCGTACCCAACCGAAAATGCCGTGCCGCTGGCAAAATCACCTGGACTGTCAGAAACGGCACTCGGTAAACGTCCTCGTGATGCGGGCCTTAACAACATCGAAGGAGGTGTAGAAGGAAGAGAAGGCAACGCTATGACGCAGGGAGTGTATACGAGACAAAACGCCCATCCAGATAGGAAACGCACGAGAACCGGCACGGAACGGCGACCTCTTCAGGAGAAAGCAATTGAGCCTAAACCTGGTTCCGAAAAAGCAACAGCTTCGGGACACGAAAGCGGTGAAGAGTGTCTGGGCTCAGCCGGGACTTCGGCGTCGGGGCAGTCTACACAACCATCTGTTACTACACCACCTGCGCCGCATGTTTCCGAATTTGCGAACGAGCTGAGTACTCATCCAGAGGAACTCAGGTCAGATGAAATCGATATGTTGGACTTCTGCCAGGCTGCTTCTTCTACACCACGCGGCGATCCATTCAATTTCTTTGATGATGGGGAGACCTTCTCGCAACTTTCGGTGACAAAGCTAGGAGCTCGTATTGCGGCACTCGACAATAGTAACCCTCAGAGTATTAGTCCGCACCAGAACCAGATAGCTCCGGAGCCGCGCCGTATTTCTTCACAAGTCGCTCGTCCACGAACTCCGACACGGCCATCTGGACATGCTCGTTTCCGTCTCACCGTAGATAACGTTAGCCCAATCCGCGAGGATGTTCCGTCCCCTTTCGATCCGTACAGTGATGGTGCATTCGGCTTTCAGTTTGCTTCGGGCGGGAACGCAGGTGTAAATGTCGTTCGACGTGATACATATGGCCAGGATCACAACCACGGGTTCATTCCAGCGCCGATGCCGATTGCGCTCGGGTTTGGTTTAGGCACAGCAGCTGCGGGTGCGATACCTGGCAGCTCACCTGCACGGCCTGCGTCGCGGACTATGTATGGTACTGAGTTGCAGAATGATACACGCTTCGGTGACTTTGGACGCGATGGCATCGCAACTTCGTCCAACATGGACTTCTGGGGCAATTTCTAATGACAGTGAAGTTCCCCGCAGTTGATCGTTTGAGGACTTTAAATGTCTCGTCGTGGCTGATACTTAAAATGCAAGCATCACTGTAACTCAATTCTTTTTTGCCTAATCCATAATTCACATCTAAATAAAACATAGAATATCGATCCATGTGTTTCAATAGTTTCTTGTTCCCTAAATGCGTTTCACCATCCACTGTCCATTATCATCGTACTGCACTATTTATTTGGTCTTGACAAATTTTCATCCTGTGTCCTTAGGCCCTCCTTTTTTTGTAGCTTGGCGTCTTCCATCTTTCTTCATACCCGTACCTCAATTGATTTGCTGGTATTATAATGTACGTATGTCCAGTTGGTAGATTTAGCGAGGTAGCGAGATAATAATACGACATTGTGAGTACCGAATTAAATTAGAGTAATGTGCCTGCACTGTCAATGTTCATGTAATCCATCCACCCTAAAAATAACTTAAGCCCGAGACCGAATATGAAATATGGAGTGTCTCTATTGTCCGAGGGTCGGTGTGAACGACTGGATCTCCTCGTACAGTAGCTCTGTCAGAGAAACAGAGAATGAGTGAAAAGCCGCGATCAATAGAAACTAGAGAGTCCACCTTTTAACTGGGCTTTGCCGAGCATCTCTTTTTGGGCTAGAGATGAGATACGTTTGGTTAGTTAGATCACCGCCATTCCATTCGTCTGACTTCGACAAGCGAGTGAGGAGAACTTACTATCAAAGTGGAAGTATTCTGGGTCCATGGGGAAACATTCAGGTTCGTCATTTAGGTCGTACTAAATGTATGTCAGTAAGCGGTCGCAAGGGATAAAGGGTAGTGAGAGCTAACATATGCTGCAACGTAAGGATGGCGGAGTGCTTCTTCTATAGTCATCCGTTTCTTTGGGTCAAATGTCTATTGTGAAGTGAATTGCACAGTTCAGTATTTTGATACATCGACTCGATCTGGACTTGGAAGATATACTTACGAGCGTGTTAGATAAGAAGTCAATTGTGGAAGGAGTCGCGCTCGGTATGAGCGATATAAGTGGTTTGCGTCTACGAATCGGGAGTGCACGAATGTAGTCACGAGAGCGGCGGGAGGTGATTCCGGCATATTCCTCAAGAGTTGGTGTGCCTAATGTCCCAATCAACATGAGCTTCTAAAATGGAGGTGGACAAATGCGTACCGATAACATCGAGGATAAGGTCAAGCTGATGCCCGTAGTCTCGACCAGGGAACAATGGTTTCCCCATCATCATTTCAGCAAGGATGCATCCGACTGCCCACAGGTCTATGGCCTGTCAATTATTTTTAGTTGAAACCATGCTGTGAGAAGGGTGTGTATTTGACGTTGTTCGCACCTTCGTGTACATCTTGAAGGAGAGCATTATTTCTGGAGCGCGATACCATCTCGTGGCGACATATTCCTAGACAAGTTCCTAAGTGAGTTTGACGGATAAGCCCAATAGCACGACGATTACTTACAGTCATGAGTCCAGACTCGCCTGCTGGAGTGCCAGTGTGGGCGTTTCGGGCAAGTCCAAAGTCACATACTTTGAGATCACAATTCTGATTGACAAGGATATTTGCTGGCTTTAGGTCCCTGTGTACGATGTCGGCGCTGTGCATCGATTTGATAGCTCGAAGGATTTGGTATATGAAATACTGCGTAAACGCTGAGCGACGCTCTTTCGGATAAGGTATAGGCGATAATGGCTCACTTCACAGTGGTCGTCCGTGAGATGTTGTGTCCGAATTATTTGGTGAAGATCCGCTTGCATGAGTTCTTGAACGACTACAAAATGAAATTAGATAACGAGACCGGGGACTAAGCCTGCAGTTGTGTGCTTACAATAGACTTCTTTGAAATCATCCAATGACGGTGGCTTGATGATATCCAGGATTGAGATAATCTATTGTGCAAGGGATATCAGTTTAGCGCGAAGGCGTGCATTGCCATCAAGCGGAGGCGCACGTTGTCATTGACCGCCGTCTGTGAGAAGAACTTGAGGAGCTTGAGTTCTCGAAGCGTTCGGAGGCAGAACAGGCTACAGTCATTAGAGTACGCCATCAGGATCAGAAACAGTATGTTCTCGTGATTCAGTACATACGTGTGATCGAATGGCAAGATCTTCTTGATCGCGACGTGAGTTCCAGACGGTTCGTGGAGGGCAGCCACGACTGTGCCGTACGCGCCCTCTCCCAAAACATGAAGTATGCGATAATCCGAACCTGTCAATGGCGATGCCGGTCCAGGTCAGTATTAATAAATAGTTGACACCGACAGCGGACCACCACGCTGAGGCGGCGAGGCGGGGCGAGGCACAGATTTAAATAGACTGACCGACTTCAAACGTGGGAAGAGGCCTTTTCGACTTTGTTCCGCGGGAGATCATGTCAGTTTCCAGACGACGTTTGCTACAGGAGGTGCGAGCTAGTGCGAGCAGGAAGGATAGAACACAGAGTGAGTTGAGTTGCGCTGGAATCGCATCCGCGTCCCCCAGACTATAAGACGAATATTGGAAGCCTGATAGTGGACCGAGCCAAAGATGGCCATCATTGGACATTCGTAAAGAAACCCGAAAGTATCAAATGTTGGGTGATTACTAGAGGTGGAAGACGGGTTGTAAAGTTGGACGTTGCCAATGGGACATGATAGCATCATGACGCAGGACCTGAGGCGGCGGTCGAGCCAGCATTTGACACCGCCATGCCCGACTGAGATGCATGAGATGGATGGCGTCTCGCCTGGCGGATGTGAGGCGAGCCATTAATTGTAGACGACATAAAATGATCGGCATAAATGTCTCCTGTCATCCCCAAAACGGTCGAAGTAGTTGCCACATAAGGCTACGTCAAGGACAATGCTTAATTTTACGATCACCTTCACCCCGCACGGCATTACCTTGACTTTTTGCAAACAACGAAACCACTCTCAGCACCTGGGTGTTCATCATAGTGATTCATCAACGCCTCTGTACCTCTAGGACCGTTTCAGTGACGTTTGAAGATGCAGATCATGCGACCACTGGCGGCTACATCTTCTCACAACTGTTGTGTGGGAGGCAACAGGCGGTTGCGACGAGAAAAGGATGATTGGCACTTGTGGAATTAGATCTGTCGAGGCACTGCACTCCATTGGCTGGATCCGCTATTATTATATCCGGTGCCGCAAATCTTATTGTAGTTTTTTTCTTCTCTAGAAGCACATGTGCAGCCGGGCCTACCCAGTTCCCGCCTTATATACTGTTGGACAAATGCCCATCAACACCCCTTCACTGTTTCCTTTCACCTATCATCTTTGTCCTTGGCCCGCCTGGTGCTCTTGTCCCTCCCTTTTTTAATTTTCTAAAAGGCAGTGTCCTCTGGCAGTACATATTTGCGCCCTCTTGCGAGTAGCGTCTCTTCACATCCTTCATACTTTCGTCATTTGGCTAGTTCAAGTCATGTTGTCTTCCATCGTCCTGTCCGCTGGTCTTCTCCTTGCACCCTTCGCTCTTGCCGAAGTCCACAATGTCAACGTCGGCTCGTCATCTGGAGCCTTGATGTTCGACCCTGAGGCCATTGTGCGTATCTTCACCTTTTTTGTTCTTATCATTCTTTGCGAGCTCACTTTGTCATCTCTAGTTCGCTTCCCCTGGCGACCAGGTTGTCTTCACCTTCCAGCAAAAAAACCACAGCGCAGGTAATGCTATTAATTTACAAGTGAGATGCCTAACATGCTGAATACATTACAGTCCAGTCTTCATTTGCCGACCCATGCGGTCCAAAAGATGGTGGTTTCAACTCTGGATTGTAAGTAGATATGCATGTTGTAGTCGATGGTAGGCAACTGAACCGGGTTCATAGCTTCCCGGTTGACGCAAGTACCACGGCCAACTTCCCTACGTACACTATTACTGTTAACGACACTCAGCCAATCTGGGTCTATTGCGCGCAAGCTGCTGGCACCCCGACCAGTCACTGCGGCAAGGGAATGGTCTTCGCTGTCAACTGCGGTGCTGACGGATCTCCTAACTCGTTCACAAATTTCAAGAACTCTGCTCTCGCGGTTGGTGCATCTCTCTCGGGTAACGCGTCAGCGACATCCTCGTACGCATACGGTGGTAGTACACCAGCAGCGACTTCTGACGCTTCCAGCCCACCTGCGTCGACGACCGCTGCTGCCGCTGCCGCGACACACACGGTCGTCGTTGGTGGAAGTAGCAGTCTCACTTTCAATCCCTCAGAGGTCTCTGCCCAGCCTAATGATGTCGTTGTGTTCCAATTGTATGCGCTTCTTCCTCCTTCGTGAATTGTCGCTTTCTCATTGATAATTCGTGAACGTTTACAGCCAGAGCAAGAACCACTCAGTGACCCAGAGCTCATTCGCTGCACCTTGCGAGAAGCTCGGAGCGTCGACCGGTACTGACGGCTTTGACTCCGGCTTGTGAGTACTGTAATTTCATTTTCACACTCTAATTGATGCTTACCAAAATGATCTACAGTATGCCCGTCCAGGCCAATGCGACCACTTTCCCGACGTACAGCATTACTGTCAACAACACTCAGCCAGTTTGGGCTTACGTGAGTATACCAAACGTTCCGCTGTATGACTTCCCTGATATCGTTACAACGTAGTGTCGTCAAACTGGCCACTGTGGACAAGGAATGGTGTTCGCTTTGTAGGTTGCGTTTAACTAATGAGCAGGATACGTTGTCTGACTAGTGACAATTTAGGAACGCGGCTGACAGTAGCACAAAGAACTTCACTGCATTCAAGGCAGCTGCTATGGCACAGAATGGCACTTCATCCAACAGCACTGGTTCTGGCTCTGACTCGTCGGGCTCAACAGCGAGCGGAGCCTCTCGTACGATGGGGGCAGCGACCGCTTCCCTCGGACTCGTTGGAGCTGTCTTCCTTCTTCTGCTCTGATCGTATTCGTACTAGAGTGCTTCTGCCTTTTGCCGTTACTTTTTTATCATAGTTAATGCCCGACGGACAATTCTTTTACATGACATGGACGCTGACATAGCTTATTTACTTTATACTTGCCTCTTGACGACCTTCGTTGAACGATGTGTAGCTACTCTTTTTTATCTTCTTTTCTGGGTACTGGTAGATTGTCGTATACCCGACGTGACCTCGATTGGTCGTTAGTTTGTAGTTTTTCGCCGCAATAGGAAGCTGTTTTCCTGAACTTGCCAGCTTGTAAAAATCGTAAAATCACGAGTTTGTTCCAAAAATAAGTGTCCTAAATGGGTCGTGATCGACGGGTTACTCATGTGGGAATTATTGTCCATATTCGGGAGACGCGCCACGAGAGCTGACGCGTCTCGGTGTGCGTGAGTGAGTGGACGTGCAAGAGGTGCATACGTACGCGGACCAGCAACTTGCTTCCTGCACCTTTCCTCCTTTCCACCATGGTTGCTCGCGCACAGACTTCTGCAGCTGGTGTATTAGCTCTGCTGTCCGAGCCAGAGCCTCTCGTTAAGCAACATGCCCTACTAGCCCTTGTCCCTCTTGTGCCTCAATTTTGGGCAGAAATTTCGGAGCACATCCCGATCATGTGCGTGCTGTCTCCGTCCACTTGAGTTCTCTATTTGGTAGACTGATCATAATAACATAGAGAGGCGCTGTATGAAAGCAAAGAGCTCCCGAAGGAGGCCCGCGACTCTGCTGCTCTACTCGCAAGCAAGGTCTATTATTTTCTAGGCGAACATGACGAAGCTCTGTCCTTCGCTCTTGGCGCCGGACCCGCCTTTGAGGCTGAGAGTCGCGTGTTTGGGTCGGAGGAATATATTGAAACAGTTATCTGTGTGTAAACTCTTGGCTCACCCTCGCTGTCACCATATTAATTGTTCCTTTAGCAAAGGCAATCGACAGATACGTCGAACTCCGTGTGGACGAGACATCTGCAAAGAAGATTGACCCGCGTTTGCAAACTATCATTGAGAGCATATTCAGGCGATGCATTGACGATGGAGAGCACAAGCAAGTACGTATTTAATACTCCCTCCATGTTCTATTTCTCAAATTTTATCATGCAGGCCATTGGAATTGCACTCGAGTCGCACCGCCTTGACCTCATCTTAGAAATTTTCAAACTTACTCAAGATGTATCGATGCTCTCGTATGCAATGGACTCCGTGATCGACATGAACTTTTCGCTTTCATACCGAAATGAAGTCCTCAACTTCCTTCTCCCACTATTTCCGCCCCTTGAATCCAAGGCATCCCACGTTTATGCGGTCACCCGTATACTCGTAACCCTCAGCAACCCTTCGGTCACCGTGCCGATGCTCACGAAACTGATACCCGAAGAGAAGCTCCTTGCTTACCAACTTGCGTTCGACCTCGTTGAAGGTGGTGGTCAAGACTTCTTAGTGGCTATTAGAGCCGGTCTTCCAGAGGGCGATTCGGTATGTCTCTAAAGTATCATCTCGAGTATTTTAACTAACTTTAAGTTAAGCAAACCAAAGAAATATATGATACCATTCGTCAGATTTTAACTGGACAAGAGTCCGTGAAACTATACCTACAGTTCCTGCGGCGAAATAATAAAGTAGATATGCTTATTCTAAAGAATACCAAGGTTTGTGGTTTCATAAATGCACTTACACACGTTAGAGATTGATCGTTCTACTAGGACGTTCTCGAACCACGGTCATCAGTTTATCACAACGCGCTTACTTTCCAGAATGCCTTCATGCATGCAGGAACCACCTCTGACGTTTTTCTACGAGAGAACCTAGAATGGTTAGGGAAAGCAACTAACTGGGCAAAGTTTTCTGCCACCGTGGGCCTCGGAGTAATCCACAAGGGTCACTTTGAAGAAGGAATGAACATCCTTGGCCCGTACCTGCCTGTAGAGGGTGGCAGTCAGCCCCCAGGCATTCAAGGAGCACAGTATTCAGAGGGCGGGGCACTTTACGCTCTTGGACTCGTAAACGCAGGATGTGGTATCGGTCGTGATGTTGAAAGCTACCTACGTGACAAGCTAAGGGCTGCGACAAATGAGGTCGTACAACATGGTGCTGCTTTAGGCCTTGGAGTTGCTGGTATGGGCGGAAAGAACGAACAGTCGTACGACGACCTGAAGCAGGCTCTATACACTGATTCTGCCGTTGCGGGTGAAGCTGCCGGTTATGCGATGGGTCTTGTTATGCTCGGAACTGCTGATGCAAGGTATGCTGACGAGATGTTGGCGTATGCTAGAGAGACACAACACGAGAAGATTATTCGTGGTCTTGCTGTTGGGCTGGCCTTCCTCTACTATGGCAGACAGGAACAAGCCGACGAAATGGGGACGATGCTCCTTGCTGACAAGGTATGCTTATCGCATCTGTTGGTTTATACCCTTCTGAATAAGTCAATTTAGGACCCAATTCTGCGGTACGGTGGCGTATACACTATCGCTCTTGCTTATGCTGGTACTTCGAACAACGGAGCCATTCGAAAATTACTCCACGTTGCCGTCTCCGATACTTCTGACGATGTCCGACGTGCGGCCGTCACGTCTCTGGCGTTCGTGCTTTTCAAGAATCCCGGGCAGGTACCACGGATAGTGCAACTACTTAGCGAGAGTTACAACCCACACGTCCGCTGCGGAGCAACACTAGCTCTCGGTATTGCTTGCGCTGGCACTGGACTTCAAGATGCCGTGGATATCCTTGAACCCATGACCAAGGACCCAGTCGACTTTGTGCGTCAGGGTGCATTCATCGCCCTCGGAATGGTCCTAGTAGAACAGTCTGAGGCTGCTTGCCCATCCATGTCCTCCACTCGCAGTCTCTATGCAAAAGTAGTAGCAGACAAGCACGAAGATCCAATGGCTCGCTTCGGTGCTGCATTAGGGCAAGGATTAATAGACGCCGGTGGTCGTAATGTTACAATTAGTCTGCAGAGCCGTGCAGGAAGTCGGAACACGAATGCCATTGTTGGTATGGTCTTGTTCTGCCAGTTCTGGTATTGGTTCCCTCTAGCACACTGCGCATGCCTCGCGTTTGAACCTACTGCGATCATCGGGTTGAATGGAGATTTGAAGGTGAGCTTTACTAGACCAGTTTGACTAGATGCTGAAAACTAAGTACAACTCTTTTTTCCCTTTGTTTAGGCTACCAAATTTGAGTTCGTCTCCAATGCTAAGCCCAGCCTCTTTGCCTACCCTGCTCCCACCAAACCCCCGACCAGAGAGCCAATCATGAAGGTCACAACAGCTGTGCTTTCCACGACCGCGAAAGCCAAGGCACGGGAAAAGACAAAGGAGAGAGAAAAGGCAGCTGCAACCGCAAACGGTGACGTAATGGAGACAGTGAGTCTTCCTTCCTTCGTGAAGCCACATCCGTTGATTAGTATGAACAGGATACGAAGCCGGAACCGAAGCCGGAACCGAAAGGTGATATTGAAATGAAAGCTGATGAGTCGTCATCATCAACGGTGGTGCCGGGAGATATCTCTCCTATCGCTGGCACAGTCTCCAATTTACCTGATGCGCAGAAGACGGACGCAAAAACTGTGGACGCGAAGAAACGAAAACAAGAGCCTTCATCTGAAAAGCTGCCGAACTTTTCTCGTGTTACACCTGCGCAGCTTGCCCATGTTGTCTTCCCTTCCGAAGGTCGCTTCCATCCTGTACGACCTGTTTCGACGAGGTCAGCGAAGTCTGGAAAGGGGAAAGCATCGTTCTCATCGAGCGTGAAAACACCGACCACTACGGCGCTGGGGGTTACATCCGAACGATATGCCGGTGGAGGCGGAATCCTCATACTCATTGACCAGGCGCCTGGTGAGCCAGTTGAATTCATCGAAGCCGAGGTCCCTGTCGCTGCTCCACCAGCAAATGCCGTGCCTACAGCGCCGAACGCGATCGGCCTAACTCCAGCAGCGTCAACGCAAACTGGTCCTCATATCGCCCTTGATGAGAACGGACCTGAAGCGGACCCGCCAGCATCTTTCGAGGTATGCTCTTACTGGTATTGTGACGTATTCCCCTTACTGACTGCCGCCCATTTTAGTATCCTTTCGACGATTAATCTCCAAAAGGCGCCTTATTGTGTTTCTAGTTCCTTGTATTTCGGCTGGCCAATGTTTTGGCAAACCTTCTTAGATTATCAATGTCCCAGGGATGTTTATACACTGCTTTCATTCATTCTTAATTGCGCATGTCTCAATTGCCAAATGAAATTATTATTAACAAAAATCGCTCGCCGCCGCAAAGGATACAAAATTACATACAACACTAAGTGAGAATTACAAGTTAGGTTTGGTAACGAGCGACAGGGGGGACAAGGGTAACAGCGAATATTAACGGTATAAACAGGCGGGGACATCTACATACTACATACAAGAGCATGCTTTACTCATGGCTGTGGGTCCGGAAAGATGATATTGAGGACGGGCTTAGTCCAGTCTTCGTTGGTGAGGGTTCGAGCGAGTGGATGTCGTAATCCCGAAATGAGTGTTGTTCGAATCGAAAGACCTCACTATTATCCGGGAGTACACCCATTGGCGAGCGGGGTGGGAGGAGAGATGGGCGGGTTGAGAGTGGTTGGTCGACGGTGGGACTGCGGAGGGAGAAGGAAAAGTGGTTGATATTACGGTTGCTGACAGCCAGTGATTCACGACGGGGGATGAGCGAAGGGCGAGTGAACCCGTATAGACAGACGTTGAAGAAGCCCGAGCAACAGAAGAGGACGTCCGCGATGACGGTATAGGTAAAGGGGACATGTTCGTCGTAGAACGCTCTGAAACGGACAATGGCGATAGGAAGGACGGTCAGGGTGTAAACTAGGGGGTAGCTTTAAATGGGCGGTGATTCAGTCATTCGTTCATTTCATCTTATCCAGTTGACCAAGGAATTAGACTCACAAAAGCATCTGCATGGCGATGCTGTCCACGCCCTTTCCACTGCTTCCCAAGGATCCTTGGGTGGTAATTTGTTTCCGCTCCCCTGGTCCCTTATATCTTACCCTACGCCCATTAACCGTGAAGACTCCCTTGATAACCAATGCCATCGGGATGTAAAGGATGATGTTAGCAAATGCACTGAAGCGCAGCGAACAAGGATAATATTGTCAACATCCGAAATGCATCATTGAGATCTGATACTCACGTCGCCCACATGAAACAATAATCCAGTAGGTACTGTTGTAGCTTGTAGGGTTTTGCTATCCAACACCCTAGCCTACTATCAATATTTGAATTACTGGACACAGTACGGTTGACTCACAGTACTGAGTGTCCGACCAATAGTTCTCCAGATTATTTTTGTGAGTCGCAGCGCTTATGACCTAAAGCAGATATGAGTAATGTAATGATGTTTGTACATTAGTGCCTTACGATGATCAAAACGACTGTCAGCCAGATAACTGATAACACCAGGACTGAAAGAAGTCGTGGATTTGGAGGACTCCATCGGAAAACAATAGCGGTGAAAGTGTGGATTGCGATTGCCTTCCTCGAGAATCAGTATGTCGCTGCAAGCCGTCACGTCCGCTAGCCACTCACCAGGGTGCTATTGCATCCCGTTAGTTAATTACTGTGCAAACAGGAGCTAGATGGCTTACCAGAGTGCAACAGATACATCGCCTATCTGTTTGATTATGCCTATTTGCACAGGCGATAAGTTTATGGGGGTGTCAGTAATTTTAGTACACATACCCTGGGCGACGCAGAATGGACCGGAGTCAACGCTCTAAAATGATCATCAATTACACCAACCTTGTGACTTATCGATAACTTGTCCTTACTGCTCTCTCAATCCACTTGAGATTCAAAATAGCACCTGTACAACAAGGGGTTGCCGTCACATGTCCAGTTCCGACCGAATTAATATGGTATTCATTACGCACCAGTAGCCTGAAATAGTTCGGCCACCATCATTGAAAGGAAGTAGACATGCAAGGGCGTTGACATCGACCATCGTCTTCGTCGTTTCCCCTGAGTCTTCCTAGCAGAAAACTAGACCAGAGTCAAATCAAACAGTGAATGCACAGTCATAATAACGGGCGCACAGCGATGTAACCGAGTAGCCCGAGCACCGAGAAGAGGGAAAGGAAAGCGGCCTCAGTGATGAAGACAATTCCTAGCCTCTGACCAAAAGTAAAGTCATCATTGGTAACGTCGGTGGTACCAGAGCCCTCCTTCGCCAAGTCGGACATCGTAGTCACCGGTGAAGACACGGGAAGTACGGAGGCACTGGCTGGTCGATGGTGGCAATGAGGGGATGTCGAGCCAGAGGGTCTCCGAAAGGTGGAGTGAGCATTATTATATTCTAAAGCGGGAAGCGCAAGGCAAGACCGGGAACAACACCTTCCCTGCACCGGGTGGCGGATAGTTTGATTAGTAGACCATTCCTAAGAGGGCGTCTAGCAGGCACGATCTGTTGCAAGATGGAATTGAACAAACGGTGTAGATAAGGAAAAGCGCCGAGCTCTATTGGCTGCCATTGACTAGAACCAAGATAGGTCGCGTGGCCCTGCACTCAGCAGCCCCGCGCCCACCTTACCCCACCATATGGGAAACAGTTCACTCCCCGGACTCTTCCGAATCCTCCTATTCACGATGATAACTTCCGTTTCTTCAGAAAGGTCTCTCCAGCAAAGGTCAGTGTGCTCGCGTGAGTCTATTCACCTTCCATTTTTTGGCTTTCATCCAGTTTGAAGAAACGCAGATGAACACGTGTCATGATAAAGAAGCAGAAAGCACAGGGAAGCATCAAGGGTTGGAAATCCTGAGGATGCATAAAAGTAGGTTCAAGTTTATCGAGCCGTCGACCCTTTGTGATTTGATCTCGCCCAGCGCGGATGTATCGCATGTCCAGCTCTCTGCCTTCCAGACACAGGAACATTTTAACTTGTCCATTTTTAGACTTTAGAAATGGTGCAGCCTTTAGACGCAGAATATATCATGCTGTATGGCCTGGCCGAGAGTTCTCCATTTTATTTCTTCATACCAAGGTCCAAAGACTAGAGTATGAAAATTTCCATACAGTCAGTCGCAGTTAGGAGCCAACCGCGAAAATAGCACTGGGTCTGGCCAACACGTAAAAAGATCGATGAAAGGAGAGCCTGGGTGGACAAAGCTGGAAAGATTAATACCGATACGGCAAACATTAGTGCTTGTTATGATGCGTCCCGCTTACAGCTGACCTTGCAGGATCGTCACTCCGTAGGTTGATGTGTGTGTAGGTTAATTACCACAAACTCCGGGAGAACCACCTTCGCTAGAGCAGGCCGCCGGGAAAACAAAAAGCCTGAGTTGACTGACGATTCGATGTTGTAATCCTAATGTCTGACTTGCTTCCCAACAATGCAAACGTGTAGATACCATGTTTGAGGACAGGAAGCGAGAGATTGTCTGCTAGAGGGACGGCCAAGTTAGGAGAGCGATCCCTATGCCGAGGCAGGTCCACGGTGCCTTGGCCAATATACGCCAGCATAATAGGAGCTTCATTCGTTGAATTGAGGCTCAGAGATTTGCGGCATCTCCTTGGCTCTGAGTGCCCCCATGATAAGTCGATATATTGCAAATGGAAGCAGAAAAGCCTCAAAGTCAGAGTTCGCGTCCGAGTGCGTCAAGCGCAATCACGTCCGCTGATGTTTCCCCACAGCTGAAACAGTGATCTACAAGGTACTAAGGCGACGATAACCCCACAAGGACAAGTTCCAAACGACTTGATTCCAGGACATTTTAAATGCATAATGGAGACATAGGATGAGTTGTAGGACATGTCGGCGACGGAACAGACAATCATCACGTGGTGACATCGGGTTGGTGAAAAGCATCGATCATCTAAACTCCCACAGTACAGTTTTGCTAAGTACCTCTGGCTGCTCGGAGTCTGGCAGTCTTATGCATCCCTCAGATTCGGAAGCTGTCCTATTCTTATTCCACTGGTGTATTTTGTCTGCTTACAAACTCACAGACTGTAAGGCGTCATCTTGCATTATGGCGCTCTCTAAGCCTTAAACTGCATCAACTTCGTCCTTGAAGACCTGAACTCATGCCAGACAAAGTAAAAGCTGCTATTCTTGATGATTACCAGCACGTAGCTTTCACCAGCGCGGACTGGACTCCAATCAAGGACAAGCTTTCGGTTGATGTCTACGACGAAACGCTTCATGACGAGGATTCCCTTGTCAAGCGGCTTGAACCGTACTCTATCATCTGTGCGATGCGAGAGCGTACCAAGTTCTCTGCATCCTTGCTGGACCGCCTCCCGAATCTCAGGTTGATTGCGACCACAGGTTTGGTGAATAGGGGTATTGATACTGCCCACGCAAAATTGAAAGGCATTGTCGTTTCTGGAACCTCTGGAAAGGGTGCTTCTACTCTTGAACATATCTGGGCCCTGATCTTGTCTACCGCGCGGTATTAAAAGTCATTATAAAATTGTAATAGCAGAAATTGAACTAGAAGTTAGGTACATCGTTCATGAACACATGGCTGTTGTTACGGGAAATGTGAGCGCTTCAGTCTAAAGTCTAAAGACAGCAGACTAACCGACAACCGGAGCCTCGTTGGCAATCGCATATCCCTCTCGGGCTCTTTGGTCGCACTTTAGGCCTCGTGGGTGCAGGTCGCCTTGGGGCGGCAACAGGCAAGGTGAGTTTTGTCTGCTGATTTCTCTCGCTTGGAGGATTTCCGAGCTGTTTTCCAGATAGCGAAGGCATTTAACATGCGAGTTATTGCTTGGTCGCCCAACCTTACCCGAGAACGGGCAGATGCCGCAGGTGTTGAATATATTGAATCCAGAGAGGAGCTATTCAAGCAAAGCGATATCGTTTCCATCCACATGGTCCTTTCGGAGTCCACCCATGGCATGATCGATGCAACTGATTTCGCGAATATGAAACCTACGGCTTTCTTCATCAATACATCACGAGGACCGCTGGTCGACGAGCAGGCGCTGGTGGATGCCCTGCGTCAGAGGAAGATTGCTGGCGCTGGCCTGGACGTCTTCGACATTGAGCCGCTCCCGCTCGACCATCCCCTGCGCAAACTCGACAATGTTACGCTATCTCCCCACACAGGTTATGTCAGTGATGACAACTATGAGGTACACTTGTTCTGTTATTTGTCTTTGTGGCGTGCCGATAATGTTGTTCCTAGGTTTTTTGGTCCGACACAGTCGACAACATTGCTAGTTTTCTGGAAGGAAATCCCAAACGCGTTATGGCATGAGCTTAATGAAGAAAAGATAAGTGAAGTATTGGTAAGAAGGTTAGGAAGCTTTTACGCATGAGTGAGAGAATATGTATTGTGAATATTGTTGTGAATGTAATATAATAACAAATTACCTCAATACTTGAGCGCGTCATTTTGCTGAGCAACGCGTCTCTTGGACTGTGCATGCTGTGTCCACCCGTTCGTGAAATGACAACGGTCGAGAAGCCACGCGCCGAAGACCTTGCTGCATGTTATCATCTCCTCTCCGACACTCACGATCGTTACTTAGGCTTGCAGAACGGAGGCGCTACCATACGTACTTAAAAGCCGCTTCTCCAGGTGTGCACCTAAGGCTGGCTCATTGAAGCTGCTGACTGAAACTTCATCAGGCGGCGGTGCTCTTAGGATACCACTAGGTTCCCCAAGAGTTATTGGCATCGCAGAAGCGCGAGGGAATAGACCGTGAGTGCATTTGAGCCTATCACACTGTAGGACAAGTGAGTGCTCACCTCATCGTTTGCAGCCAACAGCAAGACTCGCACCAATTCGCAACGCTTACACTTAATCCCGAAGAACTACGTCTAAGTGTCAAGAAGAGCTTTGGGATAGACTGGGATCCGGGCGCCGTCGGCGATGAGTTCGCACGGCAGGTTGTGTTCGTTGGCGTTTACGATGGCCATGGCGGACAGGGAGTCTCTCTGTTCCTGCATCAGAATCTTCACGGGCTCTTCGAGTCTGTGGACAAATCGCAAATCCCAGACGTGTTTGCATGGACGAAGGAGCTTGGCGGTTATTTCAGACGGTTCCGAGGTGGAGTTTTGCAGCCTTGGTTGACACGGCCGCCCTCCGAACAGGAGATGGATCTTGAGGCGAGAGCTACACTGGCATTTCTGGAGGTAAGGTTTCATCCACCCAATACTGAACTTCACGAATTATGAACTATTTTGCAGGCGGACAGGGTCGTGCATGAGTCAAAAACATGTGGTGCAACTGCTTCTGTTGCTCTTCTCCAATCTCTCGATGTACCAGCCACACCCTTCTTCGCTGCTGAAACAGTCGCACTTACGGTTGCGCATGTCGGGTGAGGTGCTTGACTATGCAATTGTCGCTTCTTTTTTGACTTACTCTGCCCGCCGATTTATGATAGTGATACGCGTCTCATACTCTGCTCGAGAGATGGTGGTCATCCCCTTCGGATGACGCACGATCATCATGCTGAAGCTCCGGGGGAATCAGCACGGCTGCGCCGCTGGGGTAGCTCGCGCCTCGTCATGGATTCGTTCGGGGAGACTAGGTTCACACTCTTCCTCTGTATTCAATCCATCGTCTTACTTTCTTTTCTTCTGTCTTAGGTGGATGGGAGCGCTAGCCAATACTCGAGGGTATGTCTGTCCTCATTGACTGAGGAGGTAGTAGTCCGTTCCATCTCACTATACAGCATTTACGAAACAGTATTGGTGATATGGATTACAAACAATACGGTGTCACTGCTGAGCCAGAAGTGACCACAAAACTACTTCACGGACCCGAATGGGCCTATATGGTTCTTGTCACCGACGGTATCTCCTCGGTACTGTCTGACGCGGAAATTGTCGACCTTGCAAGGAATGCCAAGGATCCGAAGGCCGCGGCCAAAGCCATTCTCGACTTCGCGGACGAGATCGGGAGCGAGGATAATCTGACCGCATTGGTCGTTCCACTTGCTGGCTGGGGACAGGTAACGGGACCAGACATGACGAAGGAGCTCCGCGAATACCGAAGGACGGAAGCAAGTATGCATTTCGAAACAGTATATTGGATGTTTGCTGATTAAGTATTCCTTGCAGTTGGGACTGAGAGACATAGACGAATGTAGACTCTCAATATTGCACATACTCATTACTTTATTCAATTGTACAGCTTTAGAACGGACTATGTACTGTACTAATTCCTGCTATGGTTCATCTGCTTTGTTCGTCAATTCATTAACAGGACATTCAATATACAGCATGTTCAGATCTGAGCCACCGCGTGTCCATCTGCACGAGGGTCCGAACCAGCCGCCCAGACAGTACGACCACTAGCCTTGTCAACGATTCTTTGGATTACTTGACCACGGCCCATCTTCCCTCTTTGGAAGTCCTTAGCGATAAATGATTTGTGGCCCATCGCTATAAAGGCGCCGCTCAGATTCCAAACAGCCGCAAGTAACAAGCTCGAACGTACCTCGAAGTGTCTGCACTACAGATTCTGGTATACCTTCCTCAAAGTATACCTCACTGCTGATGTCCCCAGCCTTGCCAGTCACGCCTCCCACTTCCGAGTCAGCAGGCCCTGCCGAGATACAAAACCGCGGCGCATCAAGGGCAGCCTGGGCCGTAAATCCGCGAAGCATATTCAAGAGGACCTGGACGTGCCCTTGGGGTTGCATGAACCCTCCCATAACCCCATAAGAGAGGAAGAGCTCATCCCCGCGAAGGGCCATGGCTGGTATAATGGTATGATAGGGACGTTTACCACCCTGATAAGACAGTTTTTTAGACTGGGCCGCACATCACTTCATAAAGTGGGATGTTTATACCTTCAATTGATTAGGATGGCCTTCCTGCAGGACGAAACCCGAGCCTCGATTTTGCAGGGTGAACCCGCAACCCTTGGGAATGGCTAGGGACAGTCCGGTAAATACCATAAATTTTAAAGTTTATCTGACGAGTAACTTACCTCCCGTTCCGAACCCTGCAGATATATTAACGTCAACCAAACGCAATCCTTACGAATATAAAGTGAACCTACCTGCATAGTTACTTTGAATGTAACTACATGCATTACCCCACTGGTCCACGACTGCCGCGTATGAGTATTGACAATCTTCGTATTTTTATGGTAGAACATACCAGAGAAATAAACTGTGTCAGACGAGTTCGTTGGATTTCCCTACCATTAGCAGGTCAGAAATTGCACCCGAGGTTGAGTACTATGGAGTAATTGACGAACGTGGATGACCTCTGGATTTGTTCGTGAAGGGTCAAATAACTTTGCCCGTGATGCCAGGTATTCCTGGACAATAAGTGAGTTTCACATCAATCCATCTTCATCATCTGGCTAACCTTGCTTAGTAGCTCTTTCACTGGTATATGTTCGACTTCAGGATCCGTCACGTAATATTGGCTATCTGCGAAAGCGAGTCTAACGAAACCCTTGATTAGAATCGAACAGGGCACGCCGAGAATACCTTTCACCGTAGCGATTCAATCAGTAAGTGTAGGTATTCGGCGGAGTTGTGCTCCATCTCCTGGATGGGCTTCGTTAAAAACAGATCTTGTATACTATCGAGTATTCCCAGAGCCATAAGTGCGGTGATACCTGGATGCGCATTCTCTGTAAGTTAATCAAGTGGAGCATCAATCACACTAACCTTGTCCATTTGGAGGGCACTATAAGTGACCAATTAATGTCTGACTATTTTGTTCAGCCACGAAAGAAGGTGCTCACCTCGTACACAGTAACTTCACCTCCATAGGTATAACTTATGGGCTCTACAAATGACGTTTCATGCTTTGCAAGGTCGTCAAGTTCCATGAGACCGCCCTTGCTCTGGATAAGCTCGACAATTGCTTCTGCGATGCGGCCTTTGTAGTAACCGTCCTTGCCATGTTCAGCGACAGACCTGAATGTCTTGGCAAGGTCTGGGAGCTTCATGATCTGTCCGGGAAGAGGCGCCTTGCCGTTGAGAAGCATAGCGTCGCCGTTTGGCGATGCATGCTTAAGGAGTGGCTCCGAGCGTTGCCACTTAGAAGGGGGAGAAGAAACACGACATCAATATTGAAAATGCAGCATGCAAGCCTGAGTCACCCACAGAGTAACTGCTTAATTCTGAAACTGGAAAACTGTTATCCCGCTAATTCAGCTGGCGTTTCGAACGAAGTGCTTTCGTTCTCCTTACCCTTCTTCCGCGAGGCGAATCGCTGGTTCAAGCACCTGAGCGACTGTGAGGTTTCCCCTTCCAAGTTTTTCTACTGTATCAACCCATGCTGCCGCGGCTCCAGGAACAGTGACGCAGTTCAAGTCTGTGTGGGGTATTGAGCGGCCCGTGATCCCGCGCGAGCGTACATATTCCAATGTGAGCTTCTGAGGTGAACGTCCTGAACCATTAAGTGCTTTGACCTGTTTCGTTTTTGCGTCGTAGAACAAACAGAAGGCATCTCTGAAGTCGTCATAGCGTTAGTACCTTGTAGAATCACATGAGTGTATGATAATTACCCTCCAATGCCACAAGAAGTCGGTTCAGTACAATTAAGAGCCGCAGAAGTTGCTACTGCTGCATCCGCTGTTTAATAAATTGATTTCTCAGCTCAAACTCCTCTTGTGCAGGAAGCCATCGCATACCCGCATTGCCACCTTTGTTAAGGATTTCCAGTCCAGCTTCTACTGCAAGTGGCTGAGAGGCCGAAACGACGCCTTTTGTGCCGTATACTTGCGATCGCCTACTCGTAAAGCGTTGAAGGACAAGGTCGGGTTGGTCGACCTTTTCCCAGTCAATCTTCCTCGTATTTGACATTGTACTTCCTACCATCTGGTGTGCAGTACGGCTGATGAGTCTACGGCATTATAATTACGGGGAAGATATTATATAGAAAATTCGAGTCAGTCCTTACCTCTGACTGAACACTCCGTCTACTAGCAAGGGCCTGTTTTGACGGTGAGATACTAGGATGATCTTATGCTACAGCATGTGCGGATTTAAAGTGTACTCTCGGGCCTGTGAGAGTTTCACCTGCTTTAAGCACTATCGTGGATGTATGCAGTGTGAACGTCTGAGCCGTGAATAACGTTCTTCCGAATAATTCTCGGCTATTTCGGGTGCTGTTGCGGTCCGGCGGCTGATCACACTGACACAGCATCGGATAAGTCCGACTTGACTTAACAAAAATATATTCAAATATTGAACTAATGGGTTGAGTTTGTACATGTGAATTATTAAACATATGTAACCCAGGTGTACAGGTGTAATGAATTGTGAAGGTAATCCAGAAGTAAGTATGATCAAAACAACAATGAATATAGAGTAACAGAAGTGAGAATGAAAACAAGAAGTCAAGAAAGAAAGAAGTCATGGTCCATCTGTGCCTCTATCGAAAACAAAAATCTTTGTAGAGGTGCAAGGGGCTGTTTTATATGAGAATACGAAGATGTACAATAGAAATAATGAAGTTGGTCATGTATATCGTAATTATACTTCGGGTTCTTCAATCTTTGGTTTCGTTGTAGCAACTTTGGGTGCATGCTTTGAGTGTTTGCGGAGTTTAGCTCCGTATCTAAATCCAATTGCATAAGCAAATGCATGAACAACCTAGTGGCAAATACGTACCTTCTAAGAATAACGGGAATCGGTATCATTACCACGGCGACAAGCCCAACTAGCGTGCTTGCCCATCGTGGATTCAATGCGTTATACATTTGGGTCGCGAAAAGTGGGAAAGCTGCACCAAAGGAACTTCGAACGACGGTATTCGCTGCTAGGGCGGAGGCAGCGACGAACAAATAGGCATCAATCATGTAGTTAAATAACGCCAACTGATCATTGTTTGAGTGAGTAGCTTGAATGCAGGAGTAAAAAAAACACGTACGAAGATGAATACGACAGAGAAACCCATGGCCAGGCCAGCCAGCATAGGGGCCCAAAATGAAATTGACGGGTACGAGGTCCATCCAAACCAGAAGAATGAGACTGCGAAGATCGGAGCTGCAATTACAGCGATATTCATCCGCTTCTCAGGTGGCACCATATTCGGTTTGTACTCTTCGATTAGACGCTCGTACTGAGGGTTGAATATCAAGAGGTAGACAATGACTCCAGTAACGCCGCCAAGGAACACGGGGATGAACGTTAAACCTGTGGCTCCAGGTGAAAATCCATGTCCCTCTTCGAAGACTATAGGATACGCCTCAAAGAGTAAATAAATGCATCCGTAGACGAACTAGGAAGAAATTCTCATTCAGTGCGCACGTGATAAATTGAGGAAGAATCAACGCTTACACTCATGTAAACCGTGATTGCAATGAGCATGGGCTCCTGGAATAATATTTTGAACGGTCGAGCAACAGTGTGTTCGATTCGCTTCAGCCAGTGCTCCTTTTCTTCCTTTTCTATAGGAGCGTAGTAGTTGTCATCACCTGTCCTTAGACGCATAGCCTTTGCTTTTGACGCCATAATTACGGGTCTAGGAAAATGGGCACTTATTATGTTTGTTACGACAGGAGGGGGAGAAATACTCACGCATAAGTTTCGGGAAGGGTAAATGCAATAAGGATAAAGCATACACCAGCGAACATCGTCAAGATCCAGAAGAGCCAACGCCAGGATACTCCCGCCGTCGTTAAGTATCCGCTGACAACTGGGCCAAGAGAGGGGCCGGCGAAGGGAGCAAGAGTGAATAGAGCAAGAGCTTTGCCTCGGGTACCTGCATCCCACCTTGAGGAATTGTCAGGAAAAGGTTATTTGAAACGTGAGCTTGAAACGTACATATCAGAAATCAAAGCTCTAAATTACGAGAGACCGTGATAAGCCATCTTTCAGTTATTAAAATTTGTGTTTCTTACCCGCTATTTGTTAATGGAGCAGCCGCAAACGTCCCTCCCAATAGTCGGAAGATGATGATACTAGCCGTATTTTGGGACAGTGCACAGCCTATTTGAAAGCAGGTGTAAACGAAGAAGGTTATAATAAAAACCGGTCTGCGGCCATACTGTAGACAATTGTGAGAATCAAGTGCAAGCAAGTAGTGAGATAGTAACTACCTGCTCCGAAAGGGGTCCCCAAAGTAGGGGCCCAACACAGTATCCACCGACGAAGAGGGCAATGGTTAGGACAGCCACCTCCATGGAAAACCCAAACTGTTGCATTAGCTGCCGGGCTATCCCAGAAGGTGCGGACGAAGCAAAGGTTCTAGAGGGACAGTTAATCATCTGTAGGCGACCGATACACATCTGGCTTGAACGTACGCATTTAGGACCAGTATACCGCCAAGTCCTGTAAGGTACCATCTATACACACGAGACCAATTCTGTAGCAAAATGAAATAGTTATTATTAGAAGTCGATGGTGTCCGGATCTAGCGGAATACTTGCATGAGGATTGAGGGGATCATCCGGATCAAATTCCACGAGGTATGGATCCTTCTTTCGCTCTTCCAGCCCTGGGAAAAATTGATGCTGAAATTGTTCATTGACGCTACCGGTCTCGCTGCGGTCTTCGAAAATGGTGGGGGTAGCCGACGCGGTGGCCATAGTGGCGGAGAAAGGGGAACACAAACGGGCAACTGGAAGTCATCGGCCGGGACGGACTATATAATTTATAGAGGTGATGACTGCACAGTGCTTATTCGATGGATTTCGAGACAGAGCTAGTAAAATATCAATCCGACTGCCCTTGCCTTTTGTGGCCTCGGCCTCGGCGTCTGTGTGTGCCTGTCGGCTTACAAACGCGCCTCGCGTCATTTTGCTTTGTGGAGCGTCCGGCTCAGTTCCGAACATGGATTACACAGAGCTCTTTCAACAGTCAAACGCGCTCGTCGCGTTCAGCAATGGCGCGCACTGGGTCGCAAACGCCATCCACGACCGCCTCGTCGTGCGGCGCGCTGATACATTCCAGATTACACGTACCTGGCGCGTCGACGCTGCACCCTCTCCATCGAACCTCTCGTTCGCCACAAACTCCAACAGGCATTCTCCCGTGAGTCAGGCTCCCGCGACGTCTGCGTCAACGGAGCCCGCATTAATCAGCCACATTGGTTGGTCCGCCGACTCCGAGTTTCTGCTTGCCGCATCCGCACGTCATGGCGTCGTCAATGTTTTCAAGATGCGCGACGAAGATTGGTCTGCACGGATCGAAGCTGGTGTCGAGGGTCTCATCAAGGCCGAGTGGACTCCAGACGGACGTCACATCCTTTGCTTCTCGGAGTGGGGTGTATGTCTTCTCGGCTAATTTTGCTATATTTATGCTGACCAGCCATGAATTGTTCTTAGCTCCGGGTTACCGTTTGGTCTCTTCTCACTGGACAAGCAACGCATATACAATATCCCAAACTTCCCGATCGAGGTTTGTCTATACCTGATCTACATCTATCATCAACCATTCATCTACTTAATACATTAGGTTATGCCTTCAGACGCGATGGTCGCTACTTCGTCCTCGCCGAACGTCATAGATCAAAGGACATGCTCGGTGTCTATGACGCAGGCGACTCCTTCAAGCAAGCTCGAGTGCGTTTCTGCTTCTTATTCCGGCATTGCGGCTGACGGAGCTAAAAGATAGCATTACGCACTCCCTACTTCCTCCCTAGCGTCTTTGTCTGTTTCTCCAACAGGAAAGCATATAGCAGTATGGGAAGGTCCTCTTGAGGTTCACTTCTTTTTTTATCTCCTCTCAGCTTTGCCTGTGATTAATTTGCTTCAATAGTTTAAGCTTTGCATCCTCACCTTGACTGGGACGTTATTGTCAACATTTACTCCCGAGCCAGATGCTGGGCTCGGCGTACGTTGCGTGGCCTGGCATCCATCCGGATCGTTTATTGCAGTCGGTGGCTATTCCGATAAAGTAGATCCCTTTTGCCATCGCCAGGGTTTTAACATACTTACACACGGTATAGGTATACATTTTGGATGGATTAAGCTGGTCTTGCGTGGCGACACTGGATCTGAGTAACCGCATACCTTTGGATGTCGTGAGTCTAGAAATTGGGTGAAGTAATAAAATGCTTAACAGAAATCTTTGCAGAATGTATGGCGTGAGCCTGCAAATTGGATAGAAGCGACTTTGGGTCGAGGCTATTTGACATGTGCGTTCGCCTTTCTTCGCGGTCCTTCAAAATACTGAAGCCCGCTATTCAGATGAACGGCCTCAAGGCACACAAACGGTACCTATGATCAGAGCAGACGCATCAAAGGCATATCCAAAGATTGGTCTTGTTCAACTTGAGTGGAATGTAAATGGAAGCTTGTTGCTTACACGCTACGGTAAACTATACTTTTGCGAATAACTTGGACAGTCCCAACTAATCTAATAATGTTCATAAGAATCAAGTCCTACTGCGTTATTCATTTATTCCTTCCCTTCCCCTTCAGAGCGCTTCAAACCAAAGTTACGAAGCGTTCTGCTGCAATCCACACCCATCTTACAAGCACGTTGGAATCCCGTCCGAGCCGGTGCACTTGTTCTATGCTGCGGTGGCGGGGGCATGTACATGTGGAGCAACGAATGGTCGTCTGAGTCCGAGGATAAGGCACATACTGATGCCGATGAGGAAGAGATTGCGGAATGTATTGGTATACCAGCAAGTAAGTGCGGCAAGCAGTTAAACGTACATTGTATTACTCATTACTATTTGTCTTTACAGAGAAGTTCCAGTTACGGGACGTTCGCTGGGCACCAGACGGGAAGGGACTCTTGTTAATTGACAAAGATGTATTCTGTTGCGCGTTCGAAGTTGAGCAAGACGATACCTGACTGACGCTGTGTTCCTGTTTTCCGACGTATCGTGGGTTTCTGTTGTCGCGGAAGGATTTAGGCTGTGTTCATGTCCATTAATCTTTACCGATTTTGTCTCGTATGTTTTGTAATGAATTGTTTTCCGGTATCCGTTGCCATCGGCAGTTTGACAGCCTTTTCACGCAATCTGGCATGTTTGACTGAAATGGTATTTGATGTGGTTAGGTGAGATGAGTAATCCCCAGGCACTCCGCTTAAACGATTAGATTAATTATCTTATCTTATCTCGATCTTCATAAAGAAATGAAGTTATTTATATTCAACATACCACACATTGCTTAACTTTTTGTCGATAATGATGCGTCATAGTCAAAGTATAGCAAATACAGTACTGGTGTTACGTGAGAAGTGTCGTTACATAGTTAAGAGAACAATCTCAAACGCTGGTAGTATCCCGTCAACCACTCAAGCACTTGTTGAACAACACCTTTACGGGCCTGGTCTGCGAATCCTTCAACATCACTCTCAAGCCAATCCAATAACTCCGTATTTAGCTTGTCCGGAGCAGCCATCATGATCCAATGATCAGTTTCAAAGTCTACGATTCGGGCATTCGGACAGAACCTCTGAGCTGCTGCCTTTCCGAAATCCGCGAGACAGATGTAGTCTTGCAGTGCTGCGCCGTAGAAGACAGGCTTGTGGACTATTAGTTTGTCAGGGTCAATCTCCATGCCTGGTGAAAATTTCAGTGTCAATGGAATGTTGTAAGGTCAGCAGGGTGGAATAGCATACTCCGTTCTTCACCGGGTGTATGATCGTCCACCATTGCCTTATACCAGCAACAAGGACCAACGAGACCTCCCTTCAGTAGGTTTTCCTGGTGTTGTTTCAGTTCCTACACACTTGTCAGTCGATTTCATTTCAGACTGGTATACCGACTTACCTCTTCACTGAGATAAGATGGTCTCCCTTCAACCCTGTTTGATGCGATCCATTCTCTAGTCTTCTCGTTCGACGCAAAATGGTCCTTCCAGAACAACGGATCGGAAGGGAATATCAAACTATGGAAAGAATCGATCTATTCGCCGAAGCAATTCTCTGAGTTAAACGACGCAAAAGAACCAGAATAACGCGACTTACGTGCTCCTCAACAAGTTTCGGAGCGTCATCAGACGCGAAGTACTCCCAGTACCCGATAAGGTTACAACCGAATACCTCTTCTGTGCTAGCGGCCAACTTCTTGTAATCGGAGTTCGGGTCTGGCGGCATGTATGCTGACGCAAGCGTCCCGAAAGCTACGAAGCGTTCTTGATGGTGGTAGGCAAGTCGGGAAACTAGTGGTGATCCCCTGGAAAGCAGATAGTTATGATTAAGCAAGTAAGAGGCTCAGACCAATACACTTGCCAGTCGTGTCCAATAGCAACTATATCAGTGACTTTCTCGTGGTCGAGGATCTCAACCAAGTCTTGTGCCATAACGCTCATTCTATATGATTCAGCCGTCGTGGGTCTGTCAGTGCCTCCATAGCCTAGCAAGCTATGCAAGTGTGATATGTCAGTTAGAAGTGCACGCATTGTGAAAAGTGGCTTGGAGGGGCTGCCTACTCTGGTACTACTAGGCCATAGCCCTTCTCTTTGAAGAAAGCGACCTGTCGGCGCCAGTCATACGAAGATGATGGAAACCCGTGGCAGAATAGCAAAGTTATCCTGTTTGCGTCGGTAGGAGGTGAAAAGAAGTAGTGATAAGTAAAGCCTCTAGAGGTCTTGAAATCTCTGTATGCTGCGGAGTCCATTTGAAGAGCAAGAACTATAGCTTGGGAGAATCCGCTCATGGCCATTTATCCATTCAGCACAAGGGTGAATTGCATCATCCAGACCATAAGCCTGAGATTCATTCGTACTGCCGCAGTAGAACACGTGTTGATATCGATGGTGAGCCATAAGATACTTGTCCGTTTGAAAGGCACTGACGCCCGATGCAACCGAGCTAGCACGGGAGAGCCACAATTTACCGAAGCACCCACGCAAGACCGAGAAGCACTGGAGCCAAGATGTACAATTCAGTATCTCGTGCGGTGACCGGCGGCTTCTCCGATGCTATACAAGTGCTTGCACTGCTCAGTTCCAAGTATGATACAGGCCTCCGAACCTAGCCTTTCAAGGATTTCTTGTCACATAAAGTTGGAAGCTATTGTATATCGCAATGCGTCCTACATGCGAAAATGCTGCACCTGTGAATCGTGATAGATCTACTTAGTATGACCGAATAGTCTGCGGCCAGTGCAAGTCACCGGACAGGCATGGAGGCCGAAAGTCGTGCAGCATTACGTGCCTGGTCATAACCGACAAACTATCTGGGTGCCTTATACCCGTTGGATTGAATAAATCGTTGATAAGCTCCGTGAATTCATGCAGACTTTAATCAATTAATTGAAGTAGGTAGGTTTAGGGTGATGGAGAAGCAGAACCACAGTTGTAATCACGAGTACATGCGTTTGTCGGGCGGAAGCCAGTCTAAGTAATTTTTAGGTTTCACAGAGTACGCAACGTGTGCCATACAGAGGTTCCTCGATGTTTATAAGTAATTGCAGATACGGAGGCTTCAGCAACAAACAAGGCCAACGTCAAAAGCGCTGATTATTTAGATTACATAATAAAGGGTGGACGCGACTCGAAATTGTGAATTTCTTTCGGAAACGCGTCCAACTGCAAGTCGAACGAGCAGAGTTCCGGTTATTCCGCGTTTTCCTCGCGTACGTTCTCAGAGAGAGACGCCGTCGCATGCCGTCCGCACCACAGCTCCTCTTTCTCTTTTCCTTCGTCTCCACTTTCGCCGTTCTCTATCTCGGCACTTCAGCCCTTGGCTCCTACCTCAGGTCAAACGGCTGGGACATCAACGATCTCATCCTCATCGGTCTCCAGAAAAAGGACTTTACCACGGAATCTCCTCCAAAGATGCTTTCCTTCACGGACGTCATCAACACTATCAAGGCAGACCAGAGTGCTCAAGCTGCTGCTGCCGTTGGCCTTCTTACAATTGTCTTTATCCTCTCTAAGCTCCTCAAATCAAGTAAGTACACGCTTGTAAACATGTCCACGGGCGCAAGCACTGACTATCTCTAACTTTTCCCCCTGTCCAGAAAAGAAGCCAGTTTTAAATCCTCAAGAGTGGAAGGAATTTCCGTTGGTTGCTAAGTTCACCGTATCACCGAATACAGCATTGTACGTGTCCCGTAAAGTCAATATCATAACATTCCGATCCTCACAAGTATTTTATTTCAGGTATCGTTTCGGTTTGCCTTCGCCTGACGATGTTCTAGGGCTCCCCATTGGTCAGCATATCTCTGTGCAGGCTGAGATAAATGGAAAGAACATCATGCGTTCGTATACACCAACCAGCAGTGACGATGACGTTGGACATTTCGACCTCCTTGTTAAGGCCCGTTGACTAATTCTCCTTTCGTAAACCCAAGAACTGTACTTACCGAATATTTTATTTCAGTCCTACGAGAAGGGAAACATTTCCAAGTATCTTTCTTTGATAAAAATCGGTGATAATGTCCGTGTCAGAGGACCAAAGGGTCAATTCAAGTACCACCCGACCCTAACTCGCGAAATCGGTATGATTGCTGGAGGAACGGGTATCACGCCTATGCTTCAAATTATCCGAGCAGCGCTCAAGAACCCGAACGACCGTACGAAGATTTCACTCATTTACGCGAACGTCAACGTGGAGGATATTCTGCTGCGTACGGAGCTGGATGAATTGGCTGAGAAACACAATGATCGTTTCAAGGTGTACTATGTCCTTAACAACCCTCCTCCGAACTGGAAGGGTGGTGTTGGCTTCGTGACTAAAGACCAGATTGAGCGTCACCTTCCGCCGAGCAGCCATGATATCAAGGTTCTCCTCTGCGGACCCCCGCCGATGATTACTGCAATGAAGTCAGTCCTTCATCAATCTCGTTTTATGGTGTTTTTGCTGACCATGATTTTCTTAAACTTAGGAAACACCTAGACGATCTGAAGTACCCGGCACCCAGGACTGTCAGCAAGCTTGAGGATCAGGTTAGTGACTGCAAAACTGCATTAATCCATGATCTCTGTTTATTAATTACATTTATTATTAGGTCTTCCTGTTCTGAGGATGCCGTAGTCATCTTTCAACAACACTTATTTTGCTAGAAAACGTAGATCGGATCTCTTTGGTATTTAGATGATTTAGTGGAATAATGCATAGTATTGTGTTTCGAAATATGAGTTAGATCGGTGAACAGATTGGTGCTTCTACAGTCTATTACAAAATCGAATTTCCACTTTGAAAATCGTATCCAAGAAAGTATTACAAGAAGAATTCCGGAATTTCCTTGTCGGAATCAGATGTAACAGATGCAATAGGTGAGATGACGAAATTCGTCAATGAGGGCATGAAGAAGTCATAACGGACAAACAGATGCATGGACATGGGAATTCGAAATTGCACAGGACATTCAAATTCAAAACGGAAAAGCGGAAAAGATCGATATATCGTGTATATCAAGCTAGAGTAAATAGACTCACTTCTTCTTACCCTTCTTATTCTTCCTGCCCTTTCCACCACCCGCAGCTGCCGTAGCAGGAGCAGCTACCGGTTCTTCCACGGGTAACGGCAACAAACGCGATCGTCCACTCGTAAGTACAGCAGGGTCGACATATTCATTCGGATCGAACTTGGAGTACGATTTGTTACTCGCAATACTCTGTCTTGACGCTGACCTCCTTAGTGCTGATGAGGATGCCGAAGGCTCCATTGGTCCTGGCTCGTCCGCTGGGGCGAGGATAGATACACGACGACTTGGAGTTTGATTTGCGGAAGGGCTACGCATCCCGAGTGGATCTAGGCTTCGTTTTGGCGGAGCAGGTGTACCGCGATCGCGTGGGAGGTTGCGTCGCGCAGCGGGAGGAGTCGTTAGTGTATCCTGCGATACATCAGACGCAACGACTTCGTATTCATCTGCATCTTCTGGATGAGGGTCCAACCTTCTAGAGAAAGGACTTCCAAGTCCAGAAGGTGGCAGGCCAGACAGCGACGGATGTCGAGGTGTACCCATTGACGGTGTTGGCATACCATTGGTGTTTCCATTGGGCGTATAGATGCCTCCACGCGTACGAGACACATCGCTCCGTGCGCTCTGCGAGCGGACCACTGCCGGCGGTGGTACATTCTCTAAATTCGCACGAACAGACCGATCCGAGGTCGCTCGTCCAGACCGCGCAAATGATGGTGCAGTTGACAAAGGCAGTGGCACACCCGATGGATCCACCACGTCGCCAAAACCAACCCGCGAACCTCGTCTAGAAGAATTCGCCCGCGAAGGTTGGAACGTCACCGGATCGGGAATGACTGGACTCGAGCCTCTTCGGGATAACGACGATCCTGGTCGAATTATCTCTGGTTCCAACCCTATACGTGGGGAAGTAAGATCTGGTCCGCGTACAGGACGCGGAGAGCGTTCCGTTCGATTATCTCCCCACGCAGAGCGCGTATCCCAATCCGATGCGGCTCGACTGTGAAACCCTGCATTCGGCCCACTGAACGACAATCTAGGAGATCTCGATGCCGAACTTCCCGATCTAACTCGACCAGCGTCGTAGAATCCTCCGGATTTCTCGCTCGTCGACCTTGCGAGGACAGGTAGAGCCCCGGATACGCTCATGTTTGGACTTGTTATAGGTACTGGTAACGGGCTGACTGGAATTGACGTAGATTGTGGTACAAAGCCTGGCGGCGCACCGTCGGGCATCGGCGAGCTCGGCATGAAGCCAACTGGTGCACCAGGTATTTGATCAGAGGAATCTACAACAAATCCGGGAGGCGCTCCTGGAGGTGCGGCAGGAGACGCGGAAAGGAAACCAGGGGGAGCAGGGGACCCGGGTACAAACCCAGGAGGAGCAGGAGAACCAGGAATGAAGCCAGGTGGAGGTCCAGGAGAAATATCCGGACGGTCAGGAACAAACCCAGGTGGTGCATCAGGTGGTGCAAGTGACGGAGCTTGCACAGCAGGTGAAGGCATGAACCCTGGCGGAGCGCCCTCAGGCGCAGATGGGGAATGTGGCTGGAAACCAGGTGGGAGACCGTCGTGAGTAGGCATCGTTGGCGTAGGCACAAACCCTCTCGGCAAGTTTTCAGTTGAGCCAGGTATCACTGGGGACGTAGAATTAGGAACAAATCCATCTGGAAATCCTGGCACAACTACGGGAGAGGGGGGTGCGTGCACAGGCATTGAATGACTATACGACGACATTCTAGGACTAATATGGTCTCGCGGCATATTTGATGTTCTCGATTGCAAGGAGTTAGAACGAGACTAATACAAAATAAAAACAAAATAGTTCAGTATTCGACAATACAACAGAAAGCAGAATAAGGACATAGGGATAAACAAAGAGCAGGTAGAAAAGATGTCGCAAGGTTATAGAGAAAGAGAGCATGATGATAGTCCATGGAGTAGATAAAACCAAAAATAAAAAGAGAGATGAAAGAAAGCTCATACAGCTTGAGTAATAGTGATCTCCGGCGTCTGGACTCCGGTAGCGGTGGGCGGTCTGCTTCTTCTGTACTCAGATGCTGGCGTCATATTTCTACTCCTCGATGGGCGTGGCGTGCCACCAGGGCCTCCAATGGGGCCTCCGATATCTGAACCTGAAGCAACGGAGTTGATGCGTGGGCGTGTATATGCCGGCTGATCATAGTTGTCGGCACCAAGAGACGGTGCGAGAGGTGCCGGGGTAGTCAGTCTCGAAGGCCTGGGCGGTCCGAAACCTGAACGTGTCGATCGAGGTGAGAAAGCAGCTCCCTATTCAATAATCATGGTAATGTAGGCAGTGATGAATAAAAACAGAATGCAAATAATGAGGAGGGAAGACAACATAAAGAACTCAATAAGAATGACGCACCAAGTCTGGACGTACAGGTGGTTCTTCAACCATGACAGGTTCAGGAGAAATGTAAGCATCACCACGTCTGCTTGACCTGGAACGTGGAGTTCCAGGATACATGGCGCCCTCCGCTTGACGCATGCTTCCACTCGGGCTTGCATAGCGTGGGTCGTGTTCTGGAATGGCGCTCAGTCGATTATCCCGCATCAAAGTTTGTCTTCCGTCTGGAGGTGATACGAGTGAAAAAGCACCAGTCGCTATAGAGTCATCGGAATCCGCGACACTCTTCTGGTAACGATGCCTTCGACTGGGACGAGACTGTTCCTGAGGTAGCCCATAGTCTCGTGTGATTGGGCTCCTTTCTCTCTGAGGCAGCACTGCAGGTTCAGCAGGCGGCAAATTTGACGCGTTCGGTAAAGGCGAATCGTACGAACGTGGAGTGGGTGGAGCTTGGCCCAGTTCATGAGGTGGTGGAAGTCGAATCGATCCATCCAAACCCTGTGAAGGGATATAACCGTCTGGCGGGATGTGTATTGGCGGGTGAGCGGGCGACCTTGGCCGATTCGGCATGGAAATCGGAGGGACATCATTTGGGTCCGGGTTGAAGTCCGGTTCCGGCATGCGCACTGGTGTCGTGTGGTTTACCTGGGATATCTCCTCAGCCGGAAGGGGAGACGTGATCGGATTGACAGGCATCTCATCGACAATGGAAGCGACATCCGGTGCATTGGATGGATTGACTGCGACATTCCTATCCATCTCGGGACCGTGTCGTCGTCCTCGACCGAGACGCGAGAGACCATTGAGTATCGAATTGCGCGGACCACGGGATGAAGCTTCGCCTGGTACGGATCGCGTTCGCGGAGGGATGCCTGTCGGAGTGCGAGGTGTCGGCCGACTGCGTTGCACTCGCGGGTCTGCTGTCCCTTGGGGATTTGGAACATATTGCATAGGGTGTCTCCCATCTTCGCGGTAATCGTTCGTGTACCGATCGTCGTCAATAATTGTCCGCCCGTCGTAAGTCTGCTCGTCGTAAGGCCGGCCATTCTCGTACAACTCGCGATCGCGATCATAATAGTCTCTTCCATACGCTCGGTCATCATAGTAGGCGTTCTCCATGCCTTCTTGCAGGCCTTGCTGTCGGCCTATTCGTCTTCCCTCCTCTCTAGCCTTCTGGATTAGGGACTCAATCTCATATTTCTTTGCTAGTCGTCTAGCCTTGGCAGCCTCGTCCTCTGCTTTATCCTTTTCTTTGTCTGTCTGTGCAATCATGTCATTCGCACGTGCGATCTGCTGCTGGGCGGTCTCGAGCTGAAGCTTATACAATCGAAGTTCTTCATTTATACGAGAAGCTTCGGCCTGTGCCTGCAGGCGTGCCTGATTTATGACTTTCCAACGATCGTTCGCCTCTTGGACGCGCCGTTCTGCTTCATTGGCGCGCAGGTTCTCCGACTCGAGACGGTCGTGTGCTCTCCGTAGCATGGCGAGGGCCTCTCTCGAGTCGGTGCCCTCTGCTTTGAGAAGAAGGCGAAGCACCTCCCGGGCGCTGGAGTGACTCCGTGTGCGTCGGGATGAGTGACCATGGGAAGGAGAGTGCGAGTGTGAGTGTGAATGCGAGAGACCATGCGAGGACGTCCTACGCCTGGAGAGGGCCTGCGAGGGGCTGGCTGGCACCTCGTCGGATGGCGTTGTTACAATGTCATTGTAATACTCATCAGCGGTGTTGCCTGCTAAACGAGGATCTACCCCGATGCTGCCAGGTGGTAAGTTGCCTGGCGGCTTTATGGGGAGTGGAGGGGCAGAGTGACCACCTAGAGAGTCTCTGTCTGTGAAGTCATCGTATACAGAGCTGAGGGATATGAAGAGAGATGAGAAGGCTAGAAGCGAGGCGGGAGATATGAACAAGCGTACGCTGGAGCGGATTCGTCTGCTAGTTCTACAACTGGAGCCTCACGTACTTGATCAGTGACGCGAGAACGTCTCGAACCGCGCGAGCCTCGTGAACCGCTGCCCGACATTCGATCCTCCGGCTGCTCAGGCATACAAACACAGCGAGCAAATTAGTTAAAAATTGTGCGCTTGCAATTAGGGAGATAACAGACCGAGATGGACTAAGAGGAACACGCGCAGGCCAGGCTCACGAGAGCACTTCTCATGGACCAGCACAGGCTCAACGTGTTGGCTGCATGCACCCCTCAACAGAGTTTGTTTGTGTACCATGCACCGAACATGCCCGAAGCCAAACACGTGCTCATTTGTCATCTGCAGAGTTGATCGACAGTCATCGTCCACACTTCCTCACTGGTCCTTAATGGTCCTTGGTGGCCACAGTAATGCAACATAGATCCTTCAGCAGCATAGCCAGGCACTCGGGACGGGTATGAAATCTGCTTTGACTTTGACGTTTCTGTTTCTTCTCCTGTCATGTGTGTCCACGTGAGGGTGACAAACCTCTGAGATACTGGCGTGCTTCCTGACACTTTCTGGCAAGTTTCTGCTCTTTATCCGTCAATCCCGCATCATCAAATTATTCATTGATTCAAAGCAATTATGAGCACTACATCTTCCCTTAGTATAAAAGCAAAAATCTTCTCCCCTCTAACCACCAGAGCCACTCTCTTCTCATCCTTTTTCTAGACCGCCTTCGTAGCCCTTATCTCCAGTATCAATGTCTAAGGTGAGCTCGGCCGGAAAATATCAAATGTATCCATTACTTAAATATCGCTTCCAGCCAGTTCTGTACACTTTTGGGGGTTCAGTCTGGGCTGCTGTTCCGGAGCTTGCCATGTAAGGAGCCCTTCTAAGAGTCGTTTTATTCACTGACGATCATTCAGTCGTGAGCTGGGATATTTCCCGGACGGTATCGAAATCAAGATTATAAACCTCCTGAAGGGAGAGAACTTCAATCCCTCATTCGTCAAGGTCGTAAGTACCTAACTTCAATTAACGAAATAATACAATGAAGTATAATAACTCGCAGAATCCAAATGCAACTCTCCCGACTCTCACTGCAGACGGCAAAGTGTATACCAACACAACAGACGTCATCTCATACCTTGTCGAGCACGCCCCAAAGTCAGTAAAGAAGGCTTCGGACAATGATATCGTGAAACGTATTCATGAAGATGACATTGATCCTAACTTTGCCCTTCTCCTTTCTGTAAGTCTACCTCGTTCGATTCAAATCTCCGTCCGTGTCACCTCAACGTAAATCTGAAAATTTACGATCTGCTTACAGCGAAACGATGAAGAGAAGAAAGCTCGCGCTTCTGGTCTCGTACTATCGTTCTTGTCAGGCCGTAGGTTCCCGTGATCCATCTTATTGAAATGAAGCTCTGATACTGATCTCCCTATCCTTCCCTTCCTTACCACATTCTTCCCTTCACCACACTAGGCCAAGATGCACTACACAAACACGCCTCAACACCCGAAGCATCCGAGTTCAGCGACTTCTACAAAGGCAAAATCGAAGGTAACGGCGGGCTCCTCGCACTATACTCCGACAAAGCACCCGATCATGCAAAGCAAAAGTTTTTCGAAACGTCCACTCAGCATTGGGAGAACCTTCGCACCTTCATTCTCAATTCACTGCCGAGTTACCTCCCGGATGAGACGGCCTTCTTCGGTGGTGACGTTCCAGGTGAAGCGGACTTCCATGGCGGTGCTTGGTTATCTCGTATCGTAGCTACTGTTGGTGGTAAAGACGTCGATGCACTCGAGAGCGAGCTTAAGCAACCTGTCCCTCCGAAGGTTGTTGAATATTGGAAAGCGTGGAGTGTGCGTGAGAGTTGGAAGTCTGTCTACGCTGAGGGTTTGCATTAAACGTACCAGATTTTCGTTAACGCGGTACAGACCAAGTGTATAAGTAGACACGTAGACATGTAGATGAATTGTCCGGAATCCATAATTTACATGTAATGCATCGAAGACATAAAAAAGTTGTACCAACGATTAATTGTCCGTGTCAAGGATCAAGAGTCACGAAGTGAGATTGCACGGAAGGACAGCAAAGTCCATTACAGATCTAAAACGTCATGAATAATAAGCATAGTTTTGTTAAAAACCTTTATTCGATGATTAATGAGACAACATACCTAAGACTAATAGATTCTCCAGTCTCTACATCAGTCAATATTAATCCATCAATGGTATGTACACCAGGTAAAATCGCCAAGAAACGCATGGTTACAGATTGGCACGTCGACGGGCCAAGAGGCCTAATTTTCACAAAAAGCATAAACTATTAGTTGTGCGCAGAATCAGAAGGACATAAAAGACTCACCCGATTCGTACCTTACTCTCCAGAGCCATAAATGCAGGAGGAGCAGGTTTCCACAAATCCATCGCCGCCGTTGAGCCAGCAGCAAGTGCAAACTGCGAATCCCGCTTCTCATCTCTCCGTCTTCGTCTATCTAAAAGCGTCGCCTCAAGCGTCCTTACATACGCCGACTGATTAAATACAAATATCTCAAGCGAGAACTCTTCGAGTGGGTGTATAACTCGTTGTCTCGTCGTTGTTTTGAGTGATGCTTCTTCCTCTGGGGAGATTGGTGGGATGAGGTTTATTGATACGACAAAGTCTTTGTTTCCTTGTCCAAGACTAACGTTCCCTGGGCCTCTGAAAGAACCGGGTAACGCACGGTCGTCCGCTCCAGGATGAGCTCTGGGAGTCATGGGGGGTGCAGGGGTAATAGGCATCCCAGGCAACGCAAATCGTTCTCTCCTTGCATCAACACCCATCCCAACGGTACCCATCTGACCGAGCGAAGGTGTCACGGAATTCGGACGCGGTGTCATAGGTTGATTACCATACGACGGGAACGCAGGAGTTTGAGGGAAAGGGTATGTTGTACCCGCTGTAGTAGGTGGTGGACTAAGGTTCTTATTCGGAGTTTGCGGTCCATTGGGAAGGGGAGGTAAAGGTGGGCTGAGATGGCCTGGTGTGGATAAGGGCGTACTCCCTACAGTCCAAGGCTTCATACCCAATTTCCCTAATGGTGAAGGTATTCGACTACCTGACGGACTGGTGCTCAATGACATCGGACGTTGTGGTGTGAGGAGCTGTGGACTAGGAGACACTGTCGGCCCAGCAAACGTATGTCGTTTCGGGCCAGCAACAGTATCCACCCGTGCAGTCGCTACCGCCGACGCTTGTTCTTGGGCTTGTTGAGCTCGTGGACTCGCGATGGGGAAAGGAGAAGGTGGGATCGGAACAGCATTCTGGCCAGCGTCTGACATCGACTCGGGAGGAGGCATCGATTGTCTTCGAGGATCCAAGTCGAGTTTGCAGTTCCATCGTGAAAGAAATGGCGAGGTAAGATACGTGAGCTTGTCCGTTTTAACCATAGAAACATAGTTCGCTCCAGGAACCGAAAAGGGTCGTCCGATGATATTGAAAGACACCACCTTTTGGAAGTCATCCTGATCTCCCATTTGTGAAAGTTCGAATTCCGGGAAACGAAGGAATGTGACCGTGTACAAGAGGTAATACTGCTCTGCAGGTCGAATAAGGAGCGGAAAGACTTTGGTGGGATCCGAGAAACCTTCCTCTCCCCAACCAATCAACCTAACCTTCGTAATCTCGTTCTTCAAATAAACCTCAACAGTATCAACAGAGAATCCAGCTCCCGAATCAACTGGGTTCTCGATTTCGATGCTGAGAACGACAGTACTCTCGTCACTTCCCGTTTCTTGTTCATCATCTACACCCTCAGGCAAAAATAACTGAGGAACCAGAATGGTTCGCATTCGTACGTGGAATCCAGATGCGAGACCAAGTGTCTTGCGGAAAGACTTGCGTAGGACGGGAAGGGATCGCGAAGAAGGACCCTGTTTCTGTTTGGCTGGTGAAGCTGGAGTAATGGGTGGCAAGGAGTACGAACGACGAGCTGATGCACCTAAGCGACTTGTCGGCAGGTATAAGTCATCTACTTCTTCCGAGCCAAACATGACTTCTAACACCTCAATAAGCACAGATGCCAGAATATATAGATTGCGATTTACACCCACCAGTCGACAGTCCTTCAAGCAGGTTAACCTCTTCCAGATATCCACGTTCCACCCGCCTGTCATCACTTGAACTGCTTTCCTGAGAGACATCAACTTTCTTAGGAGGCGTCTGATCTACGAGAGGAGGCAGTTGACCAGCTGCTTTGATGAGTTCGACCAAAGTGCGTCTCTGAGGAGTCGGAGAAATAGGTTTATCGCGTAAAGTGATGGAAGTAGTTAAGCATAACAGAGGATCACTGAATTCAGTCCTGAGATAAACTGAAACACCACATAAAGTGTTAATCTAATGCCACAGACGTAGGAGAAAGACAATACGTACCAACGGGTAAAGATATCCTGTAAACAGCTATCCAACATTTCTCACTACTCGATCGAAGAAGGCGAAACGAGTCCGTATCATCAGACGATTCCTCGCCCCAGATTATAGACTTCAGCGGTGTACCCTCCGAATAAACATACTTTTTGTCCGTCTCGCTCGTCGATGGTTTCGGGCTCGGAGTCTGCGGCGGGAAGATAGGAAGTGGAATACCCAGGCCTTTTGTTATTTTCGGTGTCTGTCCAGGGCTACTGGTAGAGCGTGACGGAGGAGCAGGTAACCGAGGGCCAAATGGATCGTCTGACGGTGTAGGTGGTATGTACGTGGCTTCTAGCGAGACTTGCAAATGATTTAGGAACGACAAAAGGACGGGCGGAGGTGCTTTCGGATCGGGAGACAACAAGCCAGCAGAAGCATCGTGCTGAAAGCGTACAACGAGAAAGAAATCCAACTTCTCATCTAAAGGAAGAACGGCGGCCGTCAGAAAATAATATTGACATGTTATATTGGCGTTATGCAGCGCACCAAAGAAAGCCTGCTTCCTCTCCCCAACAGCACGCGAGTGTTTTATCCATTCGTCTACAGAAGCATCTCCCGTCTGCTCGGGAAGCTCCAGAACGCCATCTGGAACGGTTAGGTCCAGCGTGCAGTCGTTGAAGATCTGCTCTGCATCTGCCATTCGACGCTATTAGCTTGAGGTCATTGATTATAGCCTACTTGCATAGCGCGGCGCGTTTTGCAATTATTGACACCAGACGCGTCGGCTGTTTGTTCCGAACAAACACTGAAACAGATTTATCCTCGCTCTACTTTCGCTTTCTTCTCAGAATTATATGCGCGTTGCTACTTGTCATGTTTGACCCTTCAACGTTACCACGACGAGCAGGCCAGCTGCTTCTCATCACGGACAGAGTCGAAGCACCAGCCGAGTCCATAATTCTGGTCGTTCTAGCGTCGCATTTGAAGCAGGCACCTCGTCAGAAATGCATATTAGTATCCTTCTCGCAAGTCTTCTCCCACTGGAGCTCCGTTGCCACTAGACTGGTTTGTCTGTTCTCATTCATGCAAATTGCCGTGGTTTCCGGTACTGAGTTGGCTTGCTTCGTTACTACGTTAGAGCCCACCACTGAATCTGTCGACCCACACCTCTAAAGGTTCCTTTGTATTCGTGGATGCTCTCTCAGAAGAATTGGATTCATCCGCTGCTTCGCTACGACCTCTATATGATAGGCTATCTGAACTCTTAAGGGGAAATAAATCCCAAGAAGGAGTTGATGACCATCCAAATATGATCGTTCTTGATGGCATTTCAATGCTTGAATGGTCTGGAACACCAATATTAGAGGTCAAACGCTTCATCCGAGCTCTTCGTACGCTCTGCAGAAAAGTCAGTACCGTCAACAGTTGTATGATGCTTTGTACCGTTCTGATTATGTTCTCAGAATAATACTGCACTAGTTATTCGACATCACCGTGTCTCGTCGAGTCATCTAGACGATCTCCAGCGTTCACTCCTCTCGCAGTGCGCGCTGCATCTGGAAGTGCTGCCACTTGCGAGCGGTAGGAGTAGCGTGATTAGTGGAGAAGTACGTTAACTATATATCATCAAGATTTGTCTAACGCTGTTCATAGATCGCACTTCATTCTGGTCCGCTTCTCGATGACCCAAATAGCTTCACTCCAATCCACAGGAACGCAGCAATACAGTATCGACTGAGAGACGCTGGAGCAACATATTTCGGAAGAGGTACAAGTGCAGTTGTATTATGATATGTACAAATGTTGCAGTAAAATACAAATTCTTTGTAACTGTTCTATGGACATGATCATTACAGTAAATGACTGAAAATTCATCCAGAAAGTCCAAAGATACAAGATAGTCAAACAGTTAAGTTTCGTCTGATGGGAGCACTTCAGGTTCTGGACGTGAAGCTGGCAGCTTTGTCGAAGGCTGGTCCAACACTCTCCTCAAAAGCACATTCCTAGGCGACCGCACTGTTTCAAACTTGGTGGTACCACATGCACGAGAAGTAGAACATACCGTTCCCGGAATTGCGAAAGGATGAGCTGCGGGTTGTCAAGGTCGTATAATGATTCACTGACACTGCTACAAGAGATGGAAATTAGTTAAAATCACGCAACGTCTAGAAATACCGCCAGAGCTCACCTCTCTGCTGCAATGCTACCAAGCGTTTCTATGATATACATTTGATCGTTTCGCTTTAGGTCACCTTCACGCGTTGACGGGGCGGCTGAGGCACCAGGCGCAGGTGACACTTTGACGCCAGCAACAGCCAAGTTTTGATTGAGACTCTGAGCGACCGGAGGTGAGTTGAGATCATCATAGTCAATTATGATAACGCTTTGAGTTTCTGATGATGGAAGGAGGAGCGAAGGCGGGTCATCTGCGAAGTGATACTCGATGACTGGGTGGGCGAAGTTGGCGGGCGCCTGTGAGGATGCGTTTGGAAGTGGCCGAGTTAGGACATAATATGGCGGTTCCTGGACAGCAGAATCAGAGGACATTATTGCGAGCCTTTTCGCTGGCTGACAAATGACAGTGGACGTTGCAGCAAAGTGAGCATGCCAGGAATAAATAGCAAGGATTTCCCTAATTTGATCTGAGCAAATGTGCCTTATTTAGTCACGTCATCACACCATCCTCCGACGCGCTTCTGTCGATCACTTTGGCACCACTAACTACCCGCTGCTCCGAACATCTCCAGGTCCAGGCTGTCGCGCATCTTGTCGCTCGGCGACAATCATCTCGAAGGCCTGTCAACTCGGCGATTTCAATTCACCAGCCATCCCCAATATACTCACATGGCGCTCCTCGCCGACCGTTGCTACCGCCAACCTTTTCGCATGATTGCACGGTTACGGCCCACAGGCCCAATAAAGCGGCCGTACAACATCCATGCTCCCCGTCCCAGCTCATCTTCTCTCATTCCGTCGTTCGTTCCATAATCGCCTTCTTTACTAGATCTTGCCTCTCTTTGCTGGCTTACCTAGGCCCTTCGACTGGCCGGTCCTGTCCTTTCTCTGTACAAACGAGTCTCCGCAAAGTCCGTCCATTTCCCATTTCTTAAGCATCATATTCCTTCAGCCCCGCCGCCCTTCACAATCGTTATGTTGTCCAAGGCAAGCACCATCGCGCTCGTCTTCAGCGTAGCGCCAATTCTTTCCGCCTTCGCTGCACCACCTCCGTGCAGCGGAGGCTCCTGGGGTTGGCCAGGCTTCCAGAAGGGCAACAATAAGTGGGGTGCTGTCTTATATCCCTCCCAGTCATCCAGTTTCGGGAATGGGAAGGAGGAAGACTGCGTTCCGTCGGGCTTGTAAGTGGTTCATCAAGAATTTCGACTTTCCGTGCTTCTGACCGAGGAAACTTCGATTCTCTTAGCTCGGCTGTTGCTCATAGTTCGGTAGCGACATCAACATCGTTCAGCACGACGTACAAGACATTCTACACGACTACCACGACATTCGGTGGAGGGTCGTCAACGACGTTCAAGACCACTTCTACTCAGACGACTAAGCCTGCGTCGTCATCGACCTTCAGCCAACCGTCTTCATCCAGCGGTGGTGGTGGATCATCGTCTCAACAGCCCACCAGCCAGCCTTCCAGCTCAAACTCGGTGCCATCAAGCAGCTCTTCGAAGCCGCCAGTAACGACATCTCAGCCTACATCGTCGAGTTCTTCCTCGGCTCCGACCCCTACATCCTCCGGGGGTGGTTCTGGCAGTGGCACTTCAAACCAAGACATTCAAGCATACCTCAATGCTCACAACAACATTCGTTCTCAGCACGGCGCTTCCCCTCTCTCCTGGAACGATACTCTCGCCGTAGCAGCTCAGAAATGGGCTAACGGTTGCGTGTTCCAACACTCTGGAGGTAAAGTCGGGCCTTTCGGCGGTAATATTTGAATTTCATATTTTGCAAGTGAAATATCTGATTCCAGTTTTATCACAGAGAATCTTGCGGCCGGAAGTGGAGACTACGGCATCACGAGTGCAATAACCTCATGGACCAACGAAGCTTGTAAGTTCTATCCAGTCCTTTAACTGCGCGTGCAATCCTCACATGACCTCTTTGTGTCCTTCTCAGCACAATACAATCCCAGCAACCCCACTGCGTCTCATTTCACGCAAGTCGTCTGGAAAGGGTCTTCTCAGCTAGGCTGTGCCGTGAAGACATGCGCGGCTGGTGCATTATTCGGTGCCAACTTTGGTGTATGTACCCTCTTTCCTATCTCCGAAATCTGAATTGTTCTGAACTCTTGAGCAGAACTCGAACATGTATGTATGCGAATACTTCCCAGAAGGCAATATGCTAGGCGATTTTGCGTGAGTATCTCCGTTTGAGGCAGTGATGAACTCTGGGCTAACGAACATGTTTAATCTAGACAAAACGTCCAGGTTTGACGGGCAACGGAATTCTTGTTAAACGTTTAAATTGTTTTGTTCAATAATACCCTTCCATCGTCTAGCACGAGTATAACCTTCGTCCTTCGCTACTGTAGTTTGAGTTGAGTGTGTACGAGACAGACAGACTAGCATTATTTGAGTGTATTGAATACACATACATGCATGATTTGTGATTTGCTTTAAGGCACTGCTGGACGCCTCAAATTTATATCGGTTTCCGTTACATTGATCCTTGTCAGCGTGGCGTCTCCGAAGTCGGCCCTGTGGCATTTCGGTCCATGGAACAGTTGTTCCGCGCCAGGGCATGGACTTGTCCTCTTGAGCGAGGGTCGGCATCAAGGGTTGCTCAGAGTTTCCTTATTGCGGTTGCCCGGCTACAATAAGCGATGATGCCAATACGAATTCACCGCTATTTCTGATCGGCTGTTTAATTTGTCAAGCGCACAAGGCTCACAAGGTCCACCACGGCTCAGCGCTTCTACTTAATAATGTTCAATTCTCGTCTTCGCCTGATTGCCAGCGCATAGTCGTCACCATGCGCCCGAGGTGATCATATGTTGCTCCGCGCAAAGTAGTCAAGGCGGCAAAACCGGCAAACATTCAGAAGAACAGACGCTCCCCTCAGACATTTAAAAGGATCGGATATCCATAGCTTTGCGTACGTTTTGCGTTCCCACCATATTCAAACTGGATTTCCTGTGAGACAACTCTGGATAATCTTTGCCGGAGATGCTCGGAAAACTCTCAGGCATGGTTATATGCTTGAATGTCTTGCTCGCGCTGCTCTATGCACATGTCGCGCGTGCTGCTGTGAACTGGACGGTTACGCCTTTCAACCCGCCTGCTATTCCTCTGGCGGTCCGGACGCCTTATCTCTCTGCATGGCTTTTCCAAGGCGATGGCGCCGCTCTCAATGACGCGTGGCCCTCATTTTGGACTGGTGGTGTACGTTGACTGCTTGACATGTTGTTCGTAGCTGTGTCTGACGACTGAATATCGAAACATTTATTTGCGTAGGTCCTCGGGTGGGCGGGTTATGCACGCGTCGATAACACGCCTTACATTTTCATGGGGACGCCGAGTGTTCCAGGCAAGTCTCCTCAGAAGGCCGTTCAGCAGAGTTTCAAGGTCTATAAATGACTTTTTCTGTCTTTTTTTAAATTTGCGATTGACTCTTTGGAATTTGACTAGTTCACGTCCACGCAAAGCACTTTCGTTATGAGATGTGGAGCGGTTGACTTGACTGTCAACTTCCTTAGCCCTGTCGAGGTGCGTAGAACCCAAAAATGGTGCAAGCTGAAGAAAATTGACGAATTATTCTCATAGCCAAGCGACTTCGCCAGACAATCCTTACCTTTCGCTTACTTTACCGTTTCGGCTGCATCGAACGATGGAGGTTCTCACTCAGTGCAAGTCTATTCCGACATCTCCGGCGAATGGATCACAGGCGATAACTCCCTTACTGCCAATTGGTCCACTACTGTCGGCGACATAATCACTCACCAAGTCCAGCTTGTGGACCAGGAACCGTTTACTGAAATTTCAGATCGCATTCAGCGTGAGTCTACTTTGTGTACACTACATATTCGTACATATTAATTGTGATTGATTGATTTCAGAGGGTTCTGCATTCTACTCCGTAGTAAAGGTGAGTGTACTGTAGATTATACTGAATGACGATACTGAAACATGTCTTCCAGAATTCCGATACCACATACCAGACAGGTCAAGATACGGTCGTCCGAGGACAGTTCATCGACAATGGTGTCTTGGCCAACACGCAAGACACGAATTTCCGTGCCGTTCAAGACAACTGGCCGATTTTCGCTCTCGCCCAGGACCTTGGAAACGTACAGGGTCCTTCATCGCCTATCGTACTCTCTATCGGACACGTTCGCGACCCTGTCGTTGAATACATCGTTGCAAACAACCAGCTTCAGAACAGAAGTCCGTATTTCTTGAGTCAGCATGTATCACCTGCAGACGCTGTACGTATTCCTGCCTTGCGTTAGCTAGAGTGGGACTGACGGGATAAAATGATCTGGTAGATTTCATTCTTCCATGGTGACTACTCGAATGCAGTCCAGTCAGCCAACTCGTTCGATTCGAAAGTGAACACTGACGCTTCGGCGATCTCGTCGAATTACGCTGGGATTGTCGAGCTGTCGATTCGTCAGGCCTTTGCTGCGACCGAGCTTACAATTGGCAGAAATGCGGACAGTTCACTCAACGCCTCTGATGTTTTAATTTTCATGAAAGAAATTTCCAGTAATGGAGTAAGTCAAATGTTTGGTTATCTCGTAACCATCGATTTAATACTTTGTACAACCTAGAACATGAATACCGTCGATGTCATCTTCCCTGCCTGGCCCGTTTTCCTCTATACGAACCCCGAGTATGGTCGTCTACTTCTCGAACCGTTATTCAGGTATCAGGAGACTGGTCAATACCCCAATAAATACGCGTTGCATGATCTCGGTACGCTAATCAAGTAGCTTATCAACGGTATGATGACTGATTCGACGAACGCAGGCGCTCACTATCCTCAAGCTCTCGGTCACAATGATGGTGAGAGATTTGTCGTTTCATTCTGGGGTGATTAGTGATATGTGATGTTTGTAGGGCAAGATGAAGCAATGCCGGTAGAAGGTACATTGTCAAGCATATCATGTAGGACGTTATATACTTACGCTAGAAATCTTCAGAGAGCGGTAACATGGTGATCATGTCTCTAAGTTACACTCAAGCAACAGGCAACACTGGAATTCTTACGGCCCACGTAAGTCTATCAAACTCTTATCCAATTCTATTCTTGATATTTAGGAATGAATCAACTCAGCACGGTCTGCTCGACCAATGGACTCAATTCCTAATCGAAGATTCTTTGATCCCGGAGAATCAACTCAGTACAGACGACTTCGCAGGCCACCTTGCGAACCAGACGAACCTTGCGATCAAGGGGATTATTGGTATCAAGGCGATGTCTGTCATCGAAGGAATGCTAGGCGATAATGCGACCGAGTCTAACTACAGTGTGAGTCTTCGTCGTGACCGTCACGCTTCCTTTCGGTAGATGAGATTAACGCATTGTTTTTTACTGTGTAGTCGATAGCTACGGATTATGTCAGGCAGTGGGAAGGCTTCGCGATTGCGTCGAGTGGGGACCATTTAACGCTGAACGTGAGTCCCCAGACTATTATTGAGGCCCATCGATGATTCTAATGATTTGTTAGTATGGCAATGACTCTAGGTTCGTAGGATTTATCCTCTGAAAGGAGACTATATTGATTATTGTGATTAGCTGGGGCCTTTCATACAACCTCTACGCCGATAAGCTTCTGCAGACGAATCTCTTCCCCCAAAACATTTACGACATGCGTACGTGAGATGAAGAACGCACTTACTCATATTCTAATTAATATTACTAGAGACGGCATGGTACAAGACAGTCGATGATTCTTTCGGCGTACCCCTGGACACTCGGTGTGTAGAGAGATCTTCATCCCTAGCCATGCTCCGACTGACTTCTGTCCTTTATCGATAGCCACACGTACACCAAGAGTGGTAAGTGCTCTATCAAGTGGTCTTCTAGGTTATTTATCTGACTCTTTGGTGACTTTGCAGACTGGGAGATATGGACGTCAGCTATAGTCTCGGACACGACAGCACGCGACATGTTTATCGATGCTGTGCACAAGTACGCGTCAAGTGGGATAGGAAGTCAGCCCCTCGGTGACTGGTATGAGACGCTTAATGGAGCTCCTGAGGCTTTCAGGGCTCGCCCTGTGGTTGGTGGACACCTCGCTTTGGTAAGTCATTGAGGCCACTATTTCTTCAGTTATTGAACATCAACTGACTCGACTTCTCTCTCACATCTCCTCACAGCTTGTTTTGTGAGTATAAGACATATCCGACCCTTTTCATTCTTTTTTCTTGATCAAGACACGCGACAATCGCTCGTTACCCTTTTCCACTCGTTACCTTCCCTTTTTTTCTCTTCGTTCTTTAATCTTGGATTGGAACGGAGCGGAACAATTTTGAAACAACCAAACAAACTTCAAATATTCGTCGTTTTCCCTTTTTGAACGACGCAACGTACATTGAAACGTGATTTGATTCTCGTCGTTTTTTCTCGAATTTATCTTCTCTGAACGTAACAAATCTAATCCTGTGCTAAACCAAACAATATTATTCAGAGGGAGGCAGCCTGCTAAACTCGATAGTCCAAGCTCATCGACAAGCAAGGCTTCCAGTACCGTACGACTGACTAGTACACCATCCTGGACATGTAAGTCGTATTTATATTGAGAACTTCGCCAGAAATCGGCGAATGCTCATTCAAATCCATGACTCCTATCCAATTGCCGTTTTCGCTCTGCAGGGCTTTTCGCATCATGTCTTCTCGTACTTCGACTTCTGGGGTAATAGTGTCAGCCGCCATGATCTGGATTTAGAAGGGAATCTCGATGTGGATGGAGAAGCGGACGGAGAACAAGCATACACAGGATGAACACGCATCACAAGATATCTTTAGAAGACACATCCCACATCCATATAGACGGTTTACGTTTGCGTTCATGCGTTCTGACCTTTCTGCTTCGAACTTCGCGCTATGCATACACTGGAATTATACCCTGTATTTTATCGGTATTTATGTATTTATCAGGTTTTCCTGATGCATTGTTGTTTAGTAATGATACGAATTTCATGGAAGACGCACTAGTCTGTGCATCCTTGCTTCTCGGGATCGTTGTCTCCGATCCCGACAATGCGTAAGCCTTCTGCCCCTGGGTACTTTGCGGTCCCGCACCAAGAGACAGAAGGTATGGAAAGGAAGATTGCATGAGTCACTGTGCACTTCTATGAGGCTGAAAGACAGAAATTTTTGCATTCATGAATTTGTCCAACCAGTGCAATGTGCATTGAAGTGCACCATCACCTGCTAGTCGTTGCCCGACGCCTTAATCCGCAGCGCCTCCAACGGGAGAAGACTGAGAAGCGGATCCATGTGAATCCGCTCGTTGTAAACGCGTTTATGAGGCTTTTGAAATTACCAATATCGAGGGTACAAAAATTTACGTTGGTCGACTTGTGTTTCCGATTAATAATGACCACATTACAGCATGAGAGCATTGCATCCGGCCGGGGTAAGCGCCTTGTTGCGTTGTTGTAGACTTAAACTTTTCAAATTCAACTTTATTAGCTGGAGAATTGGTCATCGACGTGCGGGAATGAACTTTGCTCGAATCCTTATCCTCCTAGTCCTCCTTCGGCTTAATGTCCAGCGGAACTAGATTATATGACTAAGGAGGAGTATAGCTTCAGATCGGATCGAGTCATTATACAATCAAGGAAGCATTCCAGAGATCGGGGAAAAAAACTAGGAGAGGGTTAAGTTCACATCCTCGTGTTCATTGTGGTTGGACACGGGCTTGTCGCATCAAATGGCGCGCAGGGAAGATGACAAAAATAACAAGAAAATCAGTAAGGCGTCCAATAATGACGACCTTGGTGGCTGAGTGTAGCAGGCACGTGCTCGCTTTGTGGTAACTGTGCTTCTTCTTCTGAGTTAGCAAGTCAATTATTCTTCCTCTTTTTTCCTCCCTGCTGTTGCGTGTGGAGATGAACGGAAGCTGCCCCGCCTTACTATGACTCGTTCCGCTAAAGCATTGCATTGCAAGGTACGTCACTCGACAATGGAATCATTCGGTTAATGAGCTAGATAAGCAATAGACTCGGGTAAGAAAATGAGTCGGCTCGGGCAGATCCATCCGACGCAAGGGACAGCGTTGTCCTGGGCGACGACGGAGAACAACGAGCTCCAAAGGCGCTTGCTGCACCTGCACAGCGGAAAGACGCGAAGCGAGAGAAAAAATGCGGGAGAAGAGTTATATTCGTTTTTAGCTTGCATGAGGGTGAATGGTTTATTCCATGTGGTCCAGAGCACAATGAACAGAGTGGAGGGAGATTGATGGCCTCTGTGAGATTTGCAGAAACGCGGGAGCAGATTTGAGGGACCGCCTGGTTAAGGCAAAGATGGATCCACAAGCATACGCGATCAGAAGCGATCGGGCTTGTAGAAGTATGTGACGTACCCGATATGGAGACTATCGCTGAAACAAACGGAACTGAATACGACGGCGACCTTAGGTACTGGTTCTGTCTTTTCGCTTTCTCGCTGTTCTCTCTCTCGCCAGAAAGAAGCTTCTGTCTCTCCGTCATGTCCTATATATCTCTCCACTACAAGTCCTCTCCGCCCTCTCTTTCGCTTATCCATGCTCCCCCCAACGTACCACTCGTCTTACGCCATGGTCAACATCTACCAGGTGGCCGCTCAGTTTAAGGAGCGGCTAACAATCGCGTTCGAGAGCTCCCCGCTCTATACAAAGCGACAAATATTTTCTCCGCAAGATGCTTGGCTAGTTCGTCAAGCGTATGAACGAGAATTAGCAATTAACACACGTATGTACCATACCTAACAGTCTACCTATCAGCATGACTCATTCTCTGCCTGTCATAGAATCCGATGCTGATCTGGCAGACGACACCCGCCAACTAATAATCGATGAAGATACGGAAGAATTTATTAATCAATATACAACACTTGGTGCCAACCTTTCACCCTCAACTGCATCAATGTTGAGTTGTTCATTAGGCAGTGCGAACCCACTCAAGACACCACCGTTTGATACCACCTGCCTCAGTGAGGCAAGCACTTCGCCCGGACCATCGGAGGCTTTCCCTTGTTTAGATGTGCGGTCGGTCGGAAGCGTGTCCCACGCAAAATTAAATGACCCAGTCTCTGTACCAACGACAAGTCTTGTATCTGGGTCACCACTCTCCGATGATTCCCTGCCCCCAAAACGTACACGTGGACGAAAGGTATACAATTCTTCCATTCTGCAGATGCAAAGGATACTTATATTGTCGGCAATCCTAGAACCGCACGAATGACGGCTTAGATGAGCTTGTCTTAGAGAAACGTGACGAGGACGGGCGATATTTCGAGTGCGTTGTATGTGGGCATACAGCACCTCGACGGTATGACGTCAAACGTAAGTTCCCCCTCTTCTTGTATCTTCCCCTTCCTCATTTCTGTGTTATAATCTAGGACATGTTACATCACATAATGTCGTCGACGACCCCCACGTGTGTCTGGGGTGCGGTGCTCGCTTCAAAAGAACTGACGCTCGGGTACGGCATTGGAGTAAAAATCCGGAATGCGAGCTGCTTGACGATCTTGCCTCACGCAACGACAAAAAATACAAATCAAGACATGGTCGACGAAATCCCAGACTGGTAGCAGAGACCGTTGGGATGCACGTTGTTGCAAACTGACATTTGGATTCTTATGCACAACTCTATATGGAAAAAAGTAATGTTTATTCTGTTAATTTTTGTGCTTTGCAGTTTGCATATTACATCATTACACATGTTTCCAGACTATTCCATCTTACCTTGATTTCCCCTGCTCTGTATTGGCAGTATTTTTTGCAAAATTCTGACATAGAGTAACAAATGGATTGTTTGACACGGCCATTTATTGACACTCGTGGTTGTAAAATGCATTCGTTTCCATAATAGGAAAATAATATAAGGCAGCGTCAAGTCTTCGACGTGTGAAGTATCCGTACTCATGATACATGTCCAACTTTCTCTGCATTCAAATTTCACGTTGCAAACAATCAAGTACAAGAGAGTGTGTCCATTCTACTAACTAAACATGGCGTTGACGTACATCCACAAGCGTAACAAAAAAAGGAAAGAAAAAGACCTAGGAATTAGTTACCCCCGCGTAAGCGCAGCACTGTCAAGAATATTAGCACCGTTGGCAGTGATGTGAGCAAGACCCAACTCACCAAGGTGAAGAGTCGACTCCTTCTGGATGTTGTAATCTGATAGAGTACGACCATCCTCGAGTTGCTTACCAGCGAAGATCAAACGCTGCTGGTCAGGAGGAATACCTTCCTTATCCTGAATCTTATTTTTGACCGTGTCGATGGTGTCGGAAGATTCCACCTCAAGCGTGATCGTCTTCCCAGTCAAAGTCTTCACGAAGATCTGCATACCGCCACGGAGACGAAGAACCAAGTGCAACGTTGACTCCTTCTGAATGTTGTAATCCGACAGGGTTCGTCCATCTTCGAGCTGCTTGCCGGCGAAGATCAATCGTTGCTGATCGGGAGGAATGCCCTCCTTATCCTGAATCTTATTTTTGACCGTGTCGATTGTATCCGAAGATTCGACCTCGAGGGTGATGGTCTTGCCTGTCAACGTCTTGACGAAGATCTGCATACCACCACGAAGACGAAGAACAAGGTGGAGAGTAGATTCCTTCTGAATGTTGTAGTCAGAAAGGGTACGGCCATCCTCAAGCTGCTTCCCGGCGAAGATGAGGCGCTGCTGGTCGGGAGGAATACTGAAAGAGAAATCAACATAAATTGATGCTTGATTACCAATCGCGCAAACTACTTACCCTTCCTTGTCCTGAATCTTATTTTTGACCGTGTCAATGGTGTCGGAAGATTCAACCTCGAGAGTGATGGTCTTTCCAGTCAACGTCTTCACGAAGATCTGCATTCCACCACGGAGACGCAGGACAAGATGGAGCGTCGACTCCTTCTGGATGTTGTAATCGGATAGGGTGCGGCCATCTTCGAGCTGCTTCCCGGCGAAGATCAAGCGTTGTTGGTCAGGAGGAATGCCTTCCTTATCCTGAATTTTGTTCTTAACCGTGTCGATCGTATCGGACGACTCGACCTCGAGGGTGATGGTCTTGCCCGTGAGCGTCTTAACAAAGATCTGCATGATTCTAACAGAATCAGAGGGTAGCTGTGAGTACAGGCATGCGCAAAGTGGATGGGTCAACAGATAATTCTTACATCGATGGAGTATTGCGTGTTCAAAGTGGTGGAAGTGAAAGTGAGAGAGAGAGTCGCCACGCATGACGCGTTTATAAGGCAAAGGCCTAGCGGAGTTTGAATTTCTCGGCACTACGGCTGACTCACAAGCAACACTGGGCTGAGGGTTGGACTGCGCAAGCACCGCATAGATTATTCCAGACAATATTCGTAATCTTTAAAAACAGATCTTTTGTCGGAGCATACACAGCAATAGACCACTGGGGCAATAATAGAGCGCGTTGGCGCTTAACTAGACTGATTATATAATACAATGGCTGCACGAACGTTATCCAATGTACATTAAAATATATCCCTGATTGCGCAGGTAATAGTACGGGGACCACAGCGCCTTACATGGCCCTTGTCAGTATTGAACACGACATCTGTTGAAGGCTGGGTGGACGCGAAATATTGTCAGCCACCATCACAAGCGCTTTCGTCAATCCAAATTCTGATTGTGAGGTCTTTCTCCATCGACGATGACGCGATGATGTTGTACTTTGGATGCGTCTGAGGTCATACATCAGCTCACCGGCATAATAATTTAGTTCACACAATACGTACAGCAATGGCCAAGACAACGTCTGAAAGTATAATAAGCTGCCGGCTTACAATTATAAGGCGTTGGCAAGCGTACCTTTGTGTCCTTCTAGAACTTGAACAACCTTGCGGCTTTGAAGATCCCAAATGTATACTTTACCATCTTCACTCCCACTCACAATATGCAGTCCATTCGCAATGCTGAAGGTAGAAGGGATACAGTAAGTCCGATTAAGGTGTCCAATGTACGTCTTTAAACATCGCGACGTAGTAAAATCCCATAATCGAATTGTCGAATCCTGTGTAGATGCTAGTATGAATTTTGAGTTTGGCGAGAAAGAGACATGGCCACTGTGAAGGTCCTCAATAACTAGACAAAAGTTTCACTATTCACAGGTCCGTACCAAATCGGATTATCGTCGTCCACCAACGTTTTGAGGCATTGGCCGGAATCGGATGCCCACATACGTCTAAGCGCCAAGGCAAGTCAGAACTAATAATGTCTGCGGGTAATTGTCACCCATACATGAGGCCATCCATCGAACATGAGACTATTAGGGTACCATCCCTATTGAAGTTCACCGCGGTAACAGGATCTGAGTGAGCCGGGAGCGTTCTAATGCACTTGGCTATTCAAATCAATTTTCACTCCGGGAGCCAAACGAGGGTACTAGTTATTCGCACCTCTAGCAACATCCCATATACGTACAGTTTCGTCAAAGCCCCCAGATACCAAGAGGTTTGATGTTGGGCTAAAGTTCACGCAAAATACGAAGTTGGTATGGCCTACGAGGACCTTCGAGGTCGAACCCTAGTGAACTGAATCTGTAAGCGCTAGACCTACGACCCTATCATGTTGCACATACAGAATCGACATCCCAGATACGGATTGTTTTATCGTCTGAAGCAGAGGCGAGAAGTTCACTATTGGGAGACCACGCAATGTCCGATACGCCCTCCGTGTGGCCAGACATAGTCAACAGAAATTTCCCAGTGTATGCATCCCATAGCTTTAATAACTTATCAGAGGCTACAACATATTCAAATTAGTCACATGAAGAATGCTCTATAGATGACAATGTACTCACAACCAGAGGCAAGCAGCTTGCCATTGGGGCTAAATTTAATGCAGGAGATAGACAATGTGTGTCCACTAAGAGTGTAGTGTAACTTATAATCTGGTCCCTGTTCCCTGTTCGCTGGTGGAAGTTTCGCGTCCTCCGGTAAAGGCTCTTGCTTCATTACAGGCGCTTCTGCTGGGCCATTTTCATGGGGCTGCTCTGATACCTGAGATTCGTCCATGTAGTTGAGGTTGAGTACAAAATAAGTAGAGCACGACGCGGCGGTCAAAATAAATTTCCTCATTCGATCATCAAACTCCTCCTCCAACAACGAAACAACAACAAAAAATGTCTACAACAGCAGAATGGGTCACTCCCTTAACGAGGCCTGAACTTATCGAAAATCTCGTCTCTGGTGTTGACCGTTACAACCCTTCAAACGTATCCATCCTCGAAGATTACCTGTATCACCAAATCCGGAGTAACGAGTACGATTGTCTAGCAAACCTCGCCATCCTGAAACTGTAGGCATAACTCATCACTCAACTCACACATATATGCATCTTACTGACGACGTCTATAGTTATCAATTCAACCCTGCACTGTACAACCCCGACGTTATCATCAACGTCCTCATAAAGGCGTTAACCGCCGTGCCTTTCCCGGACTTCAACCTCTGCATCGCACTTCTCGGCGAACGTCCCGTCACCTCAAACCTCGACGAGCCAGACCCTCTCCCCGAACTTCTCCCAACTCTCACGATCTTACACGACCTCCTCCTTCAATGCCGATTCCCCGCATTCTGGACGCTATTCAAGTCCGAAGAACTCGCAAGTTTGCGCGAGAACTATACAGTCGAATGTGCTGGGTTTGAGGACAGCATACGGAAAGTGGCGATAAAAGCAGTGAAGGCAGCGTTCAAGAAGATCGGTGTAGACAGGTTGAGCACGTATTTAGACCTCAAAGGTGAGTGTTCGGGCAGCCTCGATGTGTATCACCACTGACTCTGGAAACATACAGGCGAAGACCTAGTAGACTACCTTTCACACTTGGGCTGGGAAATCAACGGTTCAGTCGTCTCTATTCCACCGAATCCTGACAATCAAGTCGAGGCAACTGTAGTACGGGAGAATATACAGCTCTCTCGTGAGTCATCGTCTTTGCTGACTGAAAGAATTTCTGGAGTAACACTTCCTTTTTCCGCAGAACTATCGAAGATCATCGCTCACACTGCGAAATCTACCTGAGACCGCCGGATGTGCTCTATATTTCGTAGACAGCGGACTAAATACAGGATATGTATGCTCGTCTACAATAGATTGCGTTAGATTGTGATATCTAGAATACACAGCGATTGCGTAACGAGCAATCCGTGCAAAGAACATGACAAGACTCGTTCACCAAAAAAAAATTCTATGCAGCAAGTGCAGCAATAGTTCCCCAAGTGGCCATAACAATAGCAATAACCATCAAAGCCCCATCTTTCAAGCCACATCTTCTCTCCAAACAGATTTTCGCCGCCACTGGCCCTATTACACATAGCATAAACGCAGAAAATGACCCGACGAACGCCATCATGGAGCTGAACTCCGGAATGAAAATCGAAACTGCCACGGATAAACAAGTGAAAGCGGAACGCTCTATAAGTATAAGAACATCTTTTGCAAATCCTGCACGTTTTATTTGTGAGGTTGTTGGTCCACCCGGTGTCTCAGGAGTACGCAATTGGGGTGGATCGCTTCCCTCAAGTCCAAGAAAAATCTCCAGTGTTATGATGACCTTTGTGAAATGTTAGCTATATGGTTATATGAAGAATTGCTTGCCACTGACTGGTCGAGTGCTCAAAGCAAACTTTGTCCTGAAAGAAGAAATAACCATTAATAAACATTCTAATTGCACAGTGCTTACTGCAACCTACAAAGGCATTATGACCAGGGACCATATCGCAAGCTTATTCAAGAAGACATTGTAACCGGGAGTAGCCAATAAATCCTTGCTAACCTAACGAACACATTGATACGGAATCATTGAATCGGCAAACTGTGGCTCACCTCGTCGCTAACAGAGTTCCCAAACCTGCAGAAGAATTTAGCGCTAGCGAAGAGCAGACGCATAGTATAAAACCCTTACATCAAGTATCCACCACCTCCAATGCATGTGTATACGACAGTGGCTGCAATCTGGAGAAATCAATAAGAAGTGAGCGCTTATTCCCCTTAGTAAGTGTAGTACGGTCGTACAAATGCGAGATTAATCATCTCATCAAACTCCTTAGGGTTCGCCATATCTTTTGCTAGAGACGGCAGTACAGCATGTCCAGAGAACTGATCACAATAGCATGAGTTCATTTGTCATTCCTGTGAATTAAGATGAATAGTTACCCCAGCCATGAAGAGGCCGAAAGCAACACCCAGTTCACCCCAGCCTGCAATACCCAAATTCGTCGGAGCAGGATCCCAGAGACTCCCAGGGGCTTCCGACTTCGATAGACCGTCGATAAACACAGTACCGATGATGAGTAGAGTCGACAAGATTCCGAGGATGGACGCATAAGATAGGAGCGAGAGAGGGCAAAAGACGGAAGGAATAAGCCTAAAGACGAAATACAGTCAGCAAACGGTTGGTGTGCATATAAGCAGCTCACATACACCGCGAGCCCCATTATCTTGTATGTTCCAGAAGAATAGATTGGCAAGATGGAATGTAGTGAGTCTCCGAACAAGGTGACCAAAACAACACTGGCGAAATCATCAGATGGTATTTAGACACAGGCCATGGATGGCATACCCGACTGTGAACAACTCAAGACAGAATAGAGAAGAGGTAAGAAGACGAGAACGTTGACCGAAGGCTTTGTTCCCAATATCGGCGTAAGTTCTTATTTGCGGATCGTCCGCCATGATTCGTGCAAGTATCTTCGCTCTAAGACCAAACTTTAGTTTCACACTACTTCGTGGGTGAAGCAGGAAGGTCAGCTTACGTGTAACAAGTTATCGTCCCATAGAAAATGATTAAAATCGTGCCCCCAATCCAGCCAGCATACGCAAAAGCCAGTGGCTCTGCAAGCATGCCGAATCCAAGCAAAATAGCTATGGAATTGAACAGCTGTAAAACTGTCAGACTTTATTCCCAAAAGAAATTTAAGCCTTCGTACCGTCTGACCAAACGTACTCTTCCCTGATACAATAGCTTTCTCGCTACGTGAAGAAGTAGACGACTTCTTCCTTGTGAGTCGCACTTTTTGTGACGGTGAACCATCCAGACCTTCTATTTCAGAACCTAAAGCTTTCTGCGACGCGTCAAGTTCCAGCTCATCGTGAAGAGCCTGACGACGACTAACACGAGAAGAAGACAAAGACGAGATTTTGCGCAGAAGAGGTGTCCGCTCTGAAGTTGGTGCAGGACGAGCGTGTTCCACACGAATCTGACTTGGTAATCTTCCTACGCTTGAAGGTAGGGATAAGCCACTCGTTCTCGGGCCGATAGGGACAATAGGTTGAACGGGCGTAGGCGCTTCCGAGCCCTCCAAGTCGTGATCCCATTCAAACTCGTCGAGTACAGGTTCCTCATTCCGAGGCATAGGTGTCGGGACGTCTTCTTCCTCATCCGCTACCTGTCGCCCGTCTTCGTCCGTGAGCTGCGCTTCCTCATCCAAAATTCCCGGTCTTTCATCTGTGCTGACAGACGAAGCTACATTTTGACCAGTTATGATATACTGTGAACGCCTGTAGGATGCAAGTGCATCCGAGACACCAAGAGTGCTTGACCATGATGAAGGAGCGAAGCTCGAACTGAGTGTAGCACCATGGTCAGACTGGTCGCGGTCGTATGAGCTCATCAACGGTGCACCAGAAGGAGGGGGACGCCTAGCTGCTCGAGTAGAGGAGGGAGCTTCAGCCCAGACGGAAGACTATTTAAGTTTTAAGATAACCGACCGAGATCTTCGGTCCGGAGCTCAGTCTTTGAACATCGGTAACATGGGTAGATACTCCGGCCCTTGGTATTGTGAATTCCAGTATCAGTCAGTAGCTTTGCTTGCTCTTTCTTTCATCTTCTAGTCATTTCCTTGCGAGAAGAGCCATCGGAGCATCGCGAGCGGAGAGAAGATCATGCGAGATCAGCTTCTTGGGCAGTTCCCAGAGGTCACAAGATGCCAAAGTGCTCAAAATAACCACTCATCGATATTCTACATCCGCTACAAACCAACAAACTTGCAACAAAACACGCTAAAACTACTGGAAATAAACAACAATATTAATCTATCATACTAATTAACAGCTTTACGATTCGTCCATAACATGTAGGACTCGCGGGCGATCTCAGAGTTCGCATTTTTGCCTCTCTGGCTCCGTCTAGCTTCAGGAATTTTTGCATTCATTCCCAAATCCTAGCGGAGTTGTCAAACATCAAGAATACTTGTCAATCCGGCACAATCGACTTACTGTTTGACGTTTTCGAATGCTCGTACTTAGAAGATCATACCACTTCGATAGGGCGTTCTTCAAGGCGAGCTCCCTGACCCCTTTCGAATTCAGCCAGGCCATGAACTGATCCAGCTGTAATTACACATTAGTAACTGAAACAGGGAAGCAAATGACGTAGGATGTACCTCTTCAAGGTCGGTGTAACAGGCCCAATCGCCTGAGCCAAATATGCTGTCCTCCCCTTCCTCTTCTAGCCGCCTCCCAGCGATGTCATCCTCTTTTCTCCTGTTCAGAATTTCCTGGTCGAATTCACTCGGTCCTTGGATGAACAAGCGACCTGTTGCATACTGTACAGCACCGCCGCTGCCAACAAGTGACGACGTTCCGCACCCATCGAACCACCAGATGCGGTTATAGAATCGATCTTTGCCTAGGGGTTTTAATCTGACCATTCCAAGAGTCTTCCTGAAGTCCCTCTCGATGCCCTCTAGACGGCGTTCTAGCTTGCCGACTTCCTCATCCAGCCGACGATGCTCCGCTAGAGCTTGTTTCTGGTGTGCCAACTTCTGCCGCGCAAGTTCACGTTGCTTCGCAAGAAGTTGTCCCTGCTGTGCCTTCAAGCGCAGAGTCAGTTGGCGTTGCGTCGAGTTACTCCGTCGACCGGCCGTTGAACCAGCCTCTGAAGCATCTTCTGAGGCAGCTACACCATCGGAATCGATGTCGCTAGCCTCGTTATTGAGAACAAGTTCCTCCGCTTCCTCCTCTTTCTTGCTATCCGCTACAAGCGCATTCATCTCTTCTAACCTGTGCTTCGAATCAGTACTTTGTGGTATTTAAATACTTACATTAGACGTACAGTTGTTTCTTTTGTCTATTCAGCTCTATCTTTTCTTTGCGATACGCAGTCAGTTGCTCCTCACAAGACTCGAGATGAGAGTGAATCTGTTTGCTCGAGACTGCTAGATCGCACATAAACTGCAATATGCTTATTCTATCTTCTGGTGGTAAAGAGAAATAGCGTTCAGCAGGGGACGCTACCGTTGGACCAGATCGCGGAGTTGGTGATGATAGAGGCGATGATCCCGGTGATAAAGGATCGATTGAAGAACTTGAAGATTCCGGCCAGTCGAACAGAAGCTTGTTGAGAATAGATCGCAATTTCGGGAAAGAAGAAAGCGTCGCATGCTACATGAAGGACTGATATTAGACAACCTGTAAGAAATCCAATGAAATAGTGAAGAACACACATCTTTAAGGCATCCGATTAGCGCATCTTGCCAACCAGCTCGGCCGTCATTGTGCTTGAGGGGCACTCGCTCCCAGGTGTTTCCAACATCAGCCAGTGCTTCCATAAGTACGTCGACAGAAGGCTGGTCACTCGTATCTAACTCGTTTTTCTTCAACTCATGCAGCGAAAGAACGAATGCATGACGCGTGAAAGGAACCGTCCGCAGATTATATATTAGTACGCTATGCACTTCGGCGAGAAGATTGCAATGCAAGTCGGGGATGCAATGCCGCAGAGCATGCTCAAAATCGTCAAAAGAGAAAAATGAAAGGTGCAGAGGTTGGCTACAAAGCACGAATAAATAACTACGAGTGCGTTAAAGTTGAACGGCGACACGTACCCAAAACAAATCAAGAAGTTCCAAACGGCGAGGAAGCCCTCGAAGGCACCCTTGGTTTCACCGAAGGGTATTTTATCAGGGCTCCTGCTTGGCTTTGGTCTCCTCACTTGCATACCGGCTTTCTTATCCCGGTCGTTTATTCGAACGTCAAGATCTTCTGTAGGGTAACGAACCGCTTTCTTCTTCAGCTTTGCTTTCTCCGCTGCGGCTCGTTCTGCTTCTTCTTTAGCAGCTTGATCAGCAGCGCGCTTTTCTGCCTTGATCCTCGCAGTTTCGGCTGCTTTCTCCTCTTGCTCGCGCTGACGATGAGCAGTCTCCTCAGCCTTTGCGAGAGCTACAAATCATTTAGTTGTTGACCTGCACATACTTACATGAATTTCGCTTCACCTTTGGCCTCCCTTTCTCTCTCTCTGATCATCTTCTTGGTCAGCCGACCCTCTCTTTCCGCTTGAGCTTCCTTCTCTTCCCAAACTTTCTTTCGTTTATCGATCTCGTCTTTTCGAACCTTTTCTACACCCGCCCTAATGTGGTCGGGCATTTCTGTTGGTATACCAAGCCTTTGAGCCACAACTGGCTTGACGGTCCAAGGGGAGGCGAGAGATGAATCTCTATCCAGACATTCTCGGAGGAAACGGCGCAAGAGCGACTTCGAAAACACAAGTCTATCACGTCTGTAGTGACTAAACAGTGAGATAGTTAATTTAAACATGTGCAAAGACACGTACGACATAACATCGCAATGGACATCCATCAGGCTACCAGCGAATTTTGCATTTGATTCATCAGTATGTCCATTCAAGGCGAGTCTTCCTTTTTCTTTCACCCTACCACTTTCCCTCCTGGCTACAACAGGAGCAGAAGCCGGCTGGTCATTTTCCGGAGGTGCTTCTTCCTCCAAAAGTCGGACTCTGTAAGTATAGCTAGCAGGATCATCTCGAGTAACGCTTTCTTCAAGTGTGATGCTCAGGTCACCACCAATGGAATGGATCGGTCGAGGCTCGGGTGTGGATTCGGTGCCAGACGAGCCAGACGAGGAAGATGCCACGTCCGAATCGTCCGCATCCGAGGCGGATCGTTTACGCTTCAATGTAGACATAGATCTCGGAGGGAAGACCTCTACCAGACGCGCGGCATACCTATTACCCTCTACATCGACGAATATTTCTGCGATTCATCGTTAGGTATTCAGTTCCGCTTGAATGAAACGGGTTAGGAACGGACTTTCGTCAGGGAAATATCTATCTTTATAGCGATCATGTACCGCTTCAACGAGGTGATCCAACCTGCCCATGACCTCTGAAGAAAGCGCTGTGTCAGAGTGGCGAGGATACAGAATTTTAAATAAGCTCACGCCATTGGACAGAGCTGAGGACGGCGGCTTTGAGCGGTTCGGGGAAACGGGAGTGCAGGGTTCGGGCCTCCTGTTGCTCGCTCTCAAGGGCCTGGAAATAATCGAGACCACTCTTGCCAGTAACGTCGCATTGGAACTGCTTGAGTTTATAGAAGCTCATACGCGCAGCATATGCTCTGGGGGAGGAAAGACGCGTCAGACACGCGAGGATTGGGGTGAGAAGAAGCGAGAAGGACGGACTCGTATGTGTCGAAAACCTCGCCTGTTTGCGCGAGAAGATAGACCTCTTTATTCGTGTCATGTTTGGCGGCTTCGAGGAGCTCTGAAGAGGGCTCGGTGAGAAGGACGTGTTTTCTTCTACAGCTGGGCATTGGGGAGTAGAGGAAGGCGGGAGGAGAGATGGATGATGGTGGCGAAAGAGAAAGCCAGGTATGTGGCAGAGGGAATGGGAGACTTGCGGCTGAGGAGCCGGGCAGGTGCCATTTGGACTTCACCTTCGGCGGAGAGGCCATGTTGCTGCTGAGGTAACAAATAATTATGTCAGAATATGTTATGTCATACAGCGTACCTGAGTGACTGCCGCATTTGGATATTCACGCGTTTGCTACGTAATAGAGTAGGGATTAAGCACCAGATCCTCGCGTCTGGTCTAGTTGGAGCCGAGCACCACAACTCATCTTTCCTCTCTTCCACCGTCTCCCACTCGCCGTCTCTTTCGCTGTTCGCCTATGCTCCAGGCAAACCCAAACTCCTCCGTGCTGACAGTCTCGCCCCCAGACTCTGGCTTCAGCCCCAGGCGCGAGTTCGTTCGCGACAGCCATGTCCCCTCAACCTTTGCCCTTCTCGCAATAGCCGGCTCGGGTTTCGTTCGTCTCTCCTCATTTTCTGATCAGGTCGTCTCTGCTCTCCGTGATGCATTCGACCTCAGCGGCCTCCTTCGCGCTGCTCGTCGCGACGACGACCTCAAGCTCATCGAGTTCAACCTCGAGGGCAAACCTTGGACTCAGACCAAAAATGCAGACTCTGAGAAGCTCTTCATCCAAATCCTCGCAATCATATTCCATCACGGATACAGGTTCTTGTCCACTATAGACTATGGCAGAGAGTCTTCCGGTCCGTCATGTATTTTTCCTTTCTAGTCATGTCCTGCTTACTTTGGTATACAATAAAATAGAACGCGTTTCGATCGCGTTTTCTAGGCCAACTGTCTTATCGGCTTACGAGGCAACTCGTGTTCCGTTTGCTCTGTCTTTCCCGTCGTCAACAGTCCTGCGAGTTATAAACCCGCCTCTGAATTCAAGCCCTGCTATTTTGCAGGCTGCACGTTCTGCTTGGCCACGCGGTGTCGAGTCCGAGAAAACGGTCTCGGATAAGATCTTCGAGTTCCGTCTGAAGGGGTATGGATGTACGTAGTTATCTTTTAAATGTTTCAAAGATAACACTCAATGTCTTCGTATATTTTAGTGTTTCAAGAAGACACTTTTTCGACTGATTCAATGAAACATGTACTTGCGTTGCTCAACGCACTAGACCAGCACGGGTTCACGCTGCTTACCTCGTTATCGTTAAGCGGCAGTCACTCGCGAGTGAAGGACTTGTGGATATTCTCGGGCTCTCCTCTTGAGCCATCCTCCGAACTTGGTGCATCAGGCTCGAGTCCTGAACTTTCGCGTGGTTTCACGCCGACAGGCTCAAAGAGCGCGCTTTCTCCGGTCTGGACGTCGTCTTCTTCTCAGGGCAACAACCACTCAGCGGATACGCTACATGGCAAAGGTGGCTCTTTACCTGGTTCTACCCACGGATCATCGCATACTCTAGGACATGCTCGTTCAGCCACAGAGCCAGCTGCTTCTCCGCTGGGGCGAACACCCTCCGTTTTGCACAAGAAGAACTCTCCAAAACCCTTACGGACACTGCCGTATCCTAACTCGCGGTTTAGTCGCTCCTCTGAGGAGTTCCCGATTCGAAGGTACAACTTGAGCAAGATCGGAAGTATTGACATGACGGGTATCGGTAGTGCAAACCAGCGTAGTTTTGTCGCTGGTAATGCGAACGGTGCTGCTCGATCGTTGTCACCACAGGACTTTCCCAGGTCTTCGATAGAAAGTGATCCTTCACAAGGCTATCGCGACCCGCACCAAGCGGAACGCGGGCGGGTGAAGACTGGGGATTTATTCTACGAAACGGGCCCTAACTCCACAACTCAGCAACCCCAAATGACGTTTTCGGAAGCCATAGGCAAAGACGTGCAGGCAATTGGTCATTCTTCTCCCGGTGGTTCCAGCTCAGAGTCCCGGCACTCTTCGAACCATCTGAGCCCACGCGACTTAACCGAGCCTCCAGAGGATGTACCTCAAAGCGTCTCGCAGCGCGTCGTATCAGATGCAAGTTCAGTGACACCTCCCATCCTCAATTCTGGAGTATTTCGAGACTCCGCGTTCTCCAGTTCGACGAACCGGTCTTACGAGATACCGATAAAATGGACTGGAGCTCCAGATGGTGAGAAAGATAAGGATTCACGTCCGTTCTCTTACAGTCGTTTGCCTATCGAACGCAACTCTTCCTCGCCTGAGACAGATGAAGGTTATGGAGGTAGTGTGGAGAACGGTGCGCCACCAACTCAGCGGCCGTCCTCAACGCCAACCTTCCCTGGAGCGTGGCAGCCAACTCCAATTGTTGAAATTCCAGAGGATCAAGGAGGGCTTGCGTCATCCGACGCTGCCGAGAATGAGCGCTCCCCAGAGAGAAAGGAAGTTGACGCTGAACGTGTTGCGTCTCCCATAGCATCTGACTTCCCTGAAGCAAACCGAAAGAGTGAAGCAGGGCTCATCAGCGAGATGCCTCAGCCGACGCACCCTACAACAGAGGAGAAGCGGCGATCCTCAAACATTCCTTCTTCGCCGACGAAATCAGATGGATGGGTGTTGGTTAGTGTCGCGGACGGTGTTACGGATAAACGGACATCTGGTTTATCCGGCGAACGGCCCACATCACCCAGTTCGAGCTCGGATAATAGTCGTTCCAAGTCGCCTAAGCCAGTGGCGTCCTCCTTATCGCCAATAGCAAAAGCAATCGTTTTGGAAGACGCGAAACACCCCGCGAATAAGGATAACGACACCCGGTCCACGTCAACGCTGAAGCGGATATTTTCTGTAACGAAGTCCAAGACGCGTCAACCTCCAGTTGCTCAAGCCGCTGTACACGATAAAGACGGAAGAGCGCGTAAGATGAGCATCAGGGAGAGGTGGCTGAAGAAGACTTCAACATCTACTTAACTGTGCCGTATTGACTCTCATTTATCTCAACATCCTGACTTTTCGCTATTGTTGTACTGAAGAATCCTTTCGTGTTTCACTAACAGACGCTTTGCTCGTTGTATTCCCAACAACCGTACACCACTTCGCTACTGTCTGATTAATGATTCGTTCCTTGATTGAAGGACTTTTTTCTAGGTTAGCTTTTATGTTTGCATATTCTATAGTGTTATAGTGTACAGATTCCACCCACGAGCTATACAACTAGATCCAGGAGTGTATTCGTTTCTTATGTGACTCTATTTCTTTGGAAGTTAATCAATTTATATATCCTCGTTACCCTGTGCCATACCGTTGGTAACATCAAAATTAGACTAAATGCCACCCAAATGAAGACTGGGCTCCAAATACCGTGCCGTCTGTACAATAACCGCGTACACATGAAGATGCCCACCATTTATAAGCTACTGAGTTTGTGAGTTCAGGTTTGAAATCAGTCACTGCCCGTGCTGTTTGTTCCCTGTGCTTCAATATGAGCTGATTCCACTTGAGGAAGTACAACCTCCTCTTATACTGAAAAGCCTTGAAACCTTCAGGGCCTTAACAGCTTGCTTGTCTTAGAGTATATTAACCATGTCTGGTAAAGTATGACATGCCTCTGTAAACAGTGAGTGACCTTGGGATGGAGCAATAAAATGATCCATGAGGTGTGCCTTTCATGCAGTCGCAAAATGGGTCAAGTCAATATCACAACAGTAGTCTGTTTGCTGTAATAATATCGACCTCCGCTAGTTATCTCTGGCTCGATCCAATCCTGTTTTCCCAGGGGAAATGTATACACAGCTCCATAAACCTCGTATAATACAGTACGATATCTAAATACGTCGCTAATGATCCATCTAAACTAAATAATAGACAAATAAGTAACTAGAATAATATATTGTCACAATAATTAATAAAAGAAACGAAAATGAAAATAATCATGTATTTTGCTTCGGCTGAAGTCCATTTGACCTAGTAGATTCATCGGAACGTCTCCTTTCATCTTCGGATATTCTCGAACCATCGTTATTCTCCGTGACCCAGGAAGCCTCCCGCCGGCCATCTCTATTTGAAGCTTTCAATGTCGCAGGGACCTTGACTAGAGACACTCGACGTGCCGCGCGTGTCTTGTCCCATTCCTCTGCCTGTTCCTCAGAGATTTGTGACGCTATAACAGGGCTTTTGTCTGTTCCAATGGACGGCGATGAGAATGATGCGCGCCCAGAAGAAGGCTCAAGAGGAGACGAGGAAGAGAAGAAGCTCGATCCATTAAAGCCACCCGGAGGAACTTCGTGAGAAGGAGTGGTAAGAGGCGAATTGGGATCCAGAGTCCGACTCGAAGCCATATTCCGCTGGTTACCAACAGTAATGCGAATACTTCGCGGCCAATCTGAACCGAAGTCAAGTGCGGAGTGGAACGACTCGCAGATGGAAGAATCGTTCTGTCCATGCGACAAGTCCGAGAGATCACTGCGGGAAGAAGTCCGGCCACACGCATCAGGTGTTGCATCATTTTCATGAACGGACAGTACCATCGTAGGGACAGAATTATTCCTCCCATGGTCCCGATTAGCTGCCAAAGCCATGTCCTCACTTTTCCGAATTTTATGCTCACGCTCCTCTGAAGCCAAATCTGCGGCAAGGACATCGCGAAAGCAAGTTGCTTTCACTATCTCAAGCCGAAGCTGTTTGATGTGTCTGCCTAGGTTGATAACTGACGCCTGCAATCGATCACGGGTAGAACGCTGGAACGATGTAAGAATAGCCAAGTTATGGACAAGTCTGATGTCCGAATCGAGCTGAGTCCGTGCTGCTTCAATCCTTGACTCAAAATCTCGAATCTTAGACAAGACAATCCTCAGTCGGGATTGGCCGCTTGAAGGGCCCTCGATGGACGAAGATCGCACTCGCGAAAAGGACACGTAATTATCCTGAGCCACATCGGAAGAGATACGGAGCCTGTTGTTACGAGTGTCCTCGACAGGGCTATCTAGTTTGCTCGAGTCATTTCCCCCTGGAATTTGCGGCGCATCGCTCGTGTAAGAACTCCTGTCCATCCTTGCATCTTCCTTCGCGCTAACCGAGCGCATCCTGATCCCTGCGGTTTTAAATGCACTTGCGTAATTTATATGAGCGATCCATTCGTTCCGCTGTATTTCGTTTTCTGTCTGTAACAGTATGTGTCGACCGGAAGGCATGACAAGTCGGACAACATAATCACGCTTCGCCCGACGAGAGCATTATCAGTAGGAGAGCTAACAAATATAAGATCGGAGTAATCATACCTTGACGTAAGATGCATCGTATACCGCAATCGCATCTTTCACGGACAACAGTTCGTCAGGTCGTAGATACGAAGGCTGGGTAGGGAATATTTCGCTCTCCGGGGATTGCGACTGGATGACTAGATTTAACGCAACCGCGGAGTCGCGGTAGAAGAGAAGTTGAGAACCAGTCAGGATTATGCTCCACTCCCTCCACTTCCTGCTCGATGCTCGTTTTCCACCATCCAACAAATCATCTGAAGCGTATTTGTGGTTAGATAAATCGTGCGACTGAAAATAAACCGCTAACCTTTCCGATTCAAAAGTCCCACCTTTGTTACTCTCAACGCTGAGATATGGGATGTGACACTATCTTCGTCGGAAGAAGTTGGAGGCGCGAAGTTATTGAGCATGGGTCCAGGAGCACCCGTGGCATTTAATGAGAAGAACGGTAAAGTGGACATTCTCCTCGTATCTGCTGCATCAATCTCGATGATATCTGCTCGGGCAAACGACCGACGAAGTTCTGCCTCATTCCACGAACCAGCAGTACCCTGATAAGAATAGGGATTACGCAACGGGATGTGGCTCTCAACGTCGACACGAAGCGAACCAAGAAGATTCTGAGTAGAGAATAAACCAAGCCGTCAACCCGGTAATTGTAAAACATCACATACCCGAGTAATGAGATAATACGCGTCCACTTTATTTGACTTGCCCAGAATGGACAGTCCAGAGCCAGACGGATTAGGTGTCATTTGGCCGCTTGCTAGAGATTGCATCCTCCCATCTTGCGTGAAGCCGCGTTGCCCATTCACATCCAGCGGATCTTCTATGAAGATGAAAGGGGCAAATACGATATTATCAAAAAAGTACTAACGTATTCAGAAAAAGTCAGCATTACTACGTACAACAGAGTAACAACTCCCTACCTCGAGGACATCAGTGGATACTCCTACAAGCTTGGTATTCTTGACATAATCCGCTTTGGTCATCTTTCGTTTATTAGATTTGTTGAACGCGTCTGTGTGTAACATGATCAAACTAAATGCCAGAATATACGGGTGATCTGTCACGCAGTCAATATCCATATCAAGATCGCGCGACTGAAGACTAACCTGGAGATACAAAAATATCAGGATTACATTTTGTGTATCTCGCGGCGAAGGCCTCCATGACACGGTCGATTTGTTGCGTTTCCTTTGGTAGACCCACGTCCATAAGGAGCTTTCGTAGGGCTATGTCAAGCGGGTCATTTGCAAAATCGAACCGATCAATGTAGAGTTGCAGCGCTTGGTTATAATATGAGTCACCACTGCAGGGCAGAACTATCAGACATCTTCAAAACAAGCCAACTGGCAAACCAACCTTGCAGCAAGTATGTTGGCGATCTCAGCCTTGCTTACCGCTTCCTCAAGCCTGCCCAAGAACTCTTCAGGTGGTTCTTCATCGGCCCGTGGCTTTGGAATCTCTACAGCTGATTTTGATAAGGATGTTCTTGTAAAGGTACCTGACTGGCGGGGAGAAGACGACATGTTGTCCGTGATATTAGTTGAAGCAGTTGGAGAAGAAATGGGACTTGACGGAGATGAGGAGCTGAAAATTCCCATTGAGAACCGTTGGAGGACATTAGGAGGATTTGTCATGGATCGCGGGCGATTCTGTCGTTCATCAAGGATGGGAAACCTGGAGATAGCTGGTGAAGTGACAAAAGACATGTGTATAGGACGAGGCTGAGGTCCTTGGAGAGGCATGCCATCCCCATTTGCCACAGAATTTGTCATGTCATTAGCAGTCTGTGGGCGATGCCTTCGCGCAGGACGAGTTGGGGAGGAGGAATCGGGCACCGGGGAAGCAGGATCGTTCCGTGACGAACGACGCATCGAAGTACTTCGTTCGGAGTGTCTTCTTCTCAGTTTTCCAGTCGGTTGGAAATTGGAGGATTGAGGCGTGGAACCGGGTGATGATTGGATGGGTTTGTCAGGAAACATGGGGGATATTGGTTGAAATGCTGGTAAGGCGGGTGCAGATGACAACCGTGCCGTTTGTTCGGAAGGACTCTGAGACTCGTTAGGTCCCTTGAACGACTGTACTCTTCGACGAGTCCAAAACGAAGCCCTTCGTATTAAGGATCTCGACTCTGACCGAGTACTCGGTGAACTAGAAGACGGGTTCTCATCTGCCAAAACACCTGAATCATCACCGCTCGGCACGATCTGCAACTGCGAGCTTGATGCTTTTCGTTTTGGTTGCGGAGTGGCGAGTTCGGTTTGCGAGCGCGAAAAGCTCTTAACGCGTCGAACCACAGGACTGGTATCCATTCGTGTCGGCCTTGGAGCAGTACTGGGTCTTGCTGATGTCGAAGTAGATGGACCTCTTGGTGTCGCACCAGCAACCGACGGCATAACATGAGAAAGACCAATCCCAAGGCCAGCTTGTGCGAGTGTGTACGTAGATTGAGATTGGGGAGGCATCAGGGTCGATGCACGCGAAGGTCTGGTTCGCTCAGAACTTGGAACGGCCTCTAGCGGGCACGTTGGAAAGTGCATCGTTCCGGTGCTACGCCGCGCGAATAACGGATCAACCGTGTCTGCATCGCGTGGTACGTCGGGTAAGTCCTTGTTGAAATCAATATTATAGCTAACTGCACGAGCGATTCGTCCGTCTTCTGTGGCTCGTGCACGCACCGCGGATCTCTGTGGACCCTCCGACACAGCCGCGCTCATGGAAGGAGCTGCTCGGCGACGCCAGAGCGGTAACGAGAAGAAGGTTGTTGTCTGGGTTGTGGTCGTTACGGTTGTGGTTGTAGTTTCCGCCATAAAGGCTTGCGAGCTGGAAGCTCGGTCAGCATCCACTTCGGAATACGTTGGTAGAGCTGAATCATTCGCGCTGTGGTCGTGAGCAAAGCCTAACGTAGTACCAGACTTGCCGCCCACCATCGCCTAGGAGCAGGTCGAAGGGTGAAAATGACAATGCGTTTTGCTCCAGATTGGCGAGAATAATAGTTGTGTAAAGAGACTGTGACACTAGGAAAGACGGAATATGGGGTGCAGGCACAGGTGTTCTAGATTCCGAAAGTATAGTGTAACAGAAACAGCCGTATTACGTACAACATCAGAATCCAAAGTGACCTGATCGTCCACCACTACAACAATGAAAAATAGCCGGACAAACAACGCATCACAACAGTTATTTCTACTACCAATAATAGCGAGATGGACTGTCTGAACACAATGCGCAGATGAATCATACAGGTCATTATGTCTTTTGAATCCGCTTCTTTTCCCTCCGCAATGCTTGTCGCCTCTGTTCCAGTCGGTCCCGCTGGGAAAGTGATTATGATTATTAAATTTGTCTTTGAGCACAGTCTCGCAATGCATAAGCAGAAATGAGCTCACCTCCTCATTCCGTTTGTTCTCACTGTATTTCATCTTGTCATATAATTTCCGTTGTTTCCGGCTCATCATCATCTTATTCATGTCCACTTCATTGTCCGTCGGCGGCGGTCTTGGCGTCGCATCATCCGTTTTCTTTGCCGCCTTTTTGACACTCTTTTCAAATGCTCCAAAGTCGACACCTTGTGACTCTGCTTGTAACTCGGCAGCGCGCAGCCGTTCTGAATCGCTGCCCGCATATGCGACGGAGACACCGAGGGCATCCTTTCCATCTGCCGTATCGGCATTTTCGTCATCCGATTGAGACGCGGTCTCATGTTCTTCCTCGTCACGGGAGACGTCCATGGCATCCTGCTCGGCTTGGGTAGGATTGTATGCACCGAGTGACTCTCCGAACGGACTTAGGTGAGGCGGCAGTGTTGCGCCTTGAAGGTACGGCTCTTCAGAAAGAACTTTGCCCGCATTTACACAATCCACGACCCATTGCGGCTGAACGTACTTGCGTTTCTGCCGTCGCTCCTTCTCCTCAGTTGATATATTATTCCCGGCGACTAACGGTCGGTCAATGATGACATGAGTTATCGATTCGTCACTGTCATCAAATGGCGATCCAGAACCAGACGTTGCAGGCCAACCAACACGTCCGCCAAATGACCGTATTATGAACTCAAACAGAGGCCGCGATGTTTCTCTGGATAGGAAGAATGTGTACGGAGACAGTAGCTTTCCGGCTGTTGATTCGGGTAAGGATGAAAGAGTTTGGAGTGTAGTCAATGAAGCAGCTTCTTCTGGGTTTGTTTTGGATGGTTGAGAGACGAAGTCATCGGTAGCCTCTGCCACCTTGTTATCCTCTTCGACCATGGGCAGAGTCGCATCGTTTTGTGTCGTGTCATTAACAGAGACGTCTTTGATAGCCTGCCTGACAATTTTTCCCGATACCGCCTTCCCAGTTACTTCTATTTTCTGCTGCTCGCTACTGTCACCAGAAAGCCGCTTGTCAACTTCTTGCAAGCTGAAGGCACCAACGCCGGCAGCAGTGGCATCTTTATCGGAGTCCAGTGGAGGAGGATAAACAAGTCCGGCGTCCATATAGAGTTTGAAAAAGACAAAACCAAGCAATGTCTGGTAGAGTTCCAGGAACGTCAACATTACTCGCACATCAACGTCCGCGGGAATCTATCAGAGATTCCTTATGTTATGATATAAATCTTGCTTGACAAATAGAAACCCTTACGTTTTGAGTAAACTGGTATGGCACAAGCCAGGTAACGTTCTGATCCATGACCTCTGCCTGGAAATAGACGCCCTTGATGGATAAGAAAATCTTGCGAAGTGTATTTGTGCGCATGACATATAGCTGCCATTCGGCGGACAACCGAGCGCAGTTTTCGATGAGTGACGGAGGAAGTCTATTATTGGATGGCAATGATGCAAAAAGGGATATAAGGCATAGCGCGTCATCGATGTCGCGAACTGCATCTATGAAAGTTGGATATCTAGTCGAATAGACGAAACTGCATGAGACCCCAAGCACATATCATAAAATGGAGCAGCATAGTACCTTTCTTTGATGATATGGTCAAGCCGATAGACTGGCTTGTTTTCTTCCAGACTCTTTGCAACACTCCATTCGCCTCGACCAAGCGCTCTGGAAAGTTTTTTCGCGAATGCTTTATGTTCTCGAAGCTTTTCCAATACGGGCTCATGAGCTAAGTATGCGATGTCCTTCGCATAATAAAACGACGTAGGAGCTGATGATCCTCTATTCGCCTTCTTCTTGTTCTTCGGATCCCTTGGGAAGATACCTACGTAGAGTTTGTTTAATATCTTTGCACCGTAGAACGATCTGATCCAGACCTTTTAGAATGCATAGTCTGCGGAAGTCGGCGAGTGAGCATTGGAGTTTCTTGATTGCTGCTGAACGCGTAACATAAGCCTTGGCTGCCCCAGCCTTTCCTTTCTGCTTTATACGGCCCATGTCGAAGAACGCAGAGAGCTCTGGTGATTATAGGTCCGATTGAAGCACAGTGTACATAAATTTCTGCTGAGGTCTAGAAGTTCCCACGCACGTGACGCTGCAGTGGGCGTCGTGCCCGTCAACACGCGGAATTATCGTTACCTCTCTTTCAAACGTTGGTCGTAAAGCTACATCTGATAAGCAATATACAATGGCGAGGTGATATAGTCTCAGTATTCATTCATTCATAGTCGCCATTACTGATACGTCCTGACTTCTAGCACCTTAGCCCAAGTTCCAAAATCTGAGCTCAATGAAGCCGAGATTCGACAACTCGAAGAACAAGAAATCTCTCAAGGCCCACTGTCCGTGCTACTACAGGCTGTTAGGAACCATCACCAGGTCCTTATCTCGCTGAGGAATAACAAGAAGCTACTGGCTCGCGTGAAAGCTTTTGACAGGCATACAAATATGGTATGATCTTTAGCGCCTTGTTTGTTTTGCGGAACTTGACCTCTAACATCGTCCCGCAGGTATTGGAGAACGTCAAGGAGGCCAGTACCTTAAAAATCCGTTATACTTGAGCCATGAACTAATGTATCATGCTGCGTTTAGATGTGGGTCGAAGTGCCGAAAGGGAAAAACAAGAAACCAGTGAACAAAGATCGTTTCATTAGCAAAATGTTTTTAAGGTACGGCCTGCTATCCCGTGCTTGTTCATGTTTTGCTAACGTATAGCTTCTGTTTCTAGAGGTGATTCGGTGATATTGAGTGAGTTTATCGGCACCAAGTTCATTATATGACATTTAAAGTTTGCCTTTGTCTAGTTCTCCGAAACCAGGCATGATCATTCCATCTTCCATTCGGCTCCTTTGTACTGTGTTTATAATCACGATCAAAACTACCGACAAGCATGCGAATTTAAAATGTTTTCGCGCTGTCATTCCCCTCTGTCTCCATTTGCTTAAGTGCTTGTTTCATTTGTTCTCTGTGTAGACACAAACCCCCTTATGCAGAATACTAGTACGTACGCCGATTGGCTAGTTGAATTTGTGCCCCTTACAATTCCAATACTTACACTTCGTCTTTGATAAAAGCAATATACAAAGGCAGCCGCGAATACAGCGAAAGGTTGCATTAATATTGAACTGCGAGTAGGCTCTGAGTCGAGCTTGAATAAGTATTATGTAATATTTATGAGGATGTCATGTGTTCCGGCCCGCACGAGCCGCTCACTCCGTCTTGCTCAAAGTTTATAACAGCTATGCATATAGCTCGGCGAAACAGCTGTTCCAACCACCTCTTCCCTCTAACCACCTTCTCACATTGCATTAGCAGAGATCAGAATCATGTCTGCAACCAAAACAAATTTGAATGTCCTCATGTGTAAGTTGCCTACCCCTTTGCCTTGCTGATTATTCTTGACATGACGGTCGGCTAAAAATGCGATATACAGGTGGTGCGGTGCGTCATTGGCGTACTTGTCAAAGAAAGCGTCAAATTCTTAAATGTAAATCAGGGGGAGTACACCACTGGATGGACAGGATCTGGTGCTTCAAAGTCGGATAAGAAGGTAAGTATCGAAGTCGATACTTCTGCTCATACTCCAGCTAACCGATGCATTTAGATCGGCGTACGTCTAAACACTTGAATCAAGAACCGAATGGTTTCTTATCTCGCCAAAGGTCGTTGGGTTGACACTCTTTGACTTGCGCAGACGCCAAAAGGTTGACGACCTGTCTATGGTCGGTGTTAGCGGTTCCAAATTCCCTGCTATCCGCAACCATCTACAAGCAAACATTGCCAATGTGTACAAGGATATGGACATATCGTACGTGGACTTTATCTCGCTTCGTCCCAAACTTAGTTATTCCATTTATGAAGCTTCAAATCCTACCCAGAAGAGGGAAAAACAGATCCTGAGGCCTACAAGGTAGCCATCGATGCATTAAAGCCAGGAGATGCAGTTATCATATTCACTCCAGACAGTACGACATTTATCTTCATCCATTGAATTAATAGGTTTAAGATTACCGTAAAGGTACTCACTTCCCTATTGCCCTCTACGCTTTGGAGCGTCGTCTGCACGTCCTTGTCACGAAGCCAGCGACGCAGAAGCTTGAGCATCACATCCAGCTTATAGAAACTGCCAGGAAGAATAACGTTGTATGCTTCGTCGAGCATCACAAGAGGTACGTGTCTAATACGCGGGTTATAATTCTCGTTATTCATTTACTCTTCGATAGATTCGATCCCGTGTACAGTGATGCTAAGGCTCGTGCCGCTACTCTTGGTGAATTCAATTTCTTTAACGCATGGATGAGCCAACCGAAGAGCCAGCTTGAGACTTTCCGCGAGTGGGCAGGGAAAGACAGCGATATCAGGCGAGTAGCCCTTTTGTGCGGATTCGACACTTGTACTCACTTCAGTGGACAAACCATAGCTACTATTTGTCGTCGCACCATATCGATATATGTTGCTGGATTCTTCAGGGAAAGGCAGTACCAACTCGGGTTGTCGCGAGCGCTGCGACAGGTATTGCGACAAGCGACCCATACAATTGCGTGGACAACACGGAGGACACAATCACCCTTCTCGTCGATTGGCAGTCCCTGTCGAGTTCCAAGCACAGAGGTACGGCAGTGTATACTGCCTCGTGGACGGCACCACTCAAGTCAGGAGTGCATTCCGCGCAGCATTGGTACTACATGGGGGAGAAGGCATGTATAAGATTTGGTTTCATTACTGAGACAGCATGTCAACTGACTTAACCCAGGGAGATATCACCGTTGACCAGGCGCATCGCGGTTACGACATAACTATTGACGACACCGGAAAGACCTTGTATGTACTTTAATCCTCGGCTAATGTCTATCCTGACCAAATTGTTTGCCATCCCCGCTTGTCTGCAGTTATAACCCATTCTAGTAAATGACCTTCCTCTCTGTCCACAACGGACGGATCCTGATATCATTCCTTGACCTTGCAGCATGAAGTATTCGCCGTCGGAGACAGGTCATTTCGATGGCCAGAGGGGTTACGGATACATCTCCATTGAGAAATTCATTGATGCTGCTCGTTCCGTTAACGCCAGTGAAGCTCAGCCGGGAGATTTCGATGGACATGGACTCCCGACAATTACCAATACCGTACTGACGACCGCCATCCTACACGCTGGCCGAATCAGCCTCGACGAAAAGCGGCCAGTAGGGATCAAGCTTGAGGGAAACCAATGGAAGCTCGAGTAAACATGCGTCATAGTTAGCGTCAGGACATAACAGAGGACCGGCAATTTAACATGGAACAAGCTCGATAACTTGACGTTTTAACCGCCCCCAAATCAGACTTTCGATTGTTCGCATCCCACAGTCATTTGTGCAGATAAGCTTGTAGCGTCATCGACGTTATCTGAGGAGCCTGAATATCACGCGCAATAATCAGCGCAATGCACGGTCCCGAGTAAGAGCAAGGCGTTGGATAGTCTTGAAACCCCGATGAGGCACAAGAAATGTAAAGTAACGCATAATGTACTCAATTTAGCCCTGCGAAGTACCGTGAATACGTCTAACTCTCGGACCGTGGGCGCTTGGTGTGCCTTCAGAATCAGTGCACTAGAACTATGAACATCGTTCGACAGACCATTGCCGAGGGATCATTCCCGATATTGAAGATTACACTCAAGCCGAATTGTACTTTAACACGTTTTCAATAATGTGCCTTTCGTCTACTAGCTTTATACATGAATACCAGCGCAATCTCCCAAGATGGCGGGAAAGCTTGACCGGATCTCGATGTGACTTACAGGAAGAGAATTAGAGATTCTCGAACCGAGCTGTGATGGGCGGCGTAATAGTTCAACCCAGTCTGCACCCGATGGTGGACAGTTACAGCAGATCAATTCTATGCACCTTGATACGCCTCAAGCCAAGTGATGAGCTGCACCTGCGCAGATACCGGACGGCCAGTCGAGTTTGGTGAAACCGGTCGGAAGTTTCTAAAAGAGAAAATTAGCCTAAGCATACTCATGATCCGCGCGCGTTGACGTCATCTTGCGGACACATTTGCAATTCCACTCAGGCATAGTGGCGACTTGTCTCGCGATGTCTGGTCTGGCACAATATCCTTTGCTACAGGGCATCGTGAACACGCACTGACGCAGGTCAAATATACTTAGTATATATATCCATCTGTCCCTACCCCGCACAAATCACCGCCGCGGGCCCGCACGCGACAGATAAATTGCCAAGTAAACATAGCGACGCGCACAGGATTGAATCTCTTTCACACTTCTTCAATTCATTTCCTTACCTTCGCGCATTGAACCACCGTTTGACCGTGGCAGACCTGTCACCAGGCAGGCCCTGCGAAGCTGATCGAACGGACTCTTATTCCACCCGTTTCTATTTAATGAATGGTTTTCCCGGTCTCAGCCAGGTTGCATCTCCATTTGAGCACTCGCAAGATCACTGCCACGGTTCGTAGCAGGACGGCTATCTGGCTCCCTACACTAGCACCTCCTGTTTTGTATTCAACATCAAGTACTTTTACCCTTTCAAACCTAGTGACATCCGCTCTTCTACTTCGTCCGTTCTCTTCTCGACGTCGACATCAATCCTCACTATTTTCTCCTTTCACTCGTGGGATGTTTTTCCATCTTGCATTTCAATAAATAGAATACGGCCGGTTGTGTTCCAATCGCTGACGGCAAAGATTACTAACGCGCACCACGGATTGAGAGCGAAAAGCCCACTTTTTCAACGAGACGCGTGATACAGGGTAAAACACTGGCGGAGAAAAGGTGGAAGGTGGATGTTGCAACATGCTTTAATGATGGTGGTGGTGAATGGACAGGCGAGGGGAGAAAAGAAATGTGAATATGGACCAAAAATATAATGTGCACGAGAAAATGAATGAGGGAAAGTTCATTGTTAATCTGCAAAGAATGAAGCTACCGACAGAAAATATAAGAAAACCTAAAAAAGAATAAGTCAAAGGCTGGTCCCACAACCCAACCTACGGCTAACGCACACAGTGAAGGAGAGAAAGACGTAGGATAGGAAGCAGACTACTGATGAAAGAGGAAGGGGGGAAAGGGATAGGGAATATGGTGTAGAACATATTGACGGAATACTAAAGTGATGACAGTGCTGGTATTGAATGAATGATGGAATGATGGTAAGGTGCGATGGGTGGATTGAAAGACACGACAAGCACAAGAAAGGGGAGAAAAAGGGACTGCCGAATGAAGGATTAGTCCGTTTGTCTTGGTACAGGATCTCGACTCGCGGAAAGCCCGAATGAGAGAAAAAAAACATCCTTCTTGAAAGGAAGACCGTCCTATCATTTGGATCATAGTCTTCACCCCGCGGATGGCGAGGAAGTGCAGTTCGATGAGTGCGTTGTGAGAGAAAACCATTGAAATGATGGAATGCATGGGATGATTGAACTTGCAGAGACAGGAGAAAAGTGCGCAAAGGTTGCCGTTTTGGAGGCGATTGACGTATATGATAGAGTACATTTTAAGTTGCAGCGAAAAGTCTTGTTCCAGGCAGAGCGACAGAAGGTTGAGAAGTCCGAACGAGTCCAGCCATGATGAAGTGATGGACACGGGTGCGTGTAGCGCGACGAGAGAATGCCTGTAGATCCCAGATTATGAAATTTGACGAAGAGGAGAAGCAGCGAGGACATTGCGATCGTGCAACGCAGGTCGAGCATAGTAATCGTGTGGTGCACAATCATCCGCAGCATTGGCATATTTGGTTACTACTGTCTGTTCACCGGTCATCGGAACATTCTCCTTGTCGCTTTTAGCGGTGTGAAGAGGTTGAGTGACCAGGAATGGATCTCCAGCGTATGCGGGACTCGTTGGCGTTACTGGCATGTCAACGTCATCTGACGAGGAATCTGTAGACACAGACATCGAGCTCATGGGAGTACTGAGCGCTGATAATGGGTTCCGCGACACAGGCGTTGTCGGAACCAAGCACGGAATGACCTGTCGTACGAATCGGTTTCCCGTCAGATACCACTGCACGGTAAACGTCGACGCTTTCGAGTAGAAAGGGTACGAGTATTTCTTGACAAGATTCTCCGACAAGTCCGCAATATTCCTTGACAGTCGGCTATCGAGCAATTCAATTATCTCCGTGACAGATGCAGGTTCATCATAAATCCGCCTTGGCTCCTGACAGACGTGCCGCGCAAGAATCAGCGATGCAAGTGCGACGGCAGAAGGTGAATATTTGATGAAGTCGCGGTAAAACAAAGTGACTTCCATGAGGAACCTGGCAACGTGTTGAACCTTCACACTTTCTTCAAACGAACCACAGCAGTAAAACCGGAGCCAAGCTTCTGCTGTTGGATGGCCCAGAGTCCACTGTATGGTAGCAAGGACATGTCCCTCCATTTGTATGAAGGCAGACTCATCGTATGTGTCGCGGCAGATGCCTACAAGGTCAGTGAGAGTCGGTACACGTTCCTTCGCATCCTCGAATTTGGCAGCAATCCATAATGCTGCACAGCCGACAAGTTGATAGTGTTTCGTATAGACGATGCGACGAGATACGTAACGGTCCACAATATTCATTGTGAGGTAGAGGGTCTCGGGACGAAGACGGAAGGTAAAATGGATTTCGATGAGGAAGTCGACAAGGCACGGACGCATTGCCCATTTGATTTCGGGCTGTTGGTCCATCGCAGAAGCGGAACCCATTGTGTAGACCTGTATGTTGATCAGATCACAAGTCGCAACGGAAGCAAACACCACAGCTACAACTCACCTCCATTTCATGCATGTAACAGCAAATCTCTTCGCGATACTCTTCCTCCACATAGATACCCTCTCTTCGAAAGGCAGCAAGCTGAGCTTCGCGGTGTCGTAATCGCTGAAGCTCAGCCTTGATGACTGCTGGTGTCCTACGTGAGGTGGCTGAAGTGTCTTTACAGCGGGGCTTTTGAACGCCATCCCGATGAGGAGAGGGGCGCTTTTTAGGGTAGAGCTGGTTCCGGACGGGTCGGTTGGAAAGTGACGTGATGTCCTTCATGCTGAGCGATAAAGAGGAGCCGGGAAGTTGACGATCTGCAAGCAGGGGAGAACTGGAGCAAGGGGGAGAAGAAGAGGGTGGAGAATTAGCCACTGTAAAGAGCGACGCAGACATAGTGTAAAGTTGAAAGCCGAGTGATGAGGTAGTACGGAATCTGTAGTGGCCACGAATCGTCGTGACTGCTCACAAAGAGACGAAATCGCTCAAAGGAGCAGCCAGGCCAGATGTGCAGCCTGCAAGAAATGCGCTGAGGGTGCAAGAGAAGGACGTGGATGGAGAGCAAGATGCATAGCGAGTGGCACAGGCCATCAAGCCATATCCGGCCATCCTCAGGCAAAATGTAAATAACTGATGAGCACGCTGCCTGCGGTGATCGGCGCAGATGCTTGCTGTGTACATAGCACAGAGAAAAAAAAATAGAACCGACAAATAGTAAACTCACGATACACAGCGCTAGACATACGCTGACGTGTAGAGGAAAAAGACGAGGACGACGCACGCGAGGCGACAGAGACACTAGACACAAATGGATGAGATAAGGACGATCGTGAAGTAGAGAATCGTGAAAAAGAGAGAGAGAAGGTGCGCCGCGTCGGACAGACGGAGAGGAGGGCGTGGGGGTCGTGGCTGACGCCGTCGTCGAGAACGGCGGGAGGGAGAGGGGAGAATGGGAGAGAGAAGGCCTTGTCGGCTGGACCCTATAAGGAATGCAGCATGGCAGGTGCGTTTGTACATCTGCGATCTGATACACCCTCGCTCAATATCACATCGATTTTGGGTACATTTACCCTGCCGCTTTCGTCGCACATCCTCTCCCGGTCTCGGCTCACTCCGCTCTGACAACCATCCATCTTCCCCTGCAAGCCCCCCATTAGGCAGCTCGCTCCCACTCATTCCGTCCGCCACCCGAGCCGAGCCGGAATTCATTAATCCAGCCGGTCCCACAACACGTTTCTCGACGAGCACCACCACTCTCTTATTGTCCCATTCCGACCTTCGTGAAAATTGGCAATCATCTTACCTTAACAAATTCTCGACTGTACACTGTTCGGGGTTGACCTTTGGTCGCGTCCTGGGAAACCTGCGCTTTTAGCCCGGTCTGTCCCAGATGATAGTCTTTCATGCCTCTCACCTTTGCCCACTGCTCCGTCGTTGGTAAATACTGGACACAATATTAATGCAAATACGGTCTCTGCACATTGATTTGCGCGAATCAACTTCTGCTGTCCTCCATTCCATGCAAAACGACTCCACTTACAAGAGCAACAAAACGCAAGACGCTGTGGAAATGTGCCCAGGCAAGGGAGACAAGGAGTATTCAATCAAATGATTAGGTGTGTCAACAAGAAATGAACGATTATGAGTTGAACAAGTATGCACTAGTTGCTGAAAATAGATATGCAAGATGCAAAAAAATGAAGGCGGATAAAAGAGAGACTAGACAGCAATTTTTTATGTGCAAGCAGCAGACAGTGGACCGTTGGATAGGTCCTTTGTCGCAAGAGACGCCGAGATCTGAAGAGACACGGTCGTCTGGTGTGAAGCACGGGCGAGCGGCCTGTGGGTCCGTCGAGCACTTCACGGAGGCAAAGAGAAGGGATGGAGAAGTAAAAAACGTACACGTAGTCGTGCGAGGGTAGTTATCTATGGTAGAACCGCAGGGCTGCGGAGATCAGGCGCGAGGTGCCCAAGGCGTGTATAGAGCGAGCTTGAAGGAATCAGACCAGAGGAAGCTAGGCGCTGATTTGGGCACCACGTTCCTGCCTGCAGGCAATTGAATGCTTCTCGATACTCTGCTGTGACACAACGAACTGCCGTACTGGGTTCAGAACATCTGAAATATCTTTCAATTACTCCTGTCTTCGCTGTCCAACACGGGAGGTCTGCTCGATGTGGTCGCTGTTCCGCCTTTCGCGTTGCCATCGCTGTCCCGGCCCCGACGCCCGAGCCTATCCTGGGTAGACCCCGTCGAATTTTCCTCCGACAAATTGCACGAGGTCACTTAATCATTCTCTGCGGGATATCGCGGGTTTCGCTTGCGGTTGAAACCCTTGTTGGGCGTCCTCCAGCCGCGTCGTGAACTCAATCCGGCTGTAACAAAGCATCATTGACTTTCTACATCCCATTAAGGGAAGCCGTTGTGCAGGAACCCGCCCAAGGACTTTCCACGCCTGGACTCCATTCTACTGTGATAGTAGCTTGAATGTGTGTGTACAGGAGTCTGCCTTGTAAGGATACTCTCCACCCTTCCATCATTCACTCTGTGTTATTATTGAAATCACGCGTCGTAGGTTCTTAGCATACGGTCAAGCTTAAGTATAGAGCACAGTCCGCTTTGGATCCGCTCTGAGTAACCTTGTAATCATATCGATCGTCATTCGAATACACGAGGGAGATCATTAATTTCAGCCTAACTCCTTTTATACTGCCTTCAATTCGCTAAATGCCATTCACAAATGAGCAAGTGCTAGTCTCGATTGAAACTGTCCTGAGCGTCGACCTCCACCATGACAGGAGATTTATATTCGCCTGTTCAAACACACTGGACGTCAGATCATATCATGTGAAGATTGAACGGCCGTGACCTGAGCCCGACCGCGCTGACATGAAGGCGATGGGAATTGGAAGACAAAAGTCCATTTCCACGGAGAATCCGGAAGTGCGAGCCTTGATTGTCCCCAATCATATTCCAATACAGCTTTACAACCTCCGGAATTTTCAGATCCTTACGAAGAGAAATGGAATGAGCTTATATCCACCAAACCCGACCGTAGCGCATATACTCACCCCTCATCGGCGCTATCGTTCGAATGGAGCGAAGAATAGCCAGCATCAACAATTGCACAGCTTGCTTTCCGGTATAATTTCTGGTTTCAGTAAACAAGCATTTGCAAAAGCAAGCTCCGTCCACGGCCCTGTTCTTCCGTACATCTAAACTTGTACCTTCACCGGACCCGGTTTCTGTGAACAACATTGAAGACTCGGGCATTTTTGAAGCTTTGGAGCTTTACCACACCCACTAGCGTGATACACGGCTGCAGAAGCTGGTTTCTTTAGAAGGGAAGAAAGCGCTCGGCATTGATAACCATTCCATTGTGGGTTTGCAGGAACATCCCGTATACAAATGTCATCTAGTTAGGGAGCCGTGGTTCCGACCTTTCGGACTTAGTTGTATCACATTTACTGCTCGCATAACGAGTGTATGGCGATGCATTTGATCGCCTCACAAGCGGAGGCTTCAGTGAATGGAGGTTATCCTTGGAATGTCTATCAAGATTCGGGGACGAAGACACTAAACCGCTGGTCCGACGGTCGTCAGTGATCATGATGGGATGACGCCGCTCGTCGTGTGAATGATCAATTGCTGCAGGAAAGCCAAGTGGTTCTACAAGAACACGAAAATGCAGATGGGCGTCATGAACATAGGACAAGAGGCCCAAAGAATGAATGCGAGAAGATTGCGTGTAATTTTTGTCTCCTTATTAATGCAAACGGTTCAATTTTACCTGCCCATAAAACAAAATTTGGCACGAGTTCATTGGACTACCTAATCTAATCATAAATAATCATAATCAGAAATCGAAGAACAAGCCGACGGAACTGTCAGTAGCTGATGCGTGGCTGTGTACTCCGGTGATTTTGCCTTCCTGCTCACGTGCGCTCGCCCTTTTCCTGTGTCTATGCGAGTATTAATTCAATTGTTCGCATTCTTCCGCAATTCCAATCAACGCAATCGTATCCTGCGCGATTCAAGCGCAATTCGGGCGCTTTGCCTTGATTTTCCTGTGAGGAATCTTGCCTGGAACCTCTAATACCGCTTGCGGCTGAAAGGCCTACCCAGACGGGAGTTGCAGATCAGTGGAAGTTGGGAACGTCCCGGTGATAGAGCTTCTATTACTGTAACTATGAATTGGCGTGATGGTGCTTGATTCCATTCCGCATCCATATCCGCCCCTGCTCTGCACAGCGTCGGGGCTTGCTTCTCCCACGGGACCTGGGCGACGGATAGATAAGCATGAATCCTGTACACACCTTCGTAGCCAGCGTCCATGTTGAAATCTCATGTGTAGTTTCAAAATCATAGTAACTCCAATCTATTTCCAGCAAGGCACGGTCTTGTCGGTTAGCGGATCTCGAAGAACACTCAACCTTATATAGGTCAGAAAATAGCCAACAGAACATCGTTGCCTTGTGGACAGCGCGCTATCATTTTCGCCTCCGCATGAGGAGCATAACTTAATCCAAAGCCGTATGACGGTTCGGAATCAGGCCCGCTGTTCGGGAAAACGGAAAAACGATGTGTATGTTGAAACTTTTTAATACAGATAGCTTCAAGGAAAAAGACGTGAGAAAAGGAACAGAGAATTATCAGGAGAATGAAGAGGAATGTACTGGCTCAAAATGACGGATGCAGCAATATCAATATGAAACAGAAACATCAATGCAGAATCTCTCTTTTGCGAACGTTTACGGTCATGACAGTGAGAAGAAATTGGGTTACTCGGCTATGAAACCAAAGAAAACCCACTATTCTCGGTGAGCACCACCCATGAGAAGCGCCATCAGGTCAGTCGGATTGTGCTGGTTTTGAGGGACGCTTTGCAAGTGCTGAGGAAGCATTTGTTGGAGCATCTGAGGTTGCATATTTTGCTGTTGACGGACGTTTATCGATGGAGGCAGTTGATTCGGTCCAAGCAATTGCTGGGCGTTGAAGCCCGGCCCGCCACGCATTGCTTGCCCAAGATTGGGTCCACCTAGTCCAAGCATCTGGTTCTGTGGAGGTCCTCCGGGTCCGCCACGGAAATCCATACCATTGAGATTATTACCAACTGTGTTTCCCAACTGGGCAAATCCAGGCTGACCACGGAGGTGACCTTGATTACCAAGGAGGCCCAGGTTTGGGTTCTGGAATTGATTGAAAGACTGTGGGTTGTTTGCGTGTTGCAAGCCTGCAGGAATCTGTGAAGGTACTCCACCGAAATTTCCACCACCACCACCACCAATGAATTGAGAGGGCTCATGAGGGGGACGGCCGCCGAGATTCGCAAGGCCAGGGGGAAGACGCTGCTGAGGTGGTCCCTGTATAGGATTGAAATTATTAATGGGAGATGGTCCATTTCGCATCGCCTGCTGCTGGAAAGGAATGCCGCTGCCGCGACCACCGTTCATGCCTTGTCCATTGAACTGTGTCGGAAGCTGACTGGCGAATAACTGCTCTACGCCACCGCGTTGCTGAGGACCAAGCCGTGCATTGAAGGCAAGAGGGTCCTCAAGCTGACTAGCATAAAGACTTCCATTGTTTACTTCTCTGTTGCGAGGACCGGGAAGGGTGGCCGGACGTAAGCCCGGAACTAGGCCATCTGGTGCGAATCGACCTTCATCAGGATCAAGCAATAGGTCGTGCCGAGACAGCGAATTATTAAGAGAACTTATATGAAGAGATTGAGATTGGTGATTGCCCAGTATCGGATTCAGCTGCCCGCGTTGTGCCTAGAAAAATATTCACTAAATAAGAATGGCAAGTTATTCTGACAAGAAACGTACCTGTGCGGAGTTGTTGAGCATAGTTAAAAGATCCTGTATATTGCGATTTTCGCCAGAACCAGCCTGGGTATTCAAAGTCTGCTGCTCCTGACGATTCGGAGCCATGCTATTCGTCCCCATCCCAACATTGGGTACGTTACGACCGACATTCATAACTGGATCTCTCTGCTTTTCGAAGTGTTTCGCCATACGACTCCCTTTTCCGGAGGAGTACGTAGTTTGACCACCATTCATCTGGCTTTCGAACGGCGATATCGGTGACGTGACGCCATAGGAAGCAGTCGGCGGTGTCAGATTTCGTCGAACGTCAGATAGATGAAGTAAGGAGTCCGCCTGGGAGGAGAATGCACCTCGTTCGGAAGCACTGAGAGGGACAGACGATCGTAAAGCGTCGCCATTATGAAATTCCTTGTTAACTTCCATAAGGCCGACTGACCGGGTTGCATTGTCAAAGGCGAGAGGATTATGACCTGCAGATTCGGGGACAGAACGGCGAGAGACGTGTTCAGCTATGTTCATGTCTAATTGGCCACTGGCGAGGAGTTGCTGCTGCAAATTCGCCCTGTCAATTGCGGTCTGCTGTGAGGCCGAGAGAGGCATGGCCGGAGAAGCAGATGGCCGTCTTTGGTTCGGCCCGAGGGGGTCCATTTGTTGCAAACGCCCCATCTGCACTGCTGCCGCTGCACTCTGAGGACTGGGTTGGGCTGGGGCTTTGGTATTTTGAGCGCCGAAAGCCAAAAGACGCGACTGGCGAGGAGGCTCAAACACTGTAGCAGATGAAGGGGCATCTTTATTCGCAAGGTCACCATGGAAAGTGGCCGAATCGGGTGTTTTCAAGGACAGTAAACGAGGCCCGTTATTCTCGGGCCTTACGCTTGTTGGGGTATGCGCATTGCTTGTAGGATTCGACGGAGCTCCCAGACCAGGCAGAGACGACGGCGAAGGTACCGAGGGATTTGCAGAAATAGTTGTCTTCAGGGATATAGCCGATTTCGATGCAAGCAACGGGTCAATAACGCCTGAGAGACCAGTTTCTGGATTGACAGCATTTAAAGAACCAGGTCGGTCAGTGCCTGCATCACTCGTTAGCGTGATTAATAAATTCTTAATAGGTGCGAGGACTTACCAGACGTGCCGGTACCAGCTTGGCCTTCTGCTAGCTTCACTGGCCCAGGCAGACCAGTTTCTGATACTCGTAGACCTGCACCGGAGACTAATGGGCCACCATCAGAGGTATTCTTACTTTCTCCACTTGCAGATCGCTTCTGCTCTTCCTTCTTCATCATGAGCTTGAAGAGTTGAATTTCATCTAATTGACCTTCTGAAGCTGTACCGGTTGTCTTCGTCTTTTCAGGACCACCGGCTGCATCTTGTGACGCAGACGATGCGGAAGCAGACTGGTCAGATGCAAGACCTTTCGCTTTCATTTCGCGTTCCTTCATGTCTTTCTTCCATGCTTGAATACTATCCATCTCACCCTCTCCGCCCTTGCCTCCAAGAATGCCAGTTGATGACGCAGTCGGAGGAATGTACGTCTCCATCCACGCAGGCTCTTTTTCCTTCTCTCGCTCTTTCTTATCCTCCTTGTCCCGAACATCGTCGTACCTGCGGTCGCGTGCACCTCGTTTCTTATCATCTGCAGTACTCCAGCTCTCACGATCTTCAACAAGGTCACCTTTTTCCCGCCCAGCGCGTCGGGACTGAAGTCTGTCATCTCGTTTTCCTTCTTCACGCCATCTCTTCGGATCCTCATCGGTCTCATTGAATCGATCTCTATCTCGGTCTCTTCTCCCTGATGGAGGACTGTCGCGTGGCCTTGAACTATCGCGCGCACGGGACCGTTGCCGCTCACGGTCATCACGCTCACGTCGAGAGTTATCTGTCGAGATTACGTTCAAAACAAGCGTTAGATCATTTCACTTAGCAACTTGCTTCCAATGAAATATAAACGTACTTTCGTCGCGTCCTGCACGAGGAGGCTCTGCACCTAAAATAGAGGTAAGCTCAAGCACATAATTGAAGTAAAGAATACGCACCACGCCGCCAGTCCTCTTTACTTTCTCCGTTGCGTTTCCTGACCGCTAGGCGCTGTGCATCGCGATCTACTTCAATGCGTCAGAAGAGCGAACCGACAAGGCTTGAAATTGAACCTGACCTGAGACTAGGTGAGGTGCTGAATCCCGATCGCGGTTTCGCAATAGCGTTGAGTGTGACGGTACTCCCATACGGTCCCCGCGAGTCGCTCTGTCACGGTCATACCTGTCCGACAACTGGATTATGTTTGCATGTTCACAATTGCCTTTATGCATTAAATTGTATAGGCCGTACCGAACGTAGATCCCTTTCTGTATCACGGTCTCTGTCACTGGCACGTAAAGGCTGATGCTTGAAATTGCCCATCTGAGACGGTTGGGAAAGTGCAGAACGGAATGGCGGCCTGGAAGAGCCATCTAAGATAGAGTGAGAATATGTCAGAGAATCATATAAGTAGAATTTACCTCCATCTTCGGCTTCTCGTCTATATCTGGGGAAAAAGAATAGTTAAAGTTTTGTGCATCACTTTGGTATACGAGGCAGATAGCACACCTTCTGTCCCTCGGCGCGCCATTGACATTAAGGCTTTCTGACTCTTTCTTTGCCTGCAGGGACTGTTCGTTCCAGTCCCTGAAGAGGTAGTGATATTAGTGCACATAGCGACAAAAGAACGGTGCAGGACGGACCCAAACCAAGACTTGAATGCGGGCATTCCATCAGGAACTTTGACAAGAGGAGACTGGCTTAGATGAATGAGATGTTTTCGAGTATAGACGATACGGGAACGGGTTTCCGGGCCTTCGGCTTTAGCAACGACTTGCGTGTCTCCCGCGTCGCCTTGAAGAGCAGTCTCCTCTAAGGCGTCCGCTAGGGCATCGACCGAAGGTACATTTTGGGTGGATTCTTGAGGTGCTTTGTCTATGGATTCGACGGCTGTTGACATGATAAATTGAGGAGTGCAATGGGCTGAGGATGTGTGGATTCTACGGGAGTGCGTTGAGAGGAGTGTGCAGGAGGAGATGGGAGACAGGAAAGGAAAACGCCGAAGATCACTCTCGCGACTCTCTGTTCAATGGCTGTACTCTGCTTCACAAGTTCGGTTGTTTGTGACCGGCACCGTCTTGTAGACCTTTCGGATACTGCATAATGCATCGGACACTCAAGCATTTTATTCTTCAGACACAGGTCTTTTCTTTGTACAGATACGCTATTCGAGCGGCACGACGTAAGAATTTTTTTTCGTTTTCTTTAATCGACCTCGAGCCTTGAGCTCATCCAATCGACTCGCAGATATTCCAGACCCTTCGGCAAGAAGAGAAACGGTACTTTGGGTGCGCCAGGAGATTGAAAGAAACAAGCACATTCAGGATGTGGTACTTGACCATCTCGCTACTTTTCTGTGAACTTCATAACATTCCTGACTAGGACAAAATCCAAAATCTCGTTTCATCCGGACGTCGTGAGCTGAGGCAAACACTTCCGATGCGATGACTGCATGTACCAATTGCGCCTTCGGCGCATTGTCGCCCGGAGACCGTCTAGTACGCTGAAGTGGCACCGCCTTAATGGAGCCTAATTGTGATGTGTATACAATATTACAGTCCTGAGTGTGCTAAGTTTGGACGCTTGGATCAATGACATCACATGGGCCTGGCCTCGCGTTTGCCCACTGTTGGACGCTCCTCACCGCATTCCAATAGAACGTACTCTCCTTTTGCCTCCTGCTTCAACCCGACTATCATGGCGGATGATGTACTCCGAATATCTCAAGAGTCCCTACTCCGGTCTGGACGAGAGAGCCCTCCAGGAAGTAAAGTCTCCCTCGCGGAAGCAAGCGGTATGGAGTCGCAGAGCGCGTCAAATAGTGCACTTCTTCTGAATGAGGATAGTGATGCCTACTCCGACTCAAATCAGCCAAACCCCGATAGTGAAGAGAAACCAATTCTAGACAAAAATGAAAGCGACTTGTCCGAAGAAGAGCTCCGACGCCTCTTTGATGATGAAGAGATTGAACATTTCCTAGGTCTCTTTGCCGATGTAAGATTAATGTGTTCACTGTCCCTGGGAAGCTCAATAGTTGCAGGCTGTTTCAGAGGTCGCGCTTCCAAACGTTCCCGACGGGGAGAACGAATATTTTGGCAATTTCATCGAAATGGAAGATGAGATACAGGCTCCTGACTTACCTCCTGTGCAATCCTGCGGAAGCGGCTGGTTCTCAGTTGATTCTGCTAAGGTACCAGCTGCGGCTCGCATTCCACCTTCAGCATCAAACACACGCTGCATCTCCGAGTATATAGCATTTGTATGTCCACAATCATGTCTACAGTGGCACTGTCTCACATCTTCTGTCAGTCTTATTTACTTCCAGTGCTACCCCAAGCACGACCGCGCCCGCAACGATTCACAGTTGGTCGTCTTAGGATTGCAATCCAAAGGTTATACCTTGTTGCTCACCCAGCATACGGTGAATTCTTCTTTCGCTTGACGCGACTAGCAACATGGAGAAATAGGAGTGTCAGTGCCTTGTATTGTACCGTGCGTATGCTCCCCTATATTATCACTATTTTTGTTTCGGAACTTCTGACCAGTTACTCCAAAATAATACAGCTATTCTGGCTGCTCTGGTATCACAATTTGCTCATGCCGGCGACTTTCTTCCGTATCCTTTGTTCGCTATTGCGTCGAAGGCTTGTACCTTATCTCACCCTTGAAGAACTCCGTAAACGGAGACGCGAGGCTGCGGAGGCGGAGGCACTTGGCGAGCAAATTCAGGCGAGATTGGGAACAGCTTCTCCGTCTGGCTTTCTAGAGGCCTGGCGTATCTATCGTATTTTCAGCAAGCCCAAGAAAGTGAAGCAGAATCGGACGGGGGCTAGTCCCAATGAAAAGGACAAGAAAAAGTCTACAGAGAAGCAGCAAGAGCGGCAGAAGGGAAAGGCCAACGCTGGGGAGAAAGACCAAGATCATGCCGCGGAATCCGTGGCAAATCCTGCACGAGACACCACAAGGGAACAGGATGACGGTTCTACCGTGCTTGACAATCCGAATGAAAATCAAGAAGAGGAAAATGGATTCAAGCGTGCGTTGCTCAACTCGATAAGTGACCTGGCCGATATGCACGAGAGAATAAAGAAGTATGTTGCACGATAATGATATTCGGTGCAGCAGCATCTGACATGTGCCCGATTCAGCATCTTCCTTTGGCGTCTGCCATCTACTTCAAGAACGTACTCCGCCGTAAGTAACCCTATATTATGCAATACACTAGCTCTTCATCCATGCGCTGAATCTCGTCGCAGTTGCTGGTTTTCCTTACCATTCTGACAATCTACCTGCCGACCAAGTATATCGTAAAAACCGCATTGTTCATTGTGGGCTTCTTGTATTGGCACGTCATACCCATCATGGCCGCATTGCCTGCACCCGATCGAGAACGTCTCCCTCCGCTATTTGAAACTGCTCCCACGGATGCGGAGTACGCCATGGGGCTTATCTCAGAGCGTATAGCCCGCGGAGAAGACATACGGCCGCGAACGAAGCAAGCGACAAAGAAATCGAAGAGAACGAGTGTACCAGCGCCCAGTAAGTCAACGACAAGCCTTGTCGGGGACAATCGGGCTTTTGAGGCTTCTGTCCTACCGGACACGGATGCGAGGTTAACGAGGAACAAAGGCACTGAAGAGAACGTCCAGCCACTTGGTCGGCCAGGCGAAGTGAACTGGAGAAAATGGGGAGAACGTGCGAAAGAAGTAAAGGAGTGGACAATGAAGGGCAGGAAGAAGGTGCGGAAGCTGTCATATACCAGAGCGTGTAGAGAACCTGATAGCAAATGCCTCACAGGATGAAGACGAAAATGATACGTGCGAAGGTTCTGCCAGTGATACGCATAGTCAGTGATGTCACCCTTTCGAAGAAAGAGATTATTTACAACTTTTTATCAGCCTTCCTCGCCCACTACAAAGCTTCTCCGGGCACCTTGTCAATTTCTCGAGCAGCTCTTTTCTTCACACCTGTCAAGTCCGCGCGTCCACAAATTCGCATCGCGCTGGATGATGTGCGCGGAGTTAAGAAGATTGGCTTGCGTTCGATGCCTGGCCTGAGCATCAGGTGGCAAAGAAGTCCGGACTCCGGAAGCTACAATAGGATGACACCCGATGCGATGCGGGATTTTGAAGTGATGGAAGAGAAGTTCTGGTGGGTTGGTGGTCGCGACGAGGTGTTTGCGAGACTTGTTGGCCTGGGAGGTCGGAAGTGGCTTAATGTATGAATGGTTGCCAGTTCTTCTTTCTAGAAACATGGTGCATTCTCGTTGCAGAAATGTTACTTGGTGCAGTATCTTTATTCCCGCTGGATTGAAAGGGAAGGATCTTTCACAATTTTAAAATTTATATGTGCTGTAGTAAGAAGGCATCTTGACAGGGATCTCATTTGCATTGACGGGCAGTGAAGTACGCTGTAATGCTTTGACATCGATGTAAGAATTTGATTTAGGGCCGGCCTTCTTGCGTCTTAAAATGACACGCTCCACTTCATCTTCTCTCTTCACATCATAGTCTGAGTTGGTGTATCGGTTTTATAAGTCAAGTAAATGAGCACAGTCTTTCTCTTGCAGTCCTCGGGTCCCCAGTTGGATCACTGAATCTTCTGAACGCTGTTCACTTGAATCTTTACGAACAAGCAATTATAAGCTGACTGTATACAACTCTCTTCCACCATGTTTTTCTCCACCGAGCTTCTGTCAAAGCGCGATAATGGCTTTGGTCTCCTCTGGCTAGTCAAAGAAGCTTTGTGGAGTGCTTCGTGCTAATTGTGCTGAATAGGCTCGCTGCTACTCTTGGCTCAAAGTCGTCCTTCAAGAAACTACCGCGTCGTTCAATTCAGACTGCAGACATTCCTCAGCTATGCGATCTCATATCTCATCCCTCCGAACCGCTCGCTCTACGACTTTCAAGTAACCTTATGGTCGGCGTCGCTAGGTGAGAGACTCCACCTAATCATTTCTAGTGACACCATTTCACAGAAGTACATCCATAGGGTTTACAAGAGTTAATTACCTTATCCTAAGAGAACTTACCATATCACTTACTCTCATTTATAAGTCAAGCACGAAATTTTCGTCACCGACGTCAGCAACTGTTTCGCTCATCTGAAGAAGGCTATACAAGAAATTCATATGCTGGGAGCGTTATCTGAAGCTCAGCTCCAAATGGGACAGCCTAGTGTTCGGTGCGTCACTAACGCAGCTTCACCAGTTCGAGACTTGTGCATAATCCAGATACCAGTCCGGATGCTCTAACATTGACGGCGGACCCAGCGGTTGCTATTGCTTTTGAGTTTGACGCGTTTGATGCCGTGAGTACTGAGTGTCCTTATGCTACGTCGTTTCGTTTATATCCTGCTAACTAAATACAACCTCTTAGAATTGGGCCGATCTTTCAACATGTAAGCTCTGCCGCGAAGAGACGAGCTCTTTCTGACGTTCACCGCAGTTAGTACACAACGCCAAAGAGACGCCGAAGAAGACGATGAATTTACGCTTGAGGGCCAGAGGTCGAAGGCCAAGCCCAAAGGCAAATCAAAGACATCTTTAATCCCCTCTGAGACGGCTAGAGCAAACTTGCATACACTCGACGAGAGTCACGAGCTCCTCCTATCCACCTCGTTCGAGGCAAACGGGTCCTTTCTTGCTGGTTTTGATCCATCGTCTTCTCAAGTCGACCCCGCTATGCGCTTCGGGTCTTTTGCCTTTGATGATAATTTATTCGGAGCAGGAGATCATTTTGATCTGGGTTTGGGTGACATCGGCGACGAGCTCGCGCGTGAGCTCGGCGAAGGCTGGGGAGCTGATGCCCCAAACGTTTCATTTGAGTATGTCCCACTGATCTGTTTACTTGCAAGGGACTGAGTTTGCTCCAGCGTGCCAATGCAGAATGATGGGCAAGACGGGTTTGACATGTTCCTCGATCCTGACGGCTATAATCCGAATGAGCAAGTTGCGGCGAAGGATGCGAAATCCAAGTCTGTTCAGGGCAGAAAGCGGGTGAGCATTGTTACGCAGGTTGCGCGTGTATATCTGTCTTGTCTAATACATCCAAAAGCCGTTCGTGGAATCCGATAAAGGTTTATGATGCCTTTCTCAAACAAGCCTTGACTTATTCATCCGGATCAAAACAGAAAATCTGCCACCAGCATTGAACAATGATCAAGCTCCGACGCCACGTTCCATTCTCACCCATCTTAGCCAAGCCTCTGCACCGCGTTCTTTCGCCGAAGAGCTCATCGCAATTGATAACCTTGCAGAGTTTCCTAAGGCCGTTGAAGGCCATCCTACCACCGGAGATCATGCAACTCGTAAAAAGAAGAAAGTTAGGATCCTTTTGGACGGAAGAATCGAGTTGACCGACGAGGAGCTGAAGGTACGGAGAAGTTGGACGAATTCTAAGCATGGCCATTTGATCAGTTTTAGGCAGCTCGTGCGGATTATGTCAATGATCAACGAGCCATTCGCCGTGACATGGAGAGAAAGAAGTTCGAAAAAGACGGCACCAAGGCTCTTGAGGACTTGATATGGGGTATTCCTGAAGGCTGTGAGAAGTTCTTCCTACCTTGCTGGTTTTGTTCACTCATCCCCACCCTTCAGTTGCTGCTCCAGCTCTTGTCAACTTTTGGTCTGAAATCTTCAAACTACAAGTGGAATCTAGATCCGGAAATCTTCATTCAGCTGACCTTGGCATGTCGTTTATTCGCTTGTAGATTTACAGCAGTGGAATTGACGAATGCATATCTAAGATGAGCGACCTACCAAGCGCCGGAAGAAGGCGAGTATCACAGAAGGCCCACACAATCAGCAGGATATCTTTGATGGAGCAGGGTATTTCGGTGGCGATGATTACCAGCCTATGGACTTTGGGATGGGTTCGTACATGCCTCCACTGTCATGCGTTAACTTGCCGATATCTCGGGCGTTAGATGTCGACTTCAATGCGCCTGTCAATTTCGGCGACGCGACTCGTCTTCGCTCTTCAGAGGTCTGCAGAGTCCTATCCAACGAGTTTGCGATATAAATGTAACCCACCTTACTTAGGAACCTGAACGAGGAAGAGATGCCGCTGCTCCTACTAGCCACTTCGGACTTGATGTTGAGGCTCTCAATCCCAGTTCGGGAACTCAGCGCACTGCATTCTTTCCTTGGGACAATGCAGCCGGAACTTCCTCATCTGCTGGAGCAGGCTTCGTTCCAGTTGGCGACAAAGGCAGCGATCGCTTGAGCTTAGACAAGGTAGATGTCCGTATCCAGCGCTCACGGTCGCGATCGGGCAGTAGAGAAGCATCGTTTTCAGCTGCGCGAAGCCAAAACGGTAGCTTGGCTGGCCTGAACTTCCGAATGTCTCCTAGTGGGCAACACGGCTCAGGTTTCGGTGATGACTTCCAATTTGACGGTACGTCGGTTCTATCGCGTGCATATCGTTAATGAGCATATGAGCATACATGCATTGCTAGTGACCAACGATAGAGTCCCTGCTCAAGACACCCAAGAAGCCGAAAACGTCGTCACTATTGAACGGACATCTTACAATTTCCTCGAGTGAGAGTGGCTACCCAGTCTTCTCATATTGAGACAATTAATCTCGTTACAAAAGATATTGTAAGATGCAAGCACAGGTGCTACCATCCGGACAAACGTCGCTCGCATTTAGCGATGTGGTTCCCTCCACTACAAGCTCGCGTCGTGTAGCCGCGGCTGCTTTCCATCATTGCCTTGGTACGTTCAGTGCTAGCGATTCTCTGACATACGCTTCTGGAGCATTGCGATCACCACCACTTTCGGTGCTTTGATGCTTGGTCTACTCACTGATTTGGACTCTTTAAAAGTACTAGCTACGAAGAACCTTATTGCTATCGACCAAGACGGTGCTTATGGACCATTCTCGATCAAGATCAAATAAACACGAATTTTGTACTGGACTTGTACTCGTTACTGAAGTCTGCTATCGGACTCTGTCTGCTTATTCTGTCTAATTTTATCATTCTCGTCTGTCTTGCCTCTTCAAAGCTTGCTGCTGAAAGAATAATGCTTATTAATAATGGACAGCGATGTGTAGTACTTTACCTTCTCTATTGTACAATCCATAAAATAAAGTGTGATTTTGTCGAACTGTGATTGGATGGCGTGTGGATTAATTATTATGAAACAACAAGACCTCAACTCGGCATTTGCCATCATCCACTACGTCCGACAGTCCGATCAGCATGAACTATAGGTAAGTTCGTTCAATGACCGGATTCAGGTTACTGGCTCTTACGCGACATATCATAAAAGGGTGCTCATTTAACTATTGTAATTCTACGCCCCGCTCGTTTCCCCAACTATTCACCTTTGCCTCCCGCCAGCATCGCAGCTTCACTATGTCTGCTACAACTACGGTGGTTGAATTTAGCCCAACCAAAGCTGCAGCTGCAGCACTTGCTAGCATCGACCTTGCTGGGTATGATGCAGAGCAGTCCCGCCTTATGGATGAACGCTGTATTTTGGTCGACGAGGAAGACCACCCTCTTGGAGCAGCGGACAAGAAGACATGTGCGTGCTTGACACCACTAGAACGTTTACTAGTACTAATATTCGGATGCTCTCAAGGTCATCTCATGGAGAATATAAACAAGGGTCTTCTCCATCGCGCTTTCTCTGCCTTCGTCTTTCGCCCAAGTGATGGGCGCCTTCTCCTGCAGCAACGTGCGTCGGAGAAGATAACATTCCCAGATATGTGGACAAACACGTGCTGCTCGCATCCTCTTGACGACTTTGAAGAGGAGAAAGATATGAAGGATCAACGTGGTGTTCGGGTTGCAGCTAGTCGGAAACTTGAGCATGAGCTAGGCATTCCTCGCAGCCAGACACCCGTTGATGAGTTCCAGTATCTCACGCGGATACACTATTTGGCGCCGAGTACTGGGGTTTGGGGAGAGCATGAAGGTTGGGGTTACGCTTGTGCTACGTTTCGTGTGGCTTCCTGCTGATGCATGATCCTTTTGTTTCTTCTTATCAGTGGACTACATCCTGTTCATCACCGCGGACGTGGACGTAAATCCAAACCCCAATGAAATTAGAGACCACAAATACGTGAGCAAGGAAGAGCTACAGGCCATGTTCGACGACCCTGGTATGTCTAACTAACAATCCGTGAGGCTAAAGCTAAACTATTTGTTTGACGCATGTCTCAGCAAACTCGTTCACACCGTGGTTCAAGCTAATTGCGCGTGATTTCTTATTTGGTTGGTGGGATACGTTACTTTCTCGCAAGGATGCCAGTGGCTGTGTGGTCGCCAAAAGCCTTGCCGGAGTTGCAGACGGAAGCAAAGTCATTAAGATGTTCTAATTCTGCTCTAGAGTTTTGTATAGATAGTAATTATTGACTTTTTTGTTGGCCATTTCGGATATGGGTAACTGAACCACAGTCCATGTCTGTATAGCCTGTGAATGGAGACCTGCTTGCGCATATCTACACGTCGTCTTGAGATGCCATCTTTCGACGCAAGCCGTAGCATGCCGCCTACTAGCAATTCGGCTTCTCGTATAATTCGCATTATATGGCGTCGAGGGAAAACGGAACTTGAGATGTTGCCTCAGAGACCAGCCAGTGACAAGCTTGAATGTGATTGTTGAGCCAACTCAACCAAGAGCCCCACCTACTATTAAACACGCGAAATACTTCTTCATCAATTGAGTTAACTAAGCGATAAATTAGTATAGGTACGCGTGTAATTGTACGGGACTGAATGGTAAAGGAATACGAGAAGCTTATGTAATATGTTTATGTAACATAATGAGTGCTGTATAGTTTTGCTTGATCAGGCGGATATGCCCGTAAGGTGGACCGCGTAGACAAACAATTCAGCAGTGGACACGGGTCGAGCCCTCAAGTACCAGCAAAACTTTCGACCCATAACTAGTGTCACTGGAATCTCGCACCATGGCTGACCAGGTAATGACCATTGTATCCATCTATCTGATTCGAATGCCTGAATGCATTTGCTAGATCGAAAGGGCCTATCAAAAGCAACATTTGTTCCAAAATACCAAAATCAAAGGTCCGTTGCAAGATGATTTAGTAGATGTGCAGTAGTAGAACTGAAATATGTGTAGGCGGAAAGAAGGTAGTAACGAAGGAGAAGCGGTGGCACAAGGATGTTGGCTTAGGCTTCAAGACCCCACTTGAAGCTATTAACGGTACTTACATCGGTGCGTTACCTCTGTCCATCGTCACTGCAATCCTTGTTTATGTTGCTCTTATTACAGACAAGAAGTGCCCTTTCACTAGCGACGTATCGATTCGCGGGCGTATCCTGACTGGTAAGGTCGTGTCTACCAAAATGAACCGGACGATTGTTATTCGACGGGATTACCTTCATTATATCCCTAAATACAGTGAGTATTATAAGCCTTTCTAGTTGTACTAGAACTAAACATAAGCTGGATAGATCGTTACGAGAAGAGGCACAAAAATCTTGCAGCCCACGTTTCTCCAGCGTTCCGTGTGGAGCTCGGTGACATGGTCACCGTTGGTGCGTACCGTTGTTATTGTCATTGTCGAGTTCTTACAGACTATAATACCAGGGCAATGCCGTCCCTTATCAAAGACTGTACGGTTCAACGTTCTTCGTGTCATGAAGAGTAAAGCTGCGACGAAGACTTTTGGCAAGTTCTGAGTGGGATTGCTGAAAGGGCTCTTTTTCTCGCTGTGCTCATTATAGTCATGCAATGAACGTGTTATGCTATTTGCCTCACTACCTGTCTATGTGCACTTATGCGCGTATTTTCGCGGAGAGAAATACAAAATTTGTATGGACAAAGATCTTAAGAATCGAAATTAAGTTGGATAGTAGTGAACCGACTGAGCGTGACGCGGGTGACGATTGTAACCGCCACGCGCTAATGGCCACCAGTCCATCATCTTCTCAACTCGCGCCTACTAGTACTACGTTCACTCTCGGCTCACTCCTCTTTCTCCTCCTCCCTCTGCGCAACTACTTTCCTTCTTTTCTTCAACCCTGGCGCCGGCTCTCCTCTCCGCGATCGCATCGCGCCTTCACAGGTCTAGGTCGCACTCACCACATCCAGACGCTACTTCTTCCGCGTCGTCCATGGGCCAGACTCCATCCAAGAGGACCAAGAAGGGGAGGGACAAGGGCAAGGATAGAGACGCTGACTCGCCAGATGGCAGCCCGAATGACCAGTCGCCGTCTGACTCTGCTCCCGTGCCCGTACCTCACGATGACGACTCCAGCACTGTGCGGGGCGGTGTTTCGCGTTCGATGGCTCCAAATGGCGCGAATGCGGGTATGGGTGCACAAGTAGGAGGCGCTTCTGTATATCCGGATTGGGCGGGCAACGGTGCAGGCGTGGGCAGTGTACCTCAATCCAACGTGACGGATGGTGCCGTCACTGCTGCCGGACATAGCCAACCTTTGGGAACACCATCCTCGTTAGTGTCATCTCTCTGCTCCAAGTCTATCCAGCGTGAGAATAGTTATTGACAGTGATCTTCATTGTAGCAGAAAGTCAAACTTGCCTCCACTTGACATTCCGCGGGCATCCACAATTTTGTCAACGCAACCGACACCAACCCCTGGATCAGTCGCGGAAAGCTTGCCGCTTACAGACTCAAACAGCTCAGTGGGGAATGGCATTGTGAACAAAGACAAGGCAAGGCAGCCAGCACAACAGCCGCTCGATGTGGATGATATGATTCAACGATTACTCGACGTTGGCTATACGGGCAAAATCAGCAAATCGCTTTGTCTGAAGAATGCAGAGATAACTGCCGTGTGTATTGCTGCGCGAGACATCTTCTTGTCGCAGCCGACTCTCATTGAACTGTCACCGCCTGTGAAGATCGTCGGAGACGTACATGGTCAATACTCGGATCTCATCAGGTTGTTTGAGATGTGTGGCTTCCCTCCAAGTGCGAACTACCTCTTCCTTGGCGACTATGTTGATCGAGGAAAACAAAGCCTTGAGACGATTCTCCTCTTGCTGTGTTACAAGATCAAGTATCCGGAAAACTTCTTTCTGTTACGTGGAAACCACGAATGTGCTAATGTGACGCGAGGTCAGTCTATGCGCTTCTATTTTTGTCGCACGTGGCTATGAATGCTCATCGTATGCATTGCATTATCCTTTTTAGTGTATGGTTTTTATGACGAATGCAAACGACGATGTAACATCAAAACGTGGAAGTCGTTCATAGACGTATTCAACTGCCTACCGATTGCCGCTGTCGTCGCATCCAAGATCTTTTGCGTTCATGGTGGCCTCTCTCCGTCAATGACCTCACTTGAGGACATCAAGCGTATCCAGCGTCCGACAGATGTACCGGATTTCGGCCTCCTCAATGACCTTTTATGGTCCGATCCATCTGATACCGCGGTTGAGTGGGAAGACAATGAGAGAGGTGTCAGCTATTGCTTTGGCAAATCAATCATCAATGACTTCCTTGGACGATACGACATGGATTTGATTTGTCGCGCACACATGGTCGTAGAGGACGGCTACGAATTCTGGAATGATCGGACATTAGTCACGGTTTTTAGCGCGCCAAATTATTGTGGAGGTAAATTTGGTTTCACCTTACTGAAGAGTCGCCGGCTAATGTGATATACCGTTTGCGTAAAGAATTCGATAACTACGGAGCCTGTATGAGGTGAGCCTCCTTAGCCTGAGACCGCTGCTCATTTGGTTGACATCTTGTCTCGCAGCGTGTCCGAAGACTTGCTTTGTGCATTCGAACTCCTTAAGCCTTTGGATGGAAACGCCCTCCGAAAGGAGATGTCTAAAGTCAAACGAAAGAGGTATGTTATTACTACTTAGTTTGTCCTATCGCTTACTTAGGAGCAATTTAATCCAGCATTGCCGCCGCATCTTCACCTCCTCCCGCATAGCGCGCTAATATATTTGATCCATCAATGAGGAGGAAGTTGTGACATTCTTAGCGCTCTTGGCGTGTTAATTTTCTTTTTCGGCGCTCTGAATGGGGACAGAGTTTTCTAGTACTGTTGTTATGCTCTGTCTCACCGGTGTGACTTATGACATGAGGACTGCACGCACTTTATTTTGGAATTTCTGCGCTGGGCTGAGAGGAATCAGCCGGGGACTCGGGTGGATGTTAGATGCTGGTGCAAGGAGAACCGGATGATCCCGTCGTTCGCCACCGTAGTCAGTTGAAGTTATCAGGAAGGCGGACTATTCTTTCTGTTACATGCTTCACAATCATGACTTGACTAATAATCAACTTGGGCATGTACAATGTTTTGCTTCGCATGACTGTTTGTGCTCCACGTCCTCGATTTTCTTCTTTCTAGTCCGTGTGCTTCATATCATATCTTCAGATCTTGATGTTAACATGCCCTGGTTTCTGCATTTGTCCTTTCACCCATTACTGTATCCTAGAATCCAATCTCCGTCCCGTTTTCCATAACGCATCGCATTAACTTTTTAATTCCCATTGTGTTATTTGTCGTACCTTTTTCTTTATTTTTGCTAGCTTTCCTCTGGTTCATATGTATTCATTTCGAAAACGGATTCACGAATACCTTCGAAGCGGTCACGTGCTATACACGCGTCTGGTGATATGGAAAATCGAGACACCACGCTGTTACGCATGGCGTTCATCAGGTAGCGCGAGTAGCTCCTGAAGCCCTTGTTGTGCCCCCCCCCCCCCTGCTCGCTTGTTCTCTATAAAGTTGTCGACGAATTAAATGCATACGCATCTCAAACAAGCCTGGTATGATGATTTGCAAAATGACCACCCGTTCAATCTGGAAGTGAAAGTTGCAAGTATTGCGGATGGAATAAATTGATTTATCACTAAAATGGATGAATCTGCTCTGGTTTCTTTAGTCTGCTAGTGCTACTGCGGATCACCCTTCGACGTTCCGTGCAATTTCTATCTTTCCATGGAACAAATCTTCGCTGGATACACTATGGAATGGCGAATTTGCTACGGAGCCATTGAAGGTTGAGCTATGGCATAAGACTCATGAAAAATGGTCTGGAATGGTAGCGGTTGGTGGAGGTTCTGAGCTACGCTTGTTCCTTAGCCGACCACATCAGCAATACCTCCCGATATGTAAGATTGATGTCCCAGATGTTCATATGCGCTTTGGTGATGAGGAGAAAAGCGTGAGTTAGATTGTTTTATACACTACCAGTCGTAACGCCGACTCACAGCGTGTAACAGTTGCCAGAAGATGTAACGTGTGTAACATGGTGCTTGGTGCAAAATGCCGATGAATTTTGGCCCTTGGTTGTGTTCGCTTCAAATGCCATTATGTACCTCTTCAACGTCGAAAAGGGCACTTACCACGGTATCCTAAGGGGCCATGGAGGAGTAAGTGGAATCGACAGGAACTATGCAATATCGTTGAGCTAAAATCTTTTGTTCCCAGAAAATTACATCTCTAGCTGTACATCCGGTGGATCCAAGCATCTTGGCCTCAACATCATATGACCATACGTGTCGGATCTATGACATTACGAAGAGGGTGGAACATAAAATCGACAACCCTCGATGGCCCGGTAAATATAAAATGGCCATGGCTGGTGCACCATTAGGTGTTCGGGCGAACGAACCGGAAGGTGTAGATTACGGGCGGTGCACCGCCATACTCACAGGCGAAACGTCTGGTAGTCATCCGGCTCCGGTTCTTGGTGCCGTAATGTCGCTACTTTCGATGAAGATAGTATGTGTGTTGATATAATCTTCTTGCTCAGGCATTCCACCCGCGGTATCCCATCATTGCAACGTGTGGTGTGGGTCACTCCACTTCTTGAAGTAGACATCTATTACATTGAGACTCCCTTTTACTTAGATGGACCGTGCAGTCAAATTGTGGCGGATTCCGGTGGCCACTGGAGACAAAATCGCTCGTGAGGATAGGCCGTTATTCAGTAGTGCAGATGTCCATGATGCGCAAGTGCTCTCCGTGAACTGGTATTTACGAAATATTCTATCCTATATATAACCGTCATCTTAGCTCTTAAATATTCCACAGGACGGGTGACGACAAACTCTTGACCGTCTGCGGAGAGGCTACCATGCGGAACGGTGCGACTGACCTCATCTATACAGAGCCAGGGACAGTTGTCCTATGGCAATGGCTTGGGCTGGAGCTCTTCTTCCCGTCAGGTTGCGAGACATACCCAGCCTTGCTTCGGGGCTGTTCGTCCGCAAGTCCATCTTTAATAATTTAGATTTACTTTGATCTAACCATTGTACTTTTTCTAAAGGACTCCCAAAGCAGCTGTACGTCCACAGACTTCTTCAGACGTAATTTATATTAATTCATTGATTGGGACAGCATCATTCAGGATCATCTCTAAGTACACCCTTCCTCCACCGCAACTCTCAGTCCCAGCATTCGTCTTTGATACACCAAAACATACACCATTGATAGCACTACCTTCTCTTGGCTGTGTTTATTTGTCGAGTGTACAACACTTCGAACCTCGACCAACTCCATTTTCCATCCCTGGATCCAACTTGCTCACAGACGCATTAGACAATCCTCGTCTGGACGTGGACGGACTAGAAGTGACTGGTGTCAATAATTTTAATGCCCTTCCGTGTTGGACTGTCCAAACGAGCAACGGCAAAACGAACAAAGAACAAATCAGAGATGGCGAGAGAGGTATGGAAGCGAATTTACCCAAACTCGAGGCCTGTACAATCTCAGAGAACGGTCGTTTGTTAATTGCGGTAGGCGAAAGGGAGGGGATATGGATATGGCGAATTCCTCGTGGCAAGCAATTCTTACGAGCTCCGACCTCAAGTGAGCGGTAGAAAGTAGGAGTAATCTAATCAGTTGTGGTGATATGTGTAGTGAATTCGTGTGGCGTAGAAGCAAGTGAACATTTGATTCTATACGGAAGTGCACAATGGGTCCAAAAGGAAATAAAAAAACATGCTTACAACATACAAATAACAGATAGTATACATAATGCAAATGCTACGTATAAATTGACTACAGAGCAATGGATCATTGCATGAGAATATGAGAACATGAGAAAATCACCAAGAAAAGAAAAAGCCATTGAGATGAGAGATGAGATATGAATGAAATCTAAGATCAGTCGTCACATTGTCACCGCCATCCAGACTCCACACAGAAAGGAACCAAAATATATACCCAAATCAGCACGAGAAGCCCAACAAACCATTCAAGCCCTGGGGGAGAAAGAGGGAAATGGGAAAAGCCACCGTCAACTTCTGCGTTCATTTCCGGTTGCAATACCATGGAAGAAGAAACGTCCCGACGATAAAGTAAGTGATATTGTGACATCAGCGCCGGCCAGCAGATGTAAGTCAGATAGAGCGGCGGCAGCATCGTCTTTTGCCTTTTACTTCATCAAGAGAAACTCGGCAGGCGACGGAAGATCCAGAGCTCCTTGCGGCCTTGAAGAAAGCCCCAGAATCCGGAGTGCGAAAGCGGAATAGTGCCTTCTAGCTTTAGACCCGATGAAGAAGCGTGTTCCAGAATGGTTGCAATCATGAGATCCGCAATGTCTGCAATAAGGAAACGCGTGAGTAAGAATGATTCCGAAGAGGAAAAGTCGGAAAATAGGAGAGTGGACGGGAACAGAAGACGGAGAAAGGATCTGGAACGCACTATCAAAGTCGAGCCGTTTCATTTCAATCTGATACCTGCAAGCGGAAATCAGCATTGCTTCATTTCCACGGCAGAAGCAAGTATCATACATATCGCTATCATCCCATGATGCACTTCGTATCCTGTGTGGAAATTGTTCATGAACAAGATCCGTGAGGGACTCGCAGAATTGGTGGGCATGATTTATGAGCTTGATCTTCCTGCGGTTGTTCGAAAAGATTATCATAGCGAATTCTGCGGACGACTCTGGCTGATTAACGCTGAATACTAATCGGGGGGAGGATATCTGAAAATATAGTTAAGTTTCGCTGAGCGTGAAAGGCTGAGCAAAATAACTTGCCGTGTGGCCCGTATCGATTGCAGAAATGCAAGCATAGCCCTAAATGAATACGGATTCTTAAGATGCATCGGAATTTCAGGTTAAGATGATTACCTGCCGAGCAAGGACCGCAAATAATTCCAGAATCATCTTCATAGCCATTAACCCAAGACTACCTCTTGCTGTCCACGGCGTTCCGCTGAATTGGACCAAGAATTCGTTCGTCTCATCACGATACGTTTGGAAGATGACACCGTCTGGCCACATTGTCAGAACACGTTCCCGAATGTTATCGACAGTTTCTTGATAAATGACACTCGATAGATTCATCCTATCGGAAAGGCCTTTAAGCTGGTATTCAATACACATACCAAATAATATACTTCACTACCTGCAAGTCCCGTTGAGCGAGAGGATTAGGTGAGCTGGACAAGATGCCAATTTGGAATTGCCATAACACGTGTTTTACATATACCACTCACCAGGGGTATAGTTCCGACGAGACTGAGAACGTGACCGATGTCGGGACAGCGAAGTCGCTCGTACTCGCTCCGAACCCGAAATGGACCGACCGCGCGACATCTGGCTCGCAGTCGGCTTCATCTCACGTCCACGGTAGTTATCCGGGTCAATACCTGGAACGGTTCTCGAGCGATGTAAATTCGGATTCGGACCGGGGCCGGGAGTACCTGGCTGTCTCTTCATGGCAGACCTGAGAGGCTTTTTGACGGGATCCGATGCTGAGCGGTCATGTTCATGGAGGCGTCGGTGTCGAGGTACTGCACCACCTGGATTTGGGGGAATGACGGGCGGACCGCCGAGTTGCGCCATGTATGCGCCCGGCGGAGGGACGGCGGGATCATAGCGTGAACCCGACAACTGGTGTGGGCCTAAGGGCGGGGGTGCACCGTGACCGTAGGCTGCACCACCCTGGGGTGCGTACATGTATGAAGCATAGGGCGCCGGGACAGCGCTATAGCCTTGCATCGTCACTTTTGCGGGAGACAGAAGGGAACGGCGTCAAGGAGTCGGAGATGGTGGGCGTGAAAGAGGAGGGCGGGGACAGGAGCCATGGTCATTGGCTCGTACATTAAATCCCTTCTGCTTTTGCAATTCGCGCACAACACGAGGCACTCTCACCTAGATTCATTTTTTGTCCGATATATTATGTAATCACATCTGCAACTTGTTTCGTTCCTTGCGCCCGCTGGCTCTGTTCCCCAATCTAACCGCCATGGCCTCGACATTCATCAACTGGCTCAAATCGCCTGCTAGTCGCCAATACTTCTTCAGTACGCACTATTCGTTCATGAAATCTCATACAAATGCCTGACAATCTCTCCAGGCACTCACTTCTGGGGACCAGTATGTCCCGCTCCTGCCCTTGTTGTTCTGTTCGAGCGTGTCAACTAACTAACTCCCTCAAGGTCGCTAACTGGGGCCTTCCGCTTGCCGCATTAGCAGACTTGAAGAAGGATGAAGAAATCATCTCCGGCAGTATGACAACCGCTCTCGCGTGCTACTCGTACGTCTTCTCGTGTGCTTCCTCGTTAACCTCTTTGCCTTCTCTTACCACATTTCATTGCATGTACAGCCTGGTATTCATGCGTTTTGGTGAGCGATGGCCTCGTGTCTGATGCTCCGAATGTCCTTCTGATCACTTTCTCCGTTCGCATCATGAAGCATGGCGCGTGCAACCTCGAAACTACCTGCTTTTCGCATGTCATTTCACGAACGCTACTGCACAGCTTGTTCAAGATACGCGCTTCGTAAATTACTGGTACATGGGCGGGCGGGAGAAAAAGCTGGTTGACGCACCTGAAGATGCTCGGAGTAAAGTCGTTGATGCTATCAAAGCAGCTGAAGCAGAGTCAAAGGAGGTGGCAAAAAAGGTTGCGAGCAAGTAGTGCTGATGTCTGGTACGCTGCTGTCTTTTGAGGATCTGTATTTACCGTATATTACTTTAGACATTTAGACATGGAAAGTAATACGATTGCTGTGCAGTTTTATCGGTTGGGAATTAGCCCTCGGATGAGTGGCACTATGCAAAATTCTACCAAAAATCGTCTTCTGCGTCTTCTCCGCCACGTCTCTTCTTCGCTCCCTTCGTTTGGGCAAGACTCTGTCGCTCGTACATTTCGGCAATCTAGTCCGGACTACGTCAGTTACAGTGACTACATGCAGCTGACAACTAATTACCTGCTCCGGACCAGTCGCGTCATCTGCGGACTTGTCATCTCGTATTCTAATAAATCGGGGAAATCGCAGGGAAATCCCGCGTTCTTCCACCTACGAGCAACGCATCAGTATCAACGCATCTTTTGCACGAAGATATTGGATGTACCAATCCCTGAGCAGCAGTGTATATCGGACTTAAACTCAAATCGGCCGTGAGCACCTCCCAGACGACTTTCGGGTCAAACCAGACGTCTGGCTTTGCTCCGCCAACTTTAATGTCACCCCTCGGCTTCTCATTCTCTAGTGGCTTGAGTGTAGTATAGTGTGCTTGAAGTGCCTCTTCGCTGAATCCTGTTCCTATCTTGCATATCGTCTGATATTCTTCCGAGTCGGGATCGTAGCAGGCCAAGAGGAATGCGCCGTATACGTTAGTCCGCTTGCCTTTTCCATAGTATGCCCCGACGACGACAAGATCAAGTGAGTCCCCGACTCCGGCAAGATAATCTTTCTTTAGCTGTGCGAAGATTTCACTATGGCGTGCCAATAAGTTATGTGATCCTAGCTTAGCTTACCTTGAGCCAGTTGACACTCCGTTTACTAGGTTCGTAGTAGCTCGCCTCTGTCTCAAGCATCTTGATCATCAAACCCTCGCACCCGTCCTTGACACTTTCCTCCAGGAATGCCTGAATTGCTTCCGTCGTTTCTCCGTCGGAAGATTTCGCGAAGTCAAACTCTCCGTGTACAGGCTGGAAGTGTTCCCGCAGGATCTGACGACGTTCTGAAAGAGGTTTTTGCAATAAAGGCTATAGAAAAAAGGTGAGTTATGATATCACGGGTGCGTATTCATACTCAACATACCTCTCCGTTAAGATAGAGCAAGTCGAATGCGAAAAGGCAGACCCTGACTTGAATATCCTCCACCTTGACATCCTTTCGTTTTCGCTTGCTTAGCTCTTGGAACGGCATTAACTTGTCTTCTTTTATGTCGAATGCAACAGCTTCGCAATCAAGGACAAAAGTCTTGGCTGTGTCTTTCACGCACTAAAATATTGTAAGCTTATAACACAGAGGGATGAAAGGAGAAACAGACATGAGGCAACTGTTCGACGAGATCGGGATATTTCTTGCTCATATCCTCTGAATTTCTGCTGAAGACGGCAACGGTACCATCCTCGAGTTTATGGACCTGGTAAATTATATCAGTAAAATATTCAGTACCTTAAACAAAGTGACAACGGCACCTGAGCTCGCTCTCCATCATATTTGTATTCGCATGTAAACTTCTTGCCCTCACAGCGGTCAAGTACTTCACCAATCGCTTTTGTCGGTTTTGCCAACATAGGCTTGAGGGGCACTCCCGGTTTAAGCTTGCACTTTTCTCGCAAGTGCTCTATGCCAGACTCAACAATGGCTGGGATGACTTCATCATATGAAGGCAATTCGCTACGTAGAGTTACGATTAACCATTGGACATAACAGCACAAGGTTATTCTCACCTGTAGACGGACTTCAGGATGTTGGCGCCTTGTTCGAGACGGCTCACGAGTTTCTCCTGGCTCCATTTCTTGCCAGCTGCGAAAGTGAAACTTGATCAACAGACTGACGATAAACGGTGTCTTGTCCACCTACCTTTCTCCTTCTCGTGAAGGACAACAGCGTGGGCTAGGGCAACGACTACTGATCGCTCGGCATTTCCAATTCGCAATTTCCCCTCCAAACTACGGACGATATACTTCGCCTCGTGTTCTTGACAAGCTGCAAGTAGTTTCGTAATAATAGACACCTTCTTTGCCTGAGACTGATAATCGAAAATATATGAGATGAGCAACTCCACTGCAAGCTAGACGAGCTACCTACCGAATGTCCAGAACTCAAGGCAATTTCACGGAGGTTGGAGAAAACATATGGGACCGTAAGTCGCTTGGGCTTGAAGATAGTTTTCTGACTGTTCTTGGAGGTCTAAAAGGTGTCTTGAGATAGACATAGTGTTTGAGTTGAGTAACGAACCATAGCAACGAGTCCTAGATCACCTTCCCTCTTAAGATCAGCTTTGATGACGGACAGGCCACGTCCAGTAGATTCGCCGATAGCCTTGATTAAGATGCTTTCGCCAATACCCAGTTCGATCCCGACATAATCGGGACTTAACTAAATGGGAAGAATATAGCCCAACCTCGAAGAAATACAGTTGTGTAAGGCATACCCTGTTAATGCATAGATATACAGTTTGCAGCAGTGATTTGTAATCTCCTGGGGCGCTCCGGCGCATGACGAGAAGTAATAACGCTGTAAGAAGCGTCGTCTTCTCTATCCGTTTCGTTGTTGCCTCAATTAGGGAGAACGCTTTGGCCAGCGCTGCGTACGGAACGCTATTTGAAAGCTTTAGGACATTTTGATATCACTATGTAGAGAGGAGACTCACGGATCGCCAGATTTCCAGCCACCCTCAATATCGACTTCCTCGACCCTTGAGATAGCCCACTGAGCGCTGCGAAAAGAGTCGAGCAGTCGATGAGAATGGTTAGTGAGAAAAATATTATGTTCAAGTACCTCTTATATGCAACCGCTTTCTCCTCGACATTCTCCACATCTTCCTCCTCCACTTCCTCTTCTCCAATTTCGTCAGCTTCGCTTGTCGCAGGGGGCTCCTCAGCAACGATAGAATCACTTTCCTCGGGAATTTGAGCAGCTTTCGATTTCTTTGAACCCTTGGCTAGTCTCTTCAAAGTAGTCTGCAACAAAGTATCGTATTCAGTGGATCAAACAACGCCAATGTAAGTGTAAACCTACACGTTGACCTCATTAGTGTCATTGTACAAATGTGTCAAGCAGATTACACGTACCTACTTGACCCTCGGTACCTGACTCATTGTCCGACTCAACGACCCTCCTTTTCTTGGATGGACGAACGTCCTCTATTACTTTGTCATGAGCCACGATTCGCTAACTATATTTACCAGGAAGACACATACGGTCGACTTGCTTCGGCGAGGATCGAGGAGAGGATTTGGGAGAGGATTTGGGAGGTGTTCCGGGCAAGGACGAAGAGGTATGGTTATCTGCAAACGCGTCATGATGAGAATAGCCCCTCAAAGGAGTGAATCATGGCATACTTCGTGAAGCGTTTTCCGGTGGATCATCGGTTTCCATGTTCTCAGATTCAGCCTTCGGCGCAACTAATGGCTCGACCGACACGTCCTCGCTTCTAGGTTTCTTGCCCTTGCCACGCCATAGCTCATTCAGACTGGCCTGCTGCGGTGGAGCGGATTTGATACCTTTCGGCATGTCGAAGAACTTTCCTGGGATGCTGCACGTTAGGACAGCATTCACAGAACGCGTAATATATACCAACCTAAGGTTTGCTGACGTCCCATGCGCGTCAAGACACGGTAGGAGACGCGTTTGACTGCGAACATGTGCAAGACAAGTCACGACGCGTCCGAGTGAGTACATGGCCAGATTCGGCGCGTCGATCACGCGTCAAAAGTTACTCAATCAGCCTTGTTCAGTTCGTTTGTAGAATCATTCTGCTCTTTCTCTTCTTCCTCCTTCACACATGCCTAGGGAAGATAGTAGGACTCGCACATCTAAAGCTTCTGGATCTAACCGATTATCCTCGAGTACTCGGGATGACGAGTCTGATTCGTCAACCCACGACATCCCTTCTGACTATGAGCTATTTGACCGGGCTACTACTCCCAGGGACTACATAGAAGACGACGAAAGTACATTCTGGGAAATAAAAGGCATTGTCTCAGAGGAAGTGGACCTTTCAAAACGAACCATGTTGGTGACATACCTTATTGCTATATAATTTATTTGCAGAGCTATTTCTAAAGACGTATATTCTAGCTATCAAGTATGCATTGTGAGACGGTAAAGTGAGAGTATTTACATTTATTTCTATAGGTTGACTGGAGCCCCTGGAAGGACTATGATGGTACATCAACTACTTGGGAAACTTACCTTGAAGGCCCAAATACCATCATTGTTAAGACGAGACTACACGAGAGTATGTCTCAGATGATATAAACTACATTACAAGCAATGACAAATGATGATGGAATACCTTCCATCATACATTCTACATCTGAGACATACCTACATAGTATATATAGACTAACTAATCAACAGACAATGAAGCAAGCTGTGAGAGAGTGAGCTGAGTCCACTATCCCTCCTCTTTGTGTGATCTCTTTAAGCCTCTCACATAACCTCTCTTTCCCCTTTCTTAACAGGTTATGAGCCTTGAGCTCCCTGCCTACACTTTATCTACACTCTACTACATTTATACTCTATACAGTTCTACACATCACATGTATGCATACAGTATACTATGATGTAGAACTTGACTCACCTGTCTGAGTATCCTAAACACAAATTGATACATTACAGACACACAATCTATTGTACTACATACAACCTAGACATTATATGATTGTCATCTTAGTGATTATAATCATTAGGCTAGTAGTAACATAATCTATGCAGGCAATGTTGAAACTATGATGAGTATCACTTACTGTAACATTAAATGCTAAAATACTCTATAATATTATAGAGATCATGTTATAATAAATTAACTGATCATACTACAGATGAATGTTAAAAAGATTAATAAAGCAAATGCTACTCTTCTGCTATTAACATTACAATAGTACAAATGATTGACACTGTCAACAAGCACACATATGTTATAGCATAAATCAAATAATAACACATGTAGTAATATCACAGCTAAACAATTAATGCTCAAAACAAGTACATATATGTAAACAGCATATTAAATCAAATAAATAAAACATTTAACATGTATTATAAACAATAATACAATTGCAGACACTATAATAACAATAATAATAACAATAATAATAATAATAACATGGATAGAACTAACAGAACAAATACAGAACAATATAATAACTAACACATATTATAGTTGAGCAATTATATGTAACATATCAGATTCAGCAGTTACATGTCAGATATTGCAATTACTTATCAGATACCAAATATAATTCACATATCTAAGATATACAGACAAGTACAGATATACAAAAGTATAA